ATTGAAGTAGATTCTCTATCCTTTTGTATATTATTTTTGTGGGCAACCATTGAAACCTAAAAAAACAAATAAAGAAAATTATTTCTAATTTATCTTAAAAATTTAATTTTGATTTTCAATTTAAGTTTGCTTTCCTTTGATTGTCAAGGGCTTGTTAGAAAATAAGGTCGATTTATATATCATTTGATTCGTCAAGTTTTCAAGTGCAGAAATTCTTTTTAGGTAAGATATATTCTAAACCCCCCAAAATTAAAAAGCCATACAAGGACCAAGCTAATTTTTGTGATTAAAAAATGATAGGCCTGCTCATATTTTCGAAAAATTTCAAAAAAATTTCCGCAACAAACTAATTAATTTAAAAAAATTCTCACTAATCTATCCACTTCCTTGTCAGCATTAGCCAATTCTTCTTGACAAAATTTATTACAAATTGAATTGTTTAAAGTTGTAGAAATATTATTTGTCAATTTATTAGACATTGGACAATCAGAATGTTGAGAAAAGGGAGTTGAAGGGTCCAAAGGGTGTTGTTGTTGTTGATATGAAGTTGAAGGTGTTTCCATAAAAAATTCTTCAAAATCTTGTAAATCAAACATAAATTCATCTAACGGTTCAACTTGAGAAGAAGAATGAAGGTTATTAAGTTGATGGTCTTCAATAATTGAGGAAGGCTGTGTTGGTGAAATAATTAATTGATGACTTAAATTGGAAGATGGAGGGTTTGAATGTGGAGTACAATCAGAATCACTAGCAGTAGAATGAGAATAATTGCTTATATTCTGAAAAATAATAATGAATGTGTATTTTTGTTTCAAGTTTGTAATCTTAAGTTTCTGATTTTTAAAATTAAGTTTTAGTGTATTTTTATATATTCTGATTTTTGTATTTCATTGTATTTTCTTTTCTGATTTTTTAATTCTGATTCAGTTTTAAAGTGTTTTACAATTATTCTGATTTTTGTATTTTATTGTATTTTCTGTTCTGATTTTTTAAAATTCTGATTAAGTTTTGATGTGTTTTACGTTTATTCTATTTTTTTTAAATTCTGATTTTTGTATTTCATTGTATATCATGTTCTGATTTTTGTATTTTGTTGTAATTTTTAAATTCTGATTTTTTAAATTCTGATTCAGTTTTAAAGTGTATTTTTGTATTTTATTGTATTTCCTGTTCTGATTTTTTCAATTCTGATTTAGTTTTAATGTATTTTACATTTATTCTGATTTTTGTATTTTCTAATTCTGATTTTTAAAAGTTTTGTTGTATTTTTCACTTGTTCTGATTTTAATTTTTAATGTATTTTTTAATTCTGATTTTTCCAAATAATTTTAAATTCTGATTTTCTTTATTTTACTAAATAATTCTAAAAATTATTCTGATTGTATTTTAATAAAACACAACTTTGTATTTTTCATAATTCTGATTTTTATTATTTTAATATTTTCTCACGTGTTTAAGAGGTGATTGTTGATGCATCAAGTGTTGCTGCATAATTCCTGGAGGCGATTGAAGCGGATTCGCTAAAGTTGTATTAGTCATTGTATTATTATTGTATAACAGTCCAAAAGAGGATTGTAAATTCTCCACAAGATTGAATGGAGGCGCTGATTGAATAAAATTATTTGACGTTTGATGATGCAAATTGCGGTCTGCCCCCATAGAGTTGTGGGAGAATTCGCTGGAAAAAAAATTTTTTATTTCAAGTTTAATAAACAATCGGACCTCACTTTAAGATACTCCCTTGAGGCTTAAAAATTAGTTTATCCGAAACTAATTTTAAAAAGCGAAAGACGAAATGCGAAACAACCAAAAAGGTTAAAGGAAGAAACTGGCACACCTCTAGAGTACCCTAAATAGAAGGTATCGCCCAGGGGCCTATGCAAATTAGATCATATCTCAGATAGACGTGTCATATTTGTGACTAGAGTCCGACATTTGGTCAATGATGGTCAGTTAATGGGTTAAATGTCGGACTCTAGTCACAAATATGACACGTCATATCTGAGATATGATCTAATTTGTAGAGGCCCCAGATAGCTTCTCTACCAAGTAGCCAACAAAATTTTAAAATTTTGAGAGAAAGTATCTTGAACTGTGGGGTATCAAGTATTTGGGGGTATCTTAAGGCAAGGTCCGACTGCATTTTTAAACCAACTTTGTATTGTTGTTGTTTGCCTGTAAAAGTCCATACATTGGAAATAATGAAAGCTTTGCCTTTAAAAAAATACAAAAAATAAATTTTTTAACATTAAAACTCAACTACCTGATCAAACCAATTATTCGAATTATTACTCCATTCATTTTGAATATTTGGGAATAATAACTGAGATTGTGAATTAAATCCAGAATTATTTGTTATAGTTGCCAAATTGCATAGAGTAGAGAATATATCGGCATTATTTGAATCTGAGGCTAAAATAAGTTTAATTTTTTGATTTTGCTGGTGAGAAATAGAAAATAAAGGTCGACACAGGATCCTGGAATCCCGTCCTGGAATCCCAGTTTTTAAGCGACAAACGGGATTACCGAAATTTACAGGATTAATTCAGTGGGATCCTGTTCCGTATGACATGCTTAGAAAAATCCTGTCGCGGGACTCCTTCCTAGATTGCAATTTTACCGACCTCTACAAAAAAGAACAATTTTATAAAAAGTGTTTAAATTGTAAAAACTACCGTAATATAATTAATTAATTTTTTTGGCGAAATGCCCAAAAAATTTTTTTTAACTTTTTTCCCTCAAAAAATTTTTTAAAGCTGAAACAATTTCTCTCGTATATTTTAAAACAAATAAAACATGAAATAATTTTAAAAATTAAAAATCCACCTCCTCCAGCAGAATTAGCCAAAAAGGGGCCGCCGCCAGAATTACTGCTGTTTTGAGTTGTCAAATGAAGATTATTTTTAGGTTCCATTTTAGACGTTCATTATTTTTTCTAGACTTTTTTTTTATTGAAATTTAGTTAAAAAAAGATTTTTTAGTAAAAAAAAGTACTAAAATTTATTTAAGAAAAAAAGCAAAAAAAAATATATTTTTACACACATTTAAGAGAAAGTCCCCCACAAACCCTCAAAAAATTCTTTACTGGCTGCATTTGTTTGTGCCGGTAAAGGGGAGAATATACTGAAAAATTGTAAAAGAAAAGACAACCCCCGACAAAATCAATAAAATGTATAGATGTAGATATAGTAGAGAATATTTTTGTTGTCTGTTAGGTAGAGAAATAACCTCTTCATTTTACACACTATTTCTCTTTTTGTTTTCTTTCGCTTATTTTTGTTTATTTTGAAGTAGGGTTGGTCCCCGACCCCGACTAACCCCGACCCCGACCCCGAACCCCGACACTTTTTGACCTAAAACCCCGACCCCGACATTCCCAACCCCGAAAACCCCGACCCCCGAAAGTTCGACCCCGACGACCCCGAACCCCGAAGAATTTTTATGACCCCGACTCAAACTGCATTAATTAACTTTTATATATTTTTTTGTTGGCATTCTGCTAAAATTCTGATAAAACAAAAGAAAGAAAAGACAACTAAAAAAGAGGAAAAGAACTATTTTTATTTTTCTCTATTCACAGAGAATATTTTCCTGACAAAATTTAAACTAGCTTTTTCTATTCATAGTTTGGTTATACACAACTCATTTTGAATTTGTAATTTTATATAGGTCTTTAGATTTAATTATAAATTATATTAAAATGTCAACTAAATCTTCTGATATTTGGAATTTTTTTGTAAAATTACCAATGACTGATGAATCAGCTAGGTGCAAGCTTTGTGAAAATAAATTTTCTTGTAAACTAAAATTTAGATGACTAAAATTTAGATGACTAAAATTTAGATGATATTTGGGCAAAACCTAAATCCCCTTGTACTTCTACATTGCCAAATACAACAATTTCTGGTGAGGAGTCAGCAGATTTTGTGTCAAAGATTGAATCGCAATTGTCACAATATAAAGCCTGGCAGCGTGTTCCAGTTGATAGTGATTTATTTTCATGGTGGAGAGATAATGGGAAGTTCATTCCTGAAATGGCTAAAATTGCTCAAATGTTGCATTGTATTCCCGCAACTTCCATTTGTTCTGAGAGGCTTTTCTCGAAAGCGGGACTTATATATGCTAATACTCTCAGGAATAGGTTTTATTTATTTGTGATTAAAAAAATAATAATTTTAGATTGTCAGGAAAAACTGTCAGGCAAATACTCGTAGTAAAAGCTAACTTGGATAAAGTACTTCTTGCGCCTTCAAATAATATCGAATCGGATTCAGAAAGTGAAGATAATGATAATGAAGATTAAGTTGATTTTTTTATAAAAATGTTGATTTTGAACAGTAATGTTTGATAAAAATGCTGGATTTTGTAAATTTTCACTTCAACCCCGACCCCCGACCCCGACCCCGAACCCCGACATTATTTTCAGCCCCGACCCCGACCCCGAACAATTTGAGCAACCCCGACCCCGACCCCGACTTTGTCAACCCCGAAAACCCCGACCCCCGACTTTTTCAACCCCGAAGGCTCGGGGACCAACCCTATTTTGAAGTGTAGTGGGTCAATTAAGTTTTTTTATTATACTGTAGAATTGTTTATAGTAATCTGAATAGTATGAGGTGAAAGATAATTTGATTAGGAGCATTTTTTAAAAATTATTTGGAGATGACACTTGGTCCCAAAACGGTGACATTTTGTCCTATTAGATTTTGTTGACATTTTTTCCTGTGTTAAGTACATGACTGATAAGATAAGAATTATTTCTGACTGTAGCCTATGTGTGTCACTGTAGAAATTTTGCTTCGATTTTTAATCAAGCAATTTTGTGTATTTTTAAATTGGCATTTTGTCCCGTGGCCAAATGTCATTTTAGAAAAATTTGATACTCAAATAACCTAAAAATTAATTTTTCAGTTTCTTGTGATTTTACTTATGCCTTTGACTTTTTTTCTACTTTAAATTTTTGTTTAATTTTGTATAATTTATTCATCAGATCTTTCAACATGACGTAAGTCTTTTAAAAATTTTTTTTTAATTTTTTTTATTTTCAAGAAGTTCGGACGAAAAAGACATTTCAAATTATATGCGCTTTTTTTGCACAAGAATGGTTCAAGCAGTAGTGCAAGCTCGAATGGGGAAAATGCATCCCTCTCCGTGTGTCCAAGCTTCGGATCAAATGATTTGGTTTAATTTAGTTATGGATGAAATTGGGGAAGTTGCTGCTTATTTGAAATCGACTATTGGAAGAAAGTTTGTGAATTTTTTGAATGACTTATTTTTTAGTTATCCGCCCGATTGTTCTGTTTTTTCGTTAGAATTTATTCTTTTGACGGCTGATGGAGACAAATTACCTTTAGAGACTTGGTAAAAAAAATTTTTTAATTTTTTTTGTTGATAAAATTGAGAGGTTATATTTTTACAAATATTTAAATAGATTTTAGCCAGGCTGTAACCAGAATTTTTTTCGAGTGGGGCCAAAAATTTGTAACCTTTATCTGCAAAACTATTTTTTTATTTTCAATCTAAAATGACTTGCGGACTCTCTGCTTCTTGTGAAGGCTAAAAAAGAACCGAATCTTAAAAAAATTTTTTTACTAAAATTTTTTCAAATTAATTTTTAGGCTTGTCAGATTAGATAAAGAATGCGCAGACAAATTTGTAAATATCAGAACTACTTTATATCAACAAATGTCAACTTTATTAAAATCAATAATTGTTGCCTCAAGGTTCACTCCAGCATATAGACATTATGTACGCAATCAGGGACCTGATACATTTATTTTTTGTTATAAAGTAAGAAAAATATTTTTTGAATTTTTAAGAGTTTTTTAGTCTTTTTTAAATTTATTTTTTTTATATCATGGTTGAACCCTGATCCTTAGAGGCGGTGTGGAATGAGTTATTAGGGTTGTTAGTTATTAGGTTGTTCGGGGTTGAGTTATCAGGGTTCCGGGGGTTTAAACTTGTATTTGGGGTTATGGACCTGTATTGGACGTTGTCTGAGTCCAAACTTATTTTTTATGATTGAAGGAATGTTAATGTGAATTTCTGTGTTTTAAATATTTTAACTTTTGCTAACTTGTAAGAACACAAGTCAGAAATAATTTTGAAAAAATCAGAAGAAATCAGAATTTATTTTTTAAAAAATATTTTTATTTTTCTCTCTTAATTTTTATTTCTAAAGGTATTTGATGGAGAACCAGATTTATCAATTCTTGGAGAAGAAACAAAATATAGACGTTTGGGCTATTTACCTTCCCCATTTGGAGCAATTTCAGTCGAATTATATTTTCGAACAAAAATGGAAATTCAACCACAGCCGTTTGTTCCAGAAGAAGAAATTTTGGAAGAAGAAAAGTCTAGAACAAATATTGGAATAGCAATACCAAATGAAGGAAGTAAAATTGTTCCGGTTAGCCCTACTTCTTTGGACAATATTAATTTGTTTAGCACAAGTCCTGTTAGTCAGGTTTGATTATGAGGGGAGAAAATAAGGAGGGAAAACCAGTATTTGTAAAAAAATAAAATTAAATAGAAATCAGAATTTGTAAATTACATAGCTAGGAATTGTGTAAAAATAGAAGACAGAATTTGTAAAAAGAAATTAGAATTTGCAGAAATAAAATTATAATTATAGACCAGAATTTGCAAAAAATTAAAACCAGCATTTGTAAATTAAAAATCAGAATTTGTAAAAACAGAATCAGAATTATAAATTGATAATTGTACAAATTCTGGTTTGCTATTATACAATAGGAGTTGATTAAACTTGAAATCAGAATTTGCAAAAAGTTTTATTTTTTGCAAATTCTGATTTCAAGTTTAATCAACTCCTATTGTATAATAGCAAACCAGAATTTGTACAATTATCAATTTATAATTCTGGTTTCTGTTTTTACAAATTCTGATTTCTATTTTTACACAATTCCTAGCTACCAGAATTTGCTACCAGAAAAAAACCAGAATTTGTAAATTGTAAAAATTTGAATTACAAAATCAGAATTTGCGAAATCTAATATTTTGTAATACAGATCGGAATTTTGTTCCGTGCCGTATTCCGTACCGTAATATCGATACGGAATACCGATAAATACCGAAAAATACGGCTGTTTACAAATTATGAAATTTTATAGGGATATAAATTAGTCTAAATTAAATTTTAAAAATTAAAAAAAAATTTTTTTTAATTCTCAAATATTTAGTCAAAATTAAAATTTAATTAATTTTTTGAAAGGATTTACAATTCCGTGCTTCCCCAAAATTTATTGTTGGGAGTGGGGGACATTCCTTTTCGTCAGTTGGAGCTATTCCAAGTGCTGTAGCAACAACAACTTCTGGTACAAAATCTGATCCTACAACAACAATGAGAAGTAGAGCAGAATCTCCACCAACTTCAAATAGTTTTCCTGAAAGAAATTCAACACCACACCAAAAAGTAGAAAGATATTTTTGAAAATAAATTTTTATTAAATTTTTAAATTTTAGTTGCGTGTTAGAAACAATTCTTTTCCATTTTCTTCACTTTTGTTATATTCTAGAAGTTCTTCTGATCAATTAAAAATTTTACCAAATGTTCCTGAAGACGGTAATAATTTTCGTATTTTTTTATTAAAATTTTTAGAAATTTTCCCTAAAATTTTTAATTTTATTTTTGAAATTTTTCTAAACAATCTTTTATAAATCACAGAAAAATGTTAATAAAAAAATTTTTTGTTTAAAAATTTTCCCATAATTTTAATTTTTTTTTGAAATCTTTTGAGTTTGAAATTTTTTGGAATTTTCAAAAATCACACAAAATTTTTAATAAAAAAATTTTTTTAAGATGCTTTAAACACAACAAATTTAACTTTTAATCCACGTGGAAGCAATATATCCCTCGATAATGATAAAACTTTGGTTAGTAAAACAGAAGATGTTAGAAGAAACTCCTCTGCATGTACAGAAGAATTTGTAGCGTTTACAATTAATGAAACTTCTAAAGAAGAAGAAGAGAACAATAATAGACAACAAACATCAAGTAAAAAATAAATAAATTATTAATTAAAATCAGAATTTGTAAATTTAAAAATCAGAATTTACAAATTGTAAGGTTTAAAAGATCAGAATTTGTAATCAGAATTCGTAAATTACAATTGTAAATTAAAAATCAGAATTTTTAAAAATCAGAATTTACAAATTGTAAAGTTGAAAATATCAGAATTTGTAAAATATTTGAAATCAGAATTTGTAAATTACAAATTGTAACTTGAAAATCGGAATTTTTAAAAATAAAAATCAGAATTATTAAATACATAAAAAAAGCAGAACTTGAAAATATTAAAAAATCAGAATTCGTAAATTTTATTTTAAAAATCAGAATTTACAAATTGTAATTCCAAAAATATCAGAATTTGAAAATTACACTTGTAAAATCAGAATTATTAAATATCAGAATTTTATTTTAGTCAAAGTTTGTAAATATATATTTTACGATCAGAATTTGTAAAATACAAATTATTTATTAAAGACAGAAATACAAAATTTGAATAGAAAATACGACAAATTAAACTAGAAAAATATCTATGTATTTTTTAAATAATTATTTTTCAGAATTTTCTTCTTCAAAAACATCATCAATAACATCAACATCACCAACTAATGAACAACAACAAAATAATATAAAATTAGAAAATAATGAAAAGGAGGAAGAGGATGATGAGGACGAGGAAGAAGAAGAGGGAGAGGGAGAGGAAGGTGGTTGTTGTTCAAGTGATAATTCTTATGTTAAAGTAATTGCTTTTGCTTCTACAAACGGGTCAAATTCTGAATTGGGAACAGAATTGAGTGAATTTTTTAAAGAAGTTAGATTTGCACCTGATAAATTGACATCTTTGTGTACATCTGAAAGTGCTGTAGAATTGAAAGATCAGGTGGGAAGGGAATATTTGAAATTTTTTATGGGTAGAAAAGTGCTTGTCTCAATTTATTTAAAAATTTAGGAAAGCTATAGTTTAATTATTATGTTTAGGGGGTATGCCTATCCTTTGTCCGGATTTTTCTTTTTTTTTTTTTGGTTTTGTCTTTCGATTTTTTTAGTCTGATTTGTGACACCTTTCTATTGTATTGTCGATTCAACCAAATTTTCTTTGGTTAACCAAAACCTACTTAGAAAAATCGAATTTTTGGGGAGGGTTGAAACAAAAACCCGTATTTATTATTATTTTTTAAGTTGAAAAATATGTAAATATTTACTATAAGGGAATCAAAACAAAAATTTAAATCAAAATATTTTTAAAAAATTTTAATTTTTTTTAAAATATTTTTCTGTTAAATTCTTAAAAAAATTCTTGGTGTAATTTGATTCTTTTTTTTTAAAGATTAACATTTTTTTGTCAAAAAAAATTATTCTTTTTTTTCTAATAGTTGGACACCTTCCGTCAACAGGAATCGGGTTTCAATCAGTTTATTAGTGATCTTTGTGAGGAAGAGGAGAATAATAGAATTTAAAGGAAGGGGGAACATAAAAAAAATGAAACAATATATAAAGTCAAACTACATAAAAAATACATGTTTTTTAAGGCACAAGAAAAAAATTTTTTTTCCTAGAAAAAGGAAGTTAAATTTTATATTTTTTCATTTTTTAACATGAAAAAAATTTTTTTTGAAGCTAATGGATTTGAAAAAAAAATTTTTTGCCTCCTTTTTTTTGATTTTCCTTTTTTCTTCCCCCGACCCCCAGATTTCTCTGACTTTGTATACTATTTTTAAAATAAAAAAAAATTTTTTTGATGGAGGAAATTTTAACAAAAAAATTTTTTTTTGATTTGTTAAAAGCAGAATTTAGACAAAATTTTATACAAATCATCAAAAAATTTTTTTCCTCCGTTTTTTGATCTTCCTTTTTTCTTCCCCTTAAATCCTTTGCTTTTTGTATACTATTTTTAAAATTAAAAAAAATTTTTTTAATATTTTATAAGCAAAATTTCTTTTTAGAAAGATGAATTTAGGTACGAAATTAAATATAAATCATAGAAAAAAAATTTTTTTTTGTGAGACTTGGAATTTTATTTTTGACTTTTTTTGAATTTTATTTTTGCTCATAAATTTAATAAAAAAATTAAATTTTCTAAATACTATTTTTAGGTAGTCTTTTTAATTATATTTAAATATAAAAACAAAAGTGGAGGGCCTTTATTAATTAGGAATAATTTTTAAAATTTTTTTAGTTCACTCATTTTTAACCCCCAAAAATAGCATTCCTAATAAAAAAAAACTTGTTTAGATTTTTGAGGTCTTTCCATAGTTTTGCCATTTTTAATTTTGAAAATTTAATTTTTAGTATTTTTTAAGAATATTCTATACGAAAATTCTAAAAATTTTATTTTTCTAAAAATGGTAATGTGTTGGTTAATGGCAGATGGAATTGTTGACAAACACGAAAAATGTCATAGAAATCCGCCTGTTTTTGTTGGGCCTAGAGCTTTGCACAAACTTGGAATACAATATTTTTATGTTAATTTTTTAAATAAAGAAGAAAGAGGGAGGGGGTTGTTTCGAAATTTCGTCTTTTAGTTTCGAAATTTCGCGTTTCGTTGCAAAATTTCGATTTCGAAACTTCGCTTTTTAATTTCGACTTTTGTTTCGAAATTTCGCTTTTAAAATTTTTTGTTTCGAAACAGCTTTGGAAGGGAGGAGGGTATTCTTAAAAAATTTTTATTTCTTTAAATAGATCCCTGTAGAAAATTCAGAAAAGGGATTGTCTAGTGTTGCAATGAGTAGAGGATATGATTATAAAGATGAAGTTGTTATTACAAGAGAAACAATGGCTGATTATGATGAATGGTTGAAACGTTTTTTTGAAGAACATTTTCATCCGGAAGTGAGAAAATTATTTTTTAACCTACCCTTGGGTTCTATTAAAGGATGCCTTTTATTATAGTCCAACTTCTTAAATACCTACAAAATCAACTTAATTTAAGATAGATACTAGAGATCGGACCGTACCATACTACGGGCGTATTTTTCGGTATTTATCAGTATTATGGTACAGAACAAAATTCCGATCTCTAATAGATGCGTTTTAGGCTTTAGTTTACCTATAGGTTTAGGGAGCTACCCTCTAAGTTAAACCACTATTAAAACTATAGGATAGACCCAATACTAGTTAATATACACCCAATCTATTTAATATTTTTAAAATAGGATGGCTATTGGTTGGGCAAATCTGCCCAAATGATACCCTCTATTTAATAGACACCTCATCATAAGAGACTAGTTTTTTCAGCCCTAAGGGGTACCTAAACTTAAGTTTCGCTTTAATAAAATTAATTTTTAAAGGATGCAATTCGCTATGTAGTTGAAGGTAATGGCTTCTTTGATGTCCGAACACCCGAGGATAGATGGATTCGAATACTTGGGGAACCTGGGGATTTATTAATAATCCCTGCAGGAATATTCCATCGTTTTACAGTCACAAAGAAGGCAAATTTTTGAAAGATTTTTGAATTAAAAATTAATTTTAGGGCTATATCAAAGCAATTCGAATGTTTAAAGGAGACCCTAAATGGGTAGCTCATAATAGAAAAGACCCAAAAACTGAAAGAATGGAAATTCGAAAAAATTATTTGACAAAATTAAATAAATATACTAATCAAGAAGTATTGACTACAATTTATTAAAAAATAAATATTGGAAGAAATTTTCGCAAGAAAAAATATATGTATTTGGTCAAAATAATTGAAAAATACGTTCACTTTATTTGTCTGAAACACTAAAAAAAATTTTTTTCATTATTATTTTGCAACTATTAAATAAATATTTTTTTAGTTTTCTAAATAAAAAATATTAAAAAAAAATTTTTTCCCCTCAATTTAATTTTCCCGTTTATTTACATAAACACAAGATGAGAACAAAAATCATTTTTTATCTCCTAAGTAAATATTCTTCCGATTAATTAATCTTATGACTGAAGAAAAAAACAAAAACAACTCCCCAAACAAGTGTCCCCCGATCGCCGTTAATATTTTTTGCAAACCTATTGACATTATTTGATCAATATTTTTATTAAAAACAAAGTTTATTTTGTTTTAAGTTTGTTTTACAATTGTAATTTATTCACTACCCCCAATTAGTTTTTAAATTAAAACAAATTTATTTTTTAATATTAAATTTTATTTTAATGTGTATTTTGTAGCCCATTAAATTCTCTATCGAATGGTGTAAAAATCATAAAAATTGGTCCATTCAGTCTAGAGTAATTAATTCGGGAAGAATTTAAGAAAATTAAAGATAAGATAACAGAAGGGTAATTTAATGTTTTTTAAATATTATTAATATTTTTTACAATTGTAAAAACATATTTAAATTGTAAAAACATTTAAAAACAACTCCAAGTTTATTTAGAATAAGTTTAATGTTTTACAATTGTAAAGGTACTTGAATTGTAAAACTTGTTAAATAAGCAAGTTTTAGTGTTATATTATTTTTACAAATTGTAAAAAAAAGTTTTATTTAAATTGTAAAACTTTTACAAATTCAAGTTTATTTAAAATAAGTCAATTTTTTACAAATTGTAAAACTTTAAAATTGTAAAACTTGTTAAACATGTTTTAAACAAGTTTTAGTGGAATAAGTTTTTACAATTGTAAAACAAGTTTTAAGGGAGTGTTAATATTTACCTATTTTTACAAATTGTAAAAATACAATTTTTACAATTGTAAAACATTTATTCCAAGTTTATTTATTTCAAGTTTATTTATCCAAAGTTTATTTATTCCAAGTTTATTTATTCCAAGTTTATTTATTCCAAGTTTATTTATTCAAAGTTTATTTATTCCAAGTTTATTTTAAAATATTATTAAGTTTTACAATTATAAAAAAAGTTTCAACTTTTAAAAACTTTTTACAAATTGTAAAACCTAAACAATTCAACTTTTAATTTTAAAAACTTGTTTTGTGTTTTATCCTGCAAAAATTTACTTCCTCGTTTAAACACAACAGACAGACTGATTAAAATTAATTCTTTTTTTTTTACTTTTAAAAGTGCACATTTATTTAATCAAAGTCTTAAAAAATTAAATAAATTTTTAAAATTAAAATTCTAGACAAAATAAATTAAAATTTAAAAAAATGGTTAAATGTTGGCTTTTAAATGACACAATAATTGATCAACGGGAAGAATGTCATCAAAACCCTCCCATTTATTTAACCCTCGAGGAATTGGCTAATATTGGTGTGGAATATTTTTATGTCCCAACAAACACAAATAATGAAATTGAGGAAATTTCAATTAAAAAGGGATATAATTATAAAGATGAAATTATTGTTTCTCGTGATAAATTGCTCCAAAATTATGAAAATTGTGTGAAACGATTTTTTGAAGAGCATTTACATTTGGATGTTAATTAAAAAAAATTATTTTTTTAATTAGTAAAAATTAAAAATAATTCAGAAAAAAATCAGAATTTTTGGGAAATTAGAAATATTGAAAAAAGCGAAATTTCGGGAAAAACGAAATTTCGAGAGAATACGAAATTTCGGGAAAAAACGAAATTTCGAGAAAACCCTGAAATTTCGAGAACAAAAAAAAATTTCGCTAATTTTCGAAATTATTCTTGAAAATAAAAAAATCATTTGCCCCCATTTTCATTCAAATAAAATAAAATTTATTTCCCTCTACAGGATGAAATTCGCTACATTATAGATGGTTATGGTTACTTTGATGTGCGCAATAAAGACGAGAAATGGATTAGAATACTTTGCGAGCCTGGTGATCTTTTAATTCTTCCAGCTGGGATATTCCATCGTTTTACTCTAACAAAGGATGTAAGTTGAAATTTCGAGAAAAAAATTTTAAAAATAAACTTGGCGCCAAAATTTAATTGCGCCGAAATGACCTTTAGTTTTTCCTTCAAAAGGCGACCTAAGCTTGTTTAAAAATTCATAACAATTTTCAAACTTAATATTTTCTCTCCATTTTTTGACTGATTTATAGCCCAAACTCTCCTCTATTTAATGATATAAAAATCTAATTTTTATCTTTAGTAGAAAAAAAGATATTAATTTTTAAAATTTATTGCAGGATTTTATACACGTTATTCGCCTGTTCAAAGGCGATCCGGTTTGGACTGCTTTTAATCGAACAGACAAACAAGTAGAGAGTATGGATATTAGAAAAACATATCTTTCACAGATTGATTCACGAAAAATTATTAAATAAAAATTTTTTTAATTTAATGTAAATTTTTGATTTTTTTTGATTAAATAATTTCCTCAGGTTTTGGGTAGGGAAAAATCAGAATAATTGTGGGTATCTAATATTTGTGAAAATAATTACAAATTGTAATTCTGATTTGTTCGTTGTCTAAATATTTATTATTTAGTAAGTTTCGTCTTTCGACGAATTTCGCCTTTTTTCGTGTTTCGTTTTTGCGTGTTTCGTGTTTCGCCTTTTTTTGCACGTTTCGTGTTTCGTTTTCTAAAATTAAGTCAGTCATACTATTTCTGGTATGTAGTAGAGATCGGTCTAGATCCGGATCCAGTCTGGATTTTTCCTGGATGCAGATCCAGAATCCTGTCCAAGTTACGGGAAGAGAAGGGATATGTTCCAGAATCCAGCTCCAGGATTTTTGAAAATACCGGTCTCTAGTATTTAACAAGTATTTTGCGTCCTCCATACTTTTGCGCACACCAATGCTTTATTAGCTATTTTTCATAACTACCCTAAAATGCCCCTCAGTTTTCCCAAAAATGTTATGTTTTTCAATATCCCTATTAAATAATTAATTTTATTTTACAAATATAACTTTTTCTGCTTTGTATCATTTTCTACTATAATTATTAATTCTGACATTTATTTTTACTTTTCTGACGGTTACTAAAATAAAACTCATTTTTCTCTCTCCTTTAATAAATTCAATTGTTTTTTTCAGTAAAAGCATTTCCTGTCAAAGCTTCTTCAAAAAAATCTCTTCACACTTTTTGATGTTCATTTAAAGTGAAGTTTGAGGAGGATTTATATTAATGCGTGGGAATATCTAAAGGGGTTGACATTGCTAAAATAGGGGAAATTGGGGGAAATTTGGGGGGAAAGGGGAATTGAATGAGTAAACAAGAGAGTAGATGTGTTGAAAAAATTACTTGGAAAATTACAGGATTTTTAGTGCTGTTTAGGAAAAATTATGGGGAGATAAGGGGGATATGTTATTTATTTATTAGTCAATTCCAAGTAGTAATTTATTTATTTTTAGGCCATTTTTTGTTTACTTGTTTTTCCAAAAAAAAAATTTTTTTTATTAATAAATTAACCAAAAAATTAATTTTTGGGAGAAAAAATTTTTTCAAAAATTTTTGAAAATTTCAAAAAAAAAATTGAAAAATTTTTTTAAAAATTTTTGAAAAATTTCAGAAAAAATTTTTTCAATTTTTTCCAGAAAAAAATGACAGCAAAACGTGGCAGACATTTAATTCGCGCAATTTTATTTATTGTCCGATTAAGAAGGGATGTACAAAGCGCTCACAGGCGTAGAACTACTAGAAGAAGAATGGGAGCATTAGCAAAAACGGCTGCAATGTTGAGGCAAAATAGTGGCGGTGGGGGTTGTTCTCCTAATAAAATGAAAGATCGTCCTCCTTTAACTAGGTGGGGGAATGAAAAATTTTAATTTAATTAAATATTCTGATTTGTGAAATTCTGATTTTGCGAAATTCTGATTTTTGTAAAATTCTGATTTGTATAATTCTGATTTGATAAATTCTGATTTGTAAAATTCTGTTTCTTGTAAATTCTGATTAGTGAAATTCTGATTTTGATATTCTGATTTCTGTAAAATTCTGATTCTTGCAAATTCTGATTTGTAAAAAATATTCTGATTTGTGTAATTCTGATTTGTTAAATTCTGAATTTGTAAAATTCAGAATTGTTAAATTCTGATTTGTAAAAATCATATATTCTGATTACAATTGTTTATTTAATATTCTGACTTTAATAAAATTATTAAACTTGGAATTGTAAAACAAGTTTTACAATTTCAAGTTTATTTTATTTTAAAACTTGTTCAGAATAAATAAACTTAGAAACTGTAGAATACAATTCTGATTACAATAATTTAAAAATTCCTGAAAAAGTTTCTATTCAGATTTGTAAAAAGTTTACAAATTCTGATTTTTATTTTTAAATCAGAATTTTTTACTTATTTTCTCCCTAATATTTAAGATGCGAATCTAGTCGGCGCCCTCGCCACGAACTCTTACGACAATCACAACATCGAAACAGTGCTCCTTCTACAATATATCCAGCACCGATTTCACCTTCTCCTCAGCCTTTAAATAATTTTGAGGAGGGTGAAGTGGAAGAGTCAAATAGTGAATTTGGTAGGGATTTTCTGAACCTTTTTTGAAAAATTTTCTGATTTTTTCTAAAAAATTCTGATTTTTTTCTGAAAATTTTTTCTATTTTTTTTTCTGATTTTTTTCCTTCTGAAAAAAAATTTTTTCCCCTCTCTAGAATCATTTCTTCAAATGCCTTCCCCTTACCAACAATTACAAAAAGAAATTTATTCTTCCAAAGCGCATAAATTTGCCGTTAACTCAATAAAAGAAGAAAAAACAAATAATTTTAGTGAAGAAAATTCTGAAAAATTATTAGAAGAGAAAAGGGAGAGAAATGATGAAAATGAATCTAAAATTACGGGATGGCTAGATCCTAAAGGTAAATAAATGGGGAAGTTATAGTACACAGAAAAATAAAAATTAATAATTCTGATTTGTAAAACTTTTTTACAAATTGTAAATATTCTGAAATTTCAGAATTTATAAATAAAATTCTGGTTTTATTTGTAATTCAGAATATTTACAATTACGAATTAAGTTTTACAAATCAGAATAAAAATATATATCAGAATAAACAAGTTTTAAAAAATTCTGATAATTGTAAAACTTATTTTACAATTTGAAAAAGTTTAATTTTTTATTCTGATAATTGTAAAACTTATTTTTACAATTTGTAAAAAGTTTATTTTTTATTCTGATAATTGTAAAACTTGTTTTACAATTTGTAAAAAGTTTATTTTTAATTCTGATAATTGTAAAACTTGTTTTTACAATTTGTAAAAGTTTATTTTTTATTCTGATAATTGTAAAACTTGTTTTACAATTTGTAAAAAGTTTATTTATTTACTCTGATAATTGTAAAACTTGTTTTTACAATTTGTAAAAAGCTTATTTTTATAATTTTCAGAATTAACTGATTTATTAGAAAAAGTTGAAGTTCACAAACTTGGAAGTGACTGGCAGAATTGTAATTTCAAAAATATTAAAAATTAATTGTATTTTTATTTTCCCCAAGTGATTCCAACAACCTCAAATGCTTGCAATAAACGAAGCAAAAATGGAAATATTAATGGGAATAATACAACTGCTGGTTTAAGACAATTATTCTCTGCTGGAGCTAAATTAGTTAAAAATGTACAGAGGTGAAGGAGGAAATTTAAAAATTTTTAAATTAAAAAATTATTTTTCTAGAGGCCTTTATTTAGCAACCGTATTTTACACTGAAAATGGAAGAATTCTTTGTACGGTATGTTTAATTTAAAAATTTTTTTAATTTTTTGAAATATTAAAAATTAAAATTTAAAGGTAGATGATTGTCTTCCAGTAATTTGTGTGGATGAAAATTTTACTGGAAATGGGCTTAATCCAGATGAATTTCATTGGTTATTGAAGGTATAGTAAATAGAAATTTTTTACAAATTCAAGTTTATTTATTCTGAAGAGTGAATGAAATTGTAAAACTTGTTTTTACAATTTGTGAAAAAGTTTTAAACAAAACAATTGTAAAATTATTTTTACAAATTGTAAAAAGTTTGAAATTGAAAATGCTCATAATTAAACTTGCTTACAATCAGAATAAATGGACTTACAATTTGTAAAATTATTTTCAGAATTTATTTTACAAATTGTAAAAAGTTTTGAAATTTCAAGTTGGTTATATAATTATTTTTACAAATCCAGGCTTATTAAATTTTAAACAAGTTTTGTATTAAAATAAAACTTGAATTTGTAAAACTTTGTTTTACAAATTGTAAAAAAAAGTTTATTTATTTCTAACTTGTTCTTTAAAGTTGTCTCTTTGTTGGAATCAACTAAAACAATTACAAAATGCTTTGTTAAATTGTAATACAGCTTCAGCAAATTGCAGCATTAGAATAAGGCTGTTAGAAGCAGCATCAGCGATGCACAATGCTTTGGGGGTTAAAGGTGGGGGGATTTTTTTGAAAAATATTTTAAAAAAATAATTTTTTAGATATAGGCAGACTTCATTACGCCCCTTTACAACCCCGTCCTGGTACTCATATTTTAGTTACTGTCCGTCTACTTCTTTCTAAAGATAATGATGTTGTTTTAGCAGCTCAAGGTTTAGCTTTGAGATGGATGCGTTTGGCAAAATTTTTAATTAGAAGACAAGGGTGTTCTGTGATGGAAGTATGTTTATATTAATTGTTTTAATTGTGTCTTTAACACAAGCAAGCTTAAATAATTTTACAATTTGTAAAATAAATTCTGAAATTAATTTTACAAATTGTAAACTTTTTATTCTGATTGTGAGCAAGTTTAATTCTGAGCATTTTTAATTTCAGAATTTATTTTACAATTTGTAAAAAACAAGTTTTACAATTTTATCTTTCTTCCAACTTAAAACTTGTTCAGAATAAATAAACTTAGATTTGTAAAATAACCAACTTGACATTTCAAACTTTTTTTACAAATTGTAAAGAGTTTTACAAGTTTATCTTTCTCTTAAAACGTGTTCAAAATAAATAAACTTGGATTTGTAAAATAACCAACTTGAAATTTCAAACTTTTTACAAATTGTAAAAAGTTTTACAATTATTAATTTTTAGTCATTAAAACACGAAATGCTTCCAATACTCAACTTTTACGAATCTTCTTTAATTAGCCTTAAACCTGGCCTTTATTTAGCTTATTTAAAATTACAATCTTCACTAAATTGTGTTAATGTATTAATTCCAGAAAATTTTACGTCAATTTTGCCGTTTGCTAGTAAGGGGGGATTTTTAAAAAAATTTTTAAAAATTTTTTCAAAAAATTTTTAAGAAATTCGATCAAATAATTTTTTAACTCAACAAGAATGGATGTTTTTACAATCTTTAAATTGTAATAACGGAATAATTATTAAAAAAGAAAAATCAGAACAACAACAATTTAATGAAGAACAAATTAATTTTCAGAAACAATTGGCTAGTGCAGCCAAAAATGTTTTTTCTTCTTTAATTTAAAAATGATTTTAATAGACGGTCGAACCTCTTTTTTAAGTACTCCCAATATTAGCTACACCTCTATTTAATAGACGGATTTTTAAAAAAATGGTTGGCCATAGGGTAGGGGAGCTGTCTGGGGTATACTCTCTATTTAATGTACACTTTGTCGGTCAAACCTCTTTTTTAAGTACTCCCAATATTAGCTACACCTCTATTTAATAGACGGATTTTTAAAAAAATGGTTGGCCATAGGGTAGGGGAGCTGTCTGGGGTATACTCTCTATTTAATGTACACTTTGTCGGTCAAACCTCTTTTTTAAGTACCCCCAATATTAGCTACACCTCTATTTAATAGACGGGGTTTTTAAAAAAATTAGGCTGGCCATTGGTGGGGGAGTTGTCGGGGGTATACTCTCTATTCAACGTACTCTTCGTTACCTTGTTATAAGATATCCTCTATTCTACGTACGCCCATTATAAGATACTATTTTTTAATTTCCAAGAAGGTACTTATAATAAGGGACTCAGTCACATGGCTATCCGAACTTTTGAGGAGCTGCCTGAGTGATATCCTCCATTTAAGATACCCCTCGTTATAAGATACAATTTTTAATACTAAAGAGAGTATAATATAGAGAGGTTCGACTGTCTAATAAAAAAATTTTTTTCAAGTTAACAATCGACTTGGATTTAAATAAAACCCAAATATCAACAACCAGAATATTCTTCCATCGCCTAGTTCGTCTAAACAATCAAGTTTTGTTAATATTAGCAATGCCTAGACCTGAAGAAGTTTGTCCAATAATAAATAATTATTCATCAACACCTGTTAGAGGAATAAATAATGGAAATAATAATTGGACAAATAATTTGTTAAATTTAAAAAATGAAAATATAAATAATTGTTCTCCTCTACAACAACAACAATTTAGAGGATGTTTGTCTATGCCTGTTTCTGTTTTTCAAATAGGTAGGAGAGGGGAATTGTAAAGTTGGGAATATTATAGAGAAAAAAAGAAAATTACAAAACCAGAATTATTGTATGAAAAATATATCAGAATTACAAATTGTAATTTTATTCAGAATAGAATAAAATTAAAATCAGAATTATTAAATACCAGAATTACAATTGTAATAAATAAATCAGAATTACAATAAAATCAGAATTATAGTGTAGTAAAAACCAGAATTATTAAATCAGAATAAAACAAAATTATAATTGTATTTAAATCAGAATAAAAAAATCAGAATTATTTATTCTGATTTTTTAAAACCAGAATTTTTGTTTAGAAATTATTAAAAATCAGAATTATTGTTTAAAAAGGAATCAGAATTAATTACCAGAATTACAATTGTAATTAAATAAAAATCAGAATATCATAATAAAAATAAATGAAAAATCAGAATTTTCAAATCAGAATTACAAATTGTAAAAATATCAGAATAATTTAATTAAAATTAAAGTTAACATGTTCACATACCAACCAAAACTTTTATCAACATATTGTCATCTTTCTGTATTTTTGGATCATTTTTTAATATTATTACAATATGAACAACGTGCTTGTTTGGACCAAACTACAGCATTTTTATATTCGGAACAATTAAAAATTCTTGGACAATTTCAAAAAAATTTGGATAAATGTTGGCGCTCTGTCCGTTGGATTAGCGATTTTGCCTCTATTGCGAGGGAGAGAGCTTATTTAAATAGGTGAACAGTTAGTTAATTATTAAAATCAGAATTTTCTGAAAAATCAGAATTTTTAAAAAAACCAGAAATTCTTTAAAATCAGAATTTTCTGAAAAATCAGAATTTAAAAAAAATCAGAATTTTTGAAAAATCAGAATTTTCTAGAAAAAATCAGAATTTTCTGAAAAATCAGAATTTACAATTGTAAATTACTCATCAGAATTTTCTTTTTAAAAATCAGAATTTTTGTTAGTTAAAAAATAATTGTAAAATTAAATCAGAATTACAATTTAATTTTTATACAGGCGTCGATGGTTCCCTTTGCCTGTTTTATTTAATCAACCTTCCCCCCTAACAATAACAAACAATTTTCAAGTTGATGAGGAAAATAAGAAAAATATATTCAGTGAATAAAAAATATTTTTGTTTTTTTATTTAAATTTTTTTAATAAAATTTTTTGGCTAAAAACGTGGTAATAACTAGTTTCGGTCCCAATTTAGACTTAAAGGAACAGCAAGAAAAATAGCAAATAAAAAAAAATAGGGGGGAGGGGAGAACAAATTGGATGAGGAGACAAAACTTGGTTAATTACCAAAAAATTGTAAAAAAAAATATTTTCATTCTTTTACTTCACAAAATTTACTATATAAAAATATTTATAATAAAACAAAAAAGATTAGGTAATTTACATTAGATTTTCTCAATACCCTCAAAAATTGAAAAATTCTATTAATTTAAAAAACCCTCCCCTCAAATAAAATTATACGTTTCTATGTGTAGCGTGACTTTTTTTGAGACCCAGAGTCTAGGCCTAGGCATTTTTTTAGATCGGCCTGGGTCTGGACAAAGGCCTGGATTTTTCCTGTACCCAGAATCCAGGCCCAAGCATTTTTTGACTGTGACTCAATCTAATGCAAAAATAACACTAAAAATAATACCTCTAAATCAAAAAAATATATACTTCTTCCTATTTCAACAAAGAATTGCAATCAATCAAATCCAAAATTGCCGCTCTCAAATCCCCCTCATATTGAATCAATTTTGCTTCGGCAACAATTCTGGGAACTTCCAATTCTTGCATCTTTAAAGAGAGAGGGATTTTTAATTGAAAAATTAATTTAAAAAAATACAAACAATAAGTTGAATATCGTCCCTCTTAATAGTAAAATTTTTCTGCTCAGGTTGTGCCATCTTCAAATTTCCCAAAGACTCTCTAGAAATCTCACTGACAGCTTCTCTATCTTCGTGGAAGTCAGTGACCTTTTTAATAGAATTTTTAAAAAATTAGAAAAAGAAAACCTTTTCCAAATCGGCAGCAGCCTGCTTATCAGCCTGGGCATCTTCTTTGGGCACTTTTTTGACATTGTCAACATCGTCATCTTCAACGTGGTTATTGTTGGTGGTAACAGAAGGAGGATTTTTGGACATTTTTTTAGATTTTTAAATAATTTTCAATAAAAATACTGCCTAAAAAATCAAAAAAAAAATTAAAAAACTAGGCGAGAATTGAAAAGAATTTCGGAACAGCCCAAAACGGCGCGCGACCATACGGCGCAAAGCCATAACTTGCTGGAAAATTTCTGGTCCTTATCAATTTAGGTACCAATCTCTTTAGCTCGATGAGAGGAATCGATTGATACTAAATTTGATAAGATTCGGAAATGTTGAAGCAAGTTATGGCTTTGCGCCGTAATGGCCGCACGCCGTTTTGGGCGTTCCCTAATAAAATGTCTCATTCACTCTTTTTCTCTAATTTGTTCTCTCGTCATTAAAATTTCTCTAAATAGGACATTAAGTCATTTTTAATTTATTTTTAAACAGAATGCCAAAAAGAAAATATTTTATTTTGCGAATTTTTGAAACATTGAATGATTCATTTTGGGTGAATTTTTGTCTAAATTTTTTGATGCTTTTTTTTAGTTTTTTGTCTCCTTTTTAGTTTTAATAAATGGACCAAAGTATTGCTCAACAAAAAATCAAAGATTTGACAACAGAAATTGAAGGAAAAATTCAGCAAGTCAACGCAACAGTTTGTGATCTTTTATATTCCCTAGATCTCCAAGAACAAGGAGGGAAATGTGATTGGTCTGATATTGTTCAAAAATTTTGTTCTCTCTCCAGCACATTTTCTAAATTGGAACAGATTTTACGCAAACCAGGAATTGATTTTGATGATAATGCTAAATTATTGAAAATGACTCAACTTGTTCCTCAAATTGTTTCTCTTGAACATGACAATACTTTACAGGTTTATATTTTTATGTAGTGGCCGGCGCGTGACGGGATCCCGCACGGGATTTTGAGGGACACCGCGGGACGGGATTCCGCAGTTTTTTCGATTTGCGGGATTCTGCGTGAGTGTGGGATTATTCCCACGGGATCCTACCGCGGACGTTTTTAGAGGTTACTCCCGCATGCGGGATCAAGCAAATACGATTATGCCGGTCATTATTCTTAAGGAGGAATAATTGAAAATATTTGATGTTTAAGGAAATAACAGAAGGACGTCTTTCTACTTTTGATCACAATATTGTTCCAATTTTGTTGAGGACTAAATTGAAACCTGATGTTGAAGATGAAGAGCTTAGTATCGACAGGGATAGACTGTCCAAACAAATTGATGTTAATAAACAAGTGAGTTTTTTTTGGATTAATTTGGGACATAAGTATGAGATTCTGGGGGGTGTGGGGGTCAGTTTTTTGAGAGTATTTTTGAGAGTTATTATTCGGCCGTCCAAGCACAAGTTTTTATGGCAGCGTTTTATTTTAATTCCGTGAATACCTAGAACTTACAATTTACTTTCACTATTTGGAACCGTATCGGAAAATCTTTGGTTCACCGGTTCGGTTTTAGGAACTGTAATCATACTAGGGAGTGTTCCCTGGTTAGACTATAAAACTAAAAAAATCTTTTCAACAGATAAAATCAATTAATTCACATGTTGACATGCTATGCAGCAAATTAAGTGAATTTAGTCGTCTACACGTTTTGGACCGCAAAGAATTTCAACAATCGTCACATGAAGAGACGATGAAATTGGTTAAAGCTGTTTGTCTTGGAAAAGGAATTCAGGTTTTTTTTTGAAATTTTTTTATTAAATTTAAGTAAATTTTAGCCCAAGACGTCAGCAATGGCAACAACTGCAAGTCCAAGCAAGCCTTCAACAAGTGCAGCATATCAACATGTAAAGCCAGAAATTAAAAGATAAATTATTTTTTGTTTAAAATTTGGTTGTTTATTTAAATATTTTTTGCATTTTTTAAAAATATTTTTTTTTAATAATTTTCGTTGTCTTTAAAGTGGTTGGATAATTTGCCAAAATTTTTTTTTTTAATTTTTTATTTATTCATTTTTTGAATTTTGACAGAAATAACCAACCTGTTAAATGCATTTGCCTCCTGTGGTGATTGATTGTGGAACGGGGTATCTATTTTTGATTTTTATAAGTTTTTCCTTTTTAGTTACACAAAACTTGGGTATGCCGGAAATAGTGAACCCCAATTTATTATTCCCTCAACTATTGCCATTAGAGATGCGGTGACTGCAAAGAGTAGTGGTGGTGGAATGGGGAAAATTGATGATTTAGATTTTTTCATTGGAGATGAGGCTTTGTCTCCAGCTGCTGCAAACTATTTTGTTAAGGTTTTTTATTTTTTGAATCGATTTAGTTTCGGTTTGTGACGGAAGTCTCTTGTCTATTTTTATTTTTGGTACTTTTGTCTGTAATTGCGGACATTTTTTGCAAACAATTTTTTGTTGACTTTTTTTTTAGAAGGGCCTCATTTTTGACCCTCCCATCTGGCAGCTTTTTTTTAAATGTTAAATTAAATATTTCAGCATCCTATAAGACATGGAATGGTTGACGATTGGGACTTGATGGAACGTTTTTGGGAGCAATGTATATTTAAATATTTGAGAGCAGAACCGGAAGATCATTATTTCCTTATGGTTATTTTTTTGATTTTTAATGAATTCAATTTTTATTTTACAGACAGAACCTCCATTAAATACCCCAGAAAATAGAGAATATACAGCAGAAGTAATGTTTGAATCTTTCAATGTTCCTGGTCTACTTATTGCTGTACAAGCAGTTTTGGCACTTTCTGCTTCTTGGCAAGAAAAACCAATTGATGGGCGTTCTTTAACTGGATTGGTTTGTTAAATATTTTTGATATTAAAAAATAAAAATTTTAAGGTAATTGATAGTGGAGATGGTGTTACTCATTGTATACCAATTGCTGAAGGTTTTGTTATTGGCTCCTGTATAAAACACGTTCCAATTGCTGGGAGAGATATTACTTATTTTATACAACAGGTTTTTTGAATTTTTGATAGAATGTGAATGGGCACTTCTGTCGTTTAACGAGGTTACAGGACTCTGACCATCATTAGGCCAGTGTACTTTATTCTTTTTTCTATCACTCAAATTAATACTTTGTCGTTTCTTAACATTTTCACAAGTATAATTTGGGTCAATTGAAATTTGGAACCTAAAATATATTTATCATGGTCAGAGAATATCGGCCCCCTTAAATGGCAGGAGTATACCATTTTATTTTTTACTATAAAGTTGCAACGTGAAAGAGAAGCAGGAATTCCAAGTGAACAATCTTATGAAGTTGCTAAAGCTATAAAGGTTGCTTATAACTTATCTTTGGAACTTGAATTTTTTAGGAAAGATATTGTTATGTTTGTCCAAACATACAGAAAGAATTTGTTAAATATGACACAGAGCCAGATAAATTTGTTCAATGCTATCATGGTTTTAACAATGTAACCAAAAAGCCTTTTACTATTGATGTTGGACATGAACGATTTCTTGGACCTGAAATTTTCTTTCATCCTGAAGTATTTTTTATAAATTATTATTACGGCTTGGAAAAATAGGCAAAGTTTTAGTTTGAATCTTTTTTCTTTCCTTTTTTCATGTTATATCATGGCGGGTATTTATTTTCTTCGTGTTGGAAATAGTAGCTCGCATTACCAACTAGGGATTCGAACCACCAACTTTGCATGTTTTCCCCAGCCTCAACATTTTTATTTTAAATTTTTCTTTGTAGTTTGTTAGCTCTGACTATGTAACTTCAATTTCTGAGTCTGTTGATCAAGTAATCCAGCAATGCCCAATTGATGTTAGACGTGGTTTATATGAAAATATTGTTTTGTCTGGTGGTTCTACAATGTTTAAGGTTTTCTTTGGAAAAATAAGAGGATGATTATTTTTATTTTTGAAGGACTTTGGGCGTCGTCTTCAAAGAGATTTAAAGAAAGCAACAGATCAGCGTTTAATGTTAAGTGAGCAATTGTCTGGTGGTAAAGTTAAGGTTATTGTTTAATTTTTTAAAGAATATTAAACATGAACGCCGTAATAACCCTTTCAAAAGTCATGCCGAAACTCCCAAAATGAGGATTGTTACAACCTTATACGTCAATATAGCAAGGGCGTAGTCAGGGGAGGGGGCTTCTGGGGCTATAACCACCCCCTCTGAAATGGGGAAAGTGAAAAAATTTTGAGAGAAAAATGATCAGAAAAATGAATTTTTACGCCTACAGCCCACAAAATCATTTGTGTTCGGAACGCCAAATTTGTTAAAAAGATTTTAATATTTTATCTTTTTTTCAGCCAAAAAATATTGATGTTCAAGTTATTTCACACAAACGACAACGTTATGCTGTTTGGTTTGGAGGTTCTATGTATGCTGCATTGGTACTGTTAATTTTTTAATTTTTTAATAAAATTGATTAAAATTAGCCTGAATTTTACAATGCTGCCCATACGAAAGCAGAATATATGGAAAGAGGAGCAAGTTGTGTTCGTTATAATGATATTTTTGGTTCAGTCGCTTAAAAATATTGATAATATTTCTAATAAGTTATTTAATATATATTTTTTTATTTTGCCGAATTATTTTTCCTTTTTTTAATATGAATAATAATACCAAAAATTAATTACTCATTTTGACGTCTGTAAATTTGTTATTATTGTTTTGAACAATTTATATATTTTTTATTTAATTTTTTGAAATTTTTTCTGACTTTTCTTTGGTCATTTTCAGTTCTAATTTTTTTATAGGAGAAAAGATGGAACTTGGAGTTGTTTTATATGATCAATCAGAAATTGTAATAACTAGTCAAGGAAACAAAATTAGCAGAAAAGCAAAAACTTATGGAACACAAAATATTAGATTGAGTGGATATGTGGGTTATTTTTTTATATTTTTCAAAATTTTTGTTTAAATTTAGACAATTGTGATGAGAGATGTGTTGCTGAGAGGAGATTTAGGTTTCTTTTAATAATACTGCCGAACCTCATTTTAAGACATAGGATACCCCTTTATTTAAGACACGTGTTACTATAAAATTTTGTAGGCCATTGGATTAGAAGTGTCTATACTGGAACGTGTCTTAATACCAATCGAGGAATAACAGACCTCCAAAAACCGATGAAATACCAAACCTCTAAAATCTGGTCAACTTAAGATACGTTTTCCTTTGAAATTGGGCTGGCCACTAGAACCCAATTCTTTTGAAAGTTTGATATTTCGGCGGTTTAGACGATATCCTTTATTTAAAATACACCTTATTATAAGTTTTGATTTTTAAGCAAAGGGGTGTATTTTGACTATTTATTTTATTTCACTCTATTTAAATTATTAAAAAAATTTTTTATTTTTAAGCTCAAATACGTTATGGAAAATATTGTGTTCTTCAAGAGGTTAATCTAATCAAAAGATTATTTAAAATATTTTTTTTATTTTTAGGGAACTATTGTTAGGCCTCCAAGTAAATGCTTCAGGTTTTTTTAGTCTAATAAAATTTTTTTTTAATTTCAAGTAATGGACTTGTTTTTTTCCCTGTACATTTTGGCGATTATGTATTTATTGAAAAGGTTTTTTATTTTATTAATTTTATTTAAAAGTTTACCTTATAGATTTTTCAAGGGATTTTTGAGATTTATAATTTATTGGTTGGAGCAGCTTATTTAGAAAAAAATTAGTGTTAGTGTTGATATTATTTTCTTGTTTTTGAAAATGAAAGAACTTGAGTAACGATTTTTCCAGATTTGGAAAAATTTTTTTGAGAAATTTTAAAAATTTATTCAGTATCTTATTTAAATATCTTTTTCATTTTCGATTAGTCTTTCAGACGATTCTTCTCTTTTTTCTACTTCGTGAGGGCCGTAGTCTTTTAATACCTCCCTGAATATGTTATTGATAGAATTTAATGGTTCCCTTCAAACAAAATTTTTTTAATTTTTCAGAATTGTGTAATTGAAGCAGTTTATATTGGCCATTATATCCACATTGGCGAAGGCTGTATTATTGGACAAAGCTGTGTAATCAAAGACTGCTGCTACATAAAAGCTAATAGTGTTATTTCTCCTGATACAATTATTCCACCGTAAATTTATTTTTGATAATTTTTATAAAATAATTTATGAGATTAGTGTCGTTTATTCGTTGGGTTTAGGGACTATTTTTAAATTTTGTAACACTGTTTAAGATTTTTTGGTGCTTTTTTGGGCTGTCATGTGAATCTTTTGATTTTTAAAAATTTTTTTAGAAAATTGTTTCTTCTCTAAAAAATTTTTAAAAATCAAAAAATTCACATGACAGACTAAAAAATCATCAAAATTTTTTTCTTCTTATAACCAAAAAAGTACTAGTGTTCAAGATTCCAAAAGCAAACTCTTACGAAAAGTTAAAAGTAATCACAAACAAGAATAGATGAAAATAAAAAATCAGTTGGGACGATAACATTTTATTTCTAATTAAAAAAAAATTTTTTTTTGTAGATTTTCAATAGTCGAAGGCAATCCAGCTAGAGTTGTTGGTGAATGGATACTTTCCGCGACACAATTGATGACTGAAGTTTGCCAAAGTTTTTTTGATAATTATTTACCTGAAACGGTTTTAAAAAGTTCAATGACCAATCTTTCATGAAAAATTTTTTTGGATCTATCTTTTTTGAAAGTTCCCTTGTATAATTTTTTGGACGTAAATGGGTTTTTGGATTGAGACACAGATACGTCCAAAAATATTTTTTGAAAAAAAATTTTTTCGATATTGTTGTTTATTTAATTTATTTTTTTGAATGTTTTTTGTTTAAAAATTTTTTTGATTAAAATTTTTATTTTATTTTTAAATTTTGTTTTAAATATTTTTCTTTATTTAATATATTTTTTTACATTTTTTTGATTAAAAAATTTGTTCTAAAAATTTTTTAAAATAGAATAAGAAAATGCTTCCAGCAGTCAAATGGCTAAATTCAAATACAAACAAATTATTTGTTATAGACCAAGAAATGTTTAGCCTTTGCCGTGTTGTTGAAGACAAAAATGAATTTAATAATGGGGATATAAATAATAAATTAAATAATATTAAACAATTAAATACTTGTGCAGTGACTAAACAAGAACAAGTTTTTTTAAATTTATTTTTGGAGTTTCTGTTGATTAAAAATTTTTATTTTTACCGGTGGCCTGGCAATAACTTATTTCTTAAATGTCCTTTTGTTAATCTCGGGGTCAGAATTTTCCGACTATGCGGGTCCCTTGTTTTCGATTTTTTAGCTACAAGTCTCTGGTGGACTTTGAAAAGGTCGTGTTCGAATTTGAAAAATATTTTAATGTCTAATAGCAAAAATAAATATTTTCGTCCTATAATTTCTTCGATTTCGGGTCCTTTCTTGGATTCTCTAAATTCTTCCTCACCCTTCTTTGCTTCCTTGAGGCCGTCACATCCTTCCTACAACATCCTTATTTTGATTTTTTCCCTTGTAAAAATATTCCTTTAATCTCTTTTAAAGGACACACTCCGCACCTTTGCGTTGGACCATTCACCTGAAAGTTATTTGGCTTTGGGTTATTCTACTGGAAGAATAAGTATATTTTCTGCTGAAAATGACCAAACATTGAGGTTAAAATTATTTTTAAATTTTAATTAAATTATTTTAAAGGCGTGCAAAAGACTTTAATGATACATCCAAAAGTATTTCTTGTATGCAGTGGAGTTATGTGGATATAAACAAAATTTGTGTTGCTTATGAACGGTTAGTGAAAATAATTTTTTTAATTTTTTGAAAAAATAACCTCATAGAATACACCCTTGGGGTTGAGAAGTTGGTCTCTTATAATGATGGGGGTATATTCATGTCAATAGAAGGTACATATTTCTTAGACAACTCCCCGGCTTAAGGGTCACCAAATTCTAGAAAATAGAGGTAGAGGGTAGATACCCCTAGGTACATAGAGTGGAGTACATTAAATGGAGGGTATCGTTTAGACAACTCCATTTTTTTGTGGGCAACTGTATAATAGAAAAATGTCTCTTAAACTGAGGTGTATCTAATATTTGGATGCATCTTATAATGTAATACTGCTTTAAAAATAAATTTTATTTTAGAGGTAGAGGGGCAGATTATTCTGTCATTGTATACGATTTGTACAAATTATTGAGACAACACCCAAGAGAGCAATGCGTTTCTATTTTTGAATTAAATTTGGCAGAAAAGATTGCTGGAATTTCTTGGCTAAAGTTTTTTTTGAATTTAATTTTTATTTTTTTAAAAATATTTTTTAAAGGGATGAACCAAATCTATTACTAATTAGTGGAAGTAGAGGACTAAGAATTGCAGATATTCGTGAACATGGAAATTTTCAAAGTGTTTTGGGCGTTCAAACATCTTTGGTTTGTGTTCTTTGTTATTTTCTAAAATTTGCGGACTAAAAAATTTTTTGCGGACAAACAAAATTTTTGTGGACAGAATTTTTTTTTGGTTTTTTTCTCTTTACAAGGTGTCTTGGTAATTTTTGATGTTTGTCCTGCGCTTATGGGTTTGTCCGCAACGTTTTTTAGTTAGAAATTTTTTGTCCGCAAAAATTTTTTTGTCCGCAAATGTTAATCCGCAAAAATTTTTTTTAAACAAAATTTTTATTTTTAAATATAAGATGGGTGTTTGCAGCGAACCAACAGCTGGACACCTTTTTGCATGTCACTCAAGAAATTATTTATATATTTATGATAGAAGATATTTAAATTATTCTCCAGTACATGCAATTGAAGCTTGCGTATGTTTTTATTTTTTTAGGGCAAAAAAAATTTTTTTTTAATTTTTTCTAGTCATCAAATAAAATAATAAATAAAATTAGTTGGCATCCAAAAAGAAGTTTTAATATTTCTTTAATTGCAAAAGATTCTGGAAATTTTTATAGTTTTTCTATTTCAAAAAATGCTTTTATACAGCAAGAAAAATGTGAAATAATTAATGAACAACCACAGAAGAATAATAATAACAGCAATAATAATAATACTAGTCCTAGAAGTGAAATGGCTGGATATGCTTATGGAAGTAAACTATTTTATGTAAGAAAATTTAAAAAAAAATTTTCTAATTTAATTTTAAAAATGGGTTGGAGACCCCCGACCTCCCCCCCTCATTTTAATTTTGAAAATTTTTCTGGAAAACCACCCCAAAGTTCGAACCTTTTCACTTCAGAAAAAAATTTAATTTACCCTTAAAAATTTGTTGGAAAAATTTTTTCGTTAAAAAATGAAACTAGAATTAAAAGAAACATTTTTGGAATGAAAGGATTCGAACCTTGATGATTTTTATAAAATTAAAAATAAAAGACTAGAAAGTTTGCACTTAACTAGAGAGTTTAAACAACTAGAAGGAATTGTAAAATTAATTCCGCCTGTTTTACATTTTGTAAAGAAATGTTTTGTGAAATGTTTTAACGCTTTTATTTTATGTTGTTTTGTTTTGTCTCTGTGGTTAAGTGCAACATTTCTTGATTTTGACTTTAATTTAGTTAAATTTCGTTAAGGTTCGAATCCTTTTTGCCTAAACATTTTTTTAAATAAATTTTTTCATTTTCTTAATTTTATTTTCAATAAATTTTTTCAGGTTCCAGGCATTCCGAAATTAGGTTCATTCGATTGGCATCCACATATTGCTGATTCTATTGTTTTTCTTTCTTCAAAATTTAATATGGCTGAATTAACGAAGGATCTCGCGATAATTAAGGTTTCTTTAAAAATTTTTTTTAAAGATTTTTCCAAAAAAATTTTTTTTTCTTTTTTTAGCATCGAGAAGATGTTTCAACAGCCATTGCTTGTGATAACGAATTTGCTTTAATTACTGGTAGACGATTAAAATTCGAAAATGGATTTCAAAATATTCCTTTAAATGAAGACAAAGTTAAAATTTTAAAACAAAGGGCTATAGATGGATATGGTTATGGAAATACTTTAAGTTGTACACAAAGTAAGAAAAAATTTGAGAACTTTAATTGATAAAAAATTTTTTTAAGCTTTAATCGACTCTTCTCTCAAAATTATTGAAAAAGATAAATTTGCGGATGATGATTTACGTTTTTGTTGGCATTGGATATATTCAATGTTTAATTCTCCTGATGCTGGTGAAATGCATAAAAATTATGGAACTATGTAAGGGGATGAGGATTTTTTTTATTAAAAATTTCTATAATTTTTTTAGATTTTTTTGGAAAAAAAATTTCTGAAAATTTCAAAAAAATGTTTTTTAAATTTTTACTTGAATTAAAAATTTTTTCTTCATTTTTCAAAATTTTTTTTTCAAGTTTTGTTGGCGTTAGACATATACTTACCGGAGCAAAAGCAACCTCAACTATTAAACATGATGAGATTACATTTAGAAATCGTGTATTTTTTATTAGAAATTTCTTTTACAAAATTTTCTTTTCTCAGTTATTTATTAATGATTCTCGACTTAAAGTTCTTCGAATGTGTAATTGGCCAAATTATAGTGACAGAGAAGAATGTAAAGTTGTTTTGGATGATTTATCAGCAAGTGGACATGTTGAGGAAATTGCTAGGGTTGCTGCAATAGCTTTATTTTGTGTGCAGGGAATGCTTTGTTTGGAGGTTTTTTTTGAATATATAAAACGAGGACTTCATTATAAGGCAAAGGCGTAGCCAGGGGGTCGATTTCGGGGGGGGGGGGGGGGGCTAACACTGGGTGGGCGCCAAATTTTTGGCGTTTACCTTGGCGTTCCGGACGCAATTTTTTGTACATAAATTTTCATCTTTTCTGCGCCGCAGGCGAAAATTTTTTTAAATTAGAGGGTTGTAGGCGAAAAAATTTCACTTTTTCGACCATCTTCTCTTAATTTTTCCCCCTTTCTCCCATTTCGGGGGGGGGGGGGGGGGCTTCAGCTCCCCCCTGGCTACGCCCCTGGTAGCTAGGGACATTTTTTTGTAAAATTTATTTGACCACGGGTTAGGGTGAGAGGTTTTTCAAACCTGACGGGGTGTTTTATAGTGAGGTTCGAAATTTTTATTTTATTATAAAATTAAAAAACCCTTATAAAAATTCTTTTTCAGTATTTAAAAGAATTTAATGAGCGTGTAAACTCTCCCGAATTTATTGAAAATCGAGAACCTGAAATTGTAAATTCTTATCAAAAAATGGCTGGTAAATTTTATTTTTTTTTTTATTAAATAAATCAGATTTTTTAAAGATATTATTTTAAATATATTTCAACGTTATGATGGTGTTAGAGTACCAAATTATGAAAATGTTTGTGAAGAATTGAGTGATGATGTTTATTTACTTGCTATTGTTAAAGTTAGTTATATTTTGATTTTTTTTATTTTTAAAATTTTCTAAATTTAAAAGTTTCTTGCTAGACGTGACAAAATTTACAATAAAATTTATAATGAAATATTTGAGAGTGTAAGTTTCTTTTAAATATTTTTTTATAAAAATTACTAGGTGTTAATTATATAAATAAACCTTTTCATTCTCTCTATAAGATGATTTCGAGCAGGCCCGTTGGTAGAATTTTTTTTCGGGAGAGGGTCAAGGGGGAAATTTTTCTATTTTTGATTTTTAGCGCTGCAGGCAAAAATTTTGAGAATTTCAGAAGGCTGTAGGCCAAAAAAAATTTTTTTTAATTCATTTTGGATCGTGTATTAACGCTAAAGATTTATCAAAATATTTTTTTATTTTTTAAAGAATATTCGATTAGAAGATAAATTAGCATTTGCTGTACTTCACATGGATGACGATTTTTTAAATTCTGCGTTGGATAAACTTACAAATGAACTTTTGTCTTTATGCCCTCTAAGTGCTTTATTTATTGTTGGATTAAAAGATGATCCTGTTTCTCATATGGTTTTACATCGGTTTATTTTTAAGTTCTAAAAGATTTTTTGATCCCGTTGAATTTAAAAAGGAGAATTTTGGGAAAATTAATTAGTAAAAAGAGGGTCTAAACAATTGGGAGTGTAGGAACTTGGAATTAGCGTGACTTGGGACTCGGAAATTTTTTAAAAAATTTTGGAGGACAGAAATCAAAAGGGATAACACTAGTGGAGTAAAAAGTTGGCTAGCTTTTGGGTTTGGTTTTGATAATTTTTCGGATCTGGTTTAAGGTAATCCGTGACATCTCTTGACTCGAACCATGGAAACGCGGAAAGTCTCATTTCTGCGTTGATATTCTAGATCTTAAAAATAAAAATACCTAAGACAAGAATTCATTTTTTAAAATTTATTTGTGATTAATCAAGAAAATTTTTTTTAATTTAAAGTTATTTGGATATGTCATTTGATATTCAAACAACAACACTTCTTTTATCAATTGGAAATTGTTTTCAAGGCTGTCGATTTATTAATGATACTTCCCTTATTGGAATAAAATCTTCGGAATTATTGGAAAGAGCAATGTTTGAAAAAATTAATTTTTCTTAATTAAAACCCCCCACCTTTTAAAGTGATTCTGAAGACGTCAACAATTTAAGAAGAAAAAGTTTGTTGTGTTTTAGAGATTATATGGAATTGTTAAATCAATGGAAATTATGGCTACAAAAAACTTTTCTTTGTACTTTTCTTCGTCCAGATACTCATTATGATGAAGCTGATGTTAGGCCGAATGTTGCTAATATTCAGGTAAATTTTTAATTTTTTATTGACGTTTTGGATAGGTGACATTTTTAATTTTTAAAAATTGACCATTTTGTAATAATTTAACTGATTGCTGTTTTGATATATTTTTGACTAGTCGACGTTTTGATGTATTTTAGGGTAGTCGACATTTTGATGTATTTTTGACTAGTCGACGTTTTGATGTATTTTTGACTAGTCGACATTTTGATATATTTTTGACTAGTCGACGTTTTGACATTTCCGATAAAAATTTTTTAATTTAAGGCAGTTATCGCCTGCAACTTTTGTGGAGCTCCAATATACCCTTCGATAGCTGGACGTATCGAAAATTTACGAACCCCAAAAGTCATAAGCAGCAGCACCTTCAATCGACGAATGGGAGCATCACATTCTGCTAGAACAAGAACCCTTTCCTGTATTTGTCGAAAGCCTTTACCCAAATGTATTATTTGTAGACGAAGTTTGGGTAGCCAAGCAGAACCTGAAGCCGAAATGGAATTGATGAATAGCAGTAATATTAAAGAAAAGGGTTCAATGATTGATCATTGGTTTGTTTGGTGTGCTCTGTGTTCTCATGGTAATGAAAAATTTTGACATTGACATTTTGAAAATTGACATTTTGAAAAAAAATTTTTTTCTTTTTTAGGCGGCCATTTATCCCACATTCGTGATTGGTTCAACGAACACTCAGTTTGTGCTTCTTCTGGTTGTGATTGTAAGTGTTCACTTGGTGAAGAAAATAATTGTCTTAGTTAAAGACTTTTTTTTAATTTTTTCCCTTTAATTTTTCTTAAACTTTTATTCACACAAGTAGACCTAATCCTTTTTTCCCTTCTCGACCTGTATTTATTTAAATTTCTAATAATAAATTGGATAGCTTTGTTTTAGTTAATTTGACTTCCGAAATTTTTCAACTAGTTGACATTCTGAAATTTTTTCCATTTAAGATTTTTTGGTTTAGTTGACATTTTGAAATTTTCAACTAGTTTCTCTAACCACACTATTTTTAAATCAGTTTCTCTAAGTTCAGGGATCAAACGTCATTTATATCTTAAAATTGCATTATGCCAAAATCTCGCGGATTCTTTAAATTTTAAATATTCCCAAAAATAATTCTCCGTTCTTCCAAAATGAACTTGAAAAACGGCAATTAATTAAATTTTTATGTATACATCATTTACATTAAAATAAAATGTTTTAAAATATTTAGCAATTAAAGAAATGAATTGCAACATTAAAAAATTAAAAAGATTAAATTGCAAGTCTAACAATAAATTTTTCCCTAAAACTAATTTTGGCAAAGACAGAAAAGGAGATCAGAAAAAAGAAAGGAAATAATGTAGGGAAATAAACTAATTTTTAATAATTAAAGGATTCTCTTTTGATTTTGTTGCCAAATTTCTTTCGATATTCGTCGTACAAAGTGTCGTTTATATCTGTAGAAAATGATTTAAAATTAAATTAAGGTAGGTCCTACCCCCAAAACTGAACAAAAACCCCAATTTGTCCCACTGAACAAAAACCACAACTTGTCCCACTGAACAAAAACCCCAACTTGTCCCACTGAACAAAAACCCCAATTTGTCCCACTGAACAAAAACCCCAACTTGTCCCACTGAACAAAAACCCCAATTTGTCCCACTGAACAAAAAGCAATATGTCCCACTGAACAAAAACCCCAATTTGCCCACTGCACAAAAACCCCCCCAATTCGGCCCACTGAACAAAAACCCCAAAACGCCCCACTGAACAAAGGCCCCAAATTGTCCCATTCCCAATTCGGCCCATGAACAAATTCCCCTAAAACGACCCACTAAGTAAATAACTGGTATAATTTTTAATTATACAGAGGGACCACGCCATAAGGACTAAATAAAAATATAATTTTACCAAATTCAGGCTCTATTCCCCTCCTTCTTCCCGATCTTCTAACAAAATCTTCAGCAGTAATAACCCGTTTATATACTTCTTCCTCCTTTGAATTTACAACAACATTCGTTTCTTCTTTAACAGAATTAAATATACAAATCTGATTTTCTAAAGGTTCAATTAAAGCAATTTCTATTCCAAGTTCAATTTCGCCAAATGAAGCATTTAAGGATGATGATTTTTTCTTAAAAGAAAAAGTTGAAGAAATATCATCTTCCTTTGAAGAACTTTCCTCCACATTCAACATGTCTTCTTCCTTCTCTTCTTCTATAAAATTCTTCTCTTCATCCTCTTCTTTATCCCCATCTTGTTGAAAACATTTTTCGATTTCCCCTTCTTCCTCTTCTTTTGAATCATCCCTCTCCTCTTCCTCATCCTCCAGATCATACAATATATATTGTTCTTCATTGCTTTCTTCATCCTCCAAAAGGGTTAACAGTTCCTTGAGGATGTTTTCTTCAATTACGTTATTCTCTTGTTCAACAATAATCTTCTCTTCCCCTTCTTCCGTGACATCCTTCTCTTCATCTTTTTCTTCCATTTCTTCCTCCTCAACAACCTTCTCTTCCTCCTCCTCTTCAACGATATCGTTCTCTTCATCTTCCACTCTCTTTTCATCATCCTCTTCCTCTTCATCGCCACTCTTCTCTTCCTCTTCCAAAGTATCAATCACCTTCCTTTCCTTTTCTTCCAATATAATTATTCGCTCTTCTTCATCCTCTCCTCCAGTATTAATCAATTCTTCATCTTCCTCAGCCTCCTCTTCAAACCAAACAATTTTTCTTTTATTATTCTCTTCACAAATTTTATTTTCCTCCTCCTTCGCTTTCAAAATACTTTCTCCTTCTTTTGCATTCTCTTCACAATTTTTGCCTTCATCTTTCAAAATTTCCCTTCTTCCTTCTTTTTCTTCTTCCACCTTTCTCTTTTCTTCATTAATTTGAATCAAAATGTCATCCAAATGTAAATCAAGCTGAATTTCATTACTTTTAAATGAAGGTTCTTCTCTTTGTAAGTTCTTCTCTTCAGTAATTTGCAATCTCTTCCCTCTAGTTATTCTTGTTGTTATTATTGACTTTTGATTTTTGCCAGCATCAGTGAATGTTCGCTTTAATAAACTAAAAAAATAAAAAATTTTTTTTGGTTAAGTGCAATTGTGTTTGGTTTCAAGCTAAAATAAGAGGGAGGAGGTTCGAACCCGTTCAGGCTAAAATTACTTTTTTCTTAATAAAATTAATTTGAAAACAAATTCCTAATTTTTTAAAAAAAATTTTTCTTAAAAAATTTTTTTTGGTTAAGTGCATTTGTGTTAGGCTCCCATAGAAAATAGACGAAGGTTCGAATCCGCTCATTGGTAAAACAATTTTTTCTTAATAAAATTGAGTAAAAATAAAATTTTTTCAACTTTTTAAATAAAATATTCTTTCAAAAAAATTTTTTCTTATTAAAAATCAACCAAATAAACTTTAAAAACCTTACTTAAAACGATTATGTACAGCCTGCTCCCTTTGAATTTGTGGTCTTCTCCAAACAGGTAAATTTCCATTTCTTGTTAATTTAGAAAATGATTCGGGAGAAGTATTACAGGCTTTTTGAATTGATAATGGGGGTGTATTAGCCCATTTTGTTGGAGTTAGAGAAAATGTTCGAAGACTTCTACGATTTAACATTTCAATCAAGTCTGAAAAAGAAAAAAATTTTTTTTAGAAAATTTCCAAAAAAATTTCTTAGGAAAATTATTAATGATAATAACAAAAAAATATTTTTAAAATCGACAGGGAAAACATATTCCACCTAAAAACATAAAGATCGAGTTGGTTAGTTAAGTGGAATTGCGCTAGTCTCCAAGTAAAAATCGGGGAAGGTTCGAACCCGCTCGGGAAAAATTCATTTTTTTCTTATTAAAAAATAAACTTAAGCGAAAATATTTTTTAAAAATCTTTTAAAAATCCTCAGAGAACATACTCCACAAAAAAACACAAAAATCGAGTTCTTTGGTTAAGTGCAACTATGTTAGGGTTTCATTGAAAAATCGGGGAAGGTTCGAACCCGCTCGGGGGTAAAACATTTTTCTTATTAAAAATTAACTTTAAAACAACTTTTCTTCTTAAAATAAAAAATATTTTCTTTTAAAAAAATTTTTTAAACAAACATTTTTGTGCTTCTCTTCTCTCTTCAATTGTTGGAACAGCAGAAAAATTTGTTAACGCGCTAATTCCTCTATGGGTAAAATATGATGAAATGAGAGGTTCATTATTGTTGTTATTTCCTTTTTCTGCCGTTGCTTTAGCTCTAAATGTTCGATAATCAGTATCTCTTAATTTATATTTATTTTTTTCTTCTTCATTTTTTTCTTCAGAATTTGAATGTTTTTCTGCCTCTTCCTCCTCAATATTTGGATTTTGACGAAATGAAAATAATCCTGTTCCTTCCCTTAAATAATATTTTTGAATTTCCACAAAAATTTCAAAAAAAAACCTCTCACAAGTAGAACATTCACAACGCAAATTTCCGTCGCCAAAAAAATTTGCTCCATAATAACAAGTTATTTCGTCTCCAGTTTGGATATCACGCAAAACTGTGAAAATAAATTTTTTGAAATTTTTTGTTTAGGAATATTATTTATGAAATTTATTTATGAAAACAGTTTTTGTGAAGATCCCATAAAAATTAGGCAAAAAATTAAATCAGAGTATGTTCTCAAATTTGGCAATTTAGGCTCATGTTTTCGAGGACACATTGCGGACTTATGTGTTGAGTGAGTTTAAAAATAGCAACCTAAAGCAATTGCTGGAAAATTCTCAAAAAATCCTCTGAAAATTGTCCGTAAAGGCAGAAGAAATTTTGGAACTTATGATGTTTGGGTACACACTCCATTTATTCGCAAGCTAAAAATGGTCAAAGTAACCATATTGAGGTCGGAAAAACGCTTGGGCATAATTCCTTGCATCGTGCGGTGTGGTGTTTCTCGCAAGAGTCAAGAGCTGTACGCTGTATTAGAGGCCTCTTGCTAGCTCGCGAATAATCGGGTTGATTAGTCAATTCGCCTGATAAATGAGGGCGTATCTCGTGAATGAATGGAGTGTGTACCCAAACTGCATAAGTTCCGAAATTTTTAGGGGAGAAAAAAATTTCTTTATCCTATCACAGTGGTTACATAAATAATCCTACCTATTAATAATTCCCTCCCAAATTAAAAAACCCCTCAAAAATATTTCTTTAAAAAAACCTTTAATTATCGCTGTATGTTCTTGCGGTCCAGGAATAAATTTACAATTAGCATTACAATCATGATTAATATAAGCTGCGGGTCCAAGCCAAAGTTGAGCTCTTTTCTTTCTAACACTAAACATTACAGAAAAATCATTAACTCCTCTTTGCAATATTTTTGCTTCTTCTTGTTTTGATAATTCTCCAATAACTCCAATTAAATTTTCTATTATACTCCCTTGCTTCCAAAATTTTGTTGCAACTGTGAAAAAATTAATTTTTAAAATTTGCGGACAGATTTTGCGGACAAATTCTAAAATTGTTTATAGAAGGAAGACAAATATAACCTCACAGAACCAATGGTCCTGGCGGTTTAGAGAACAGATTTAAAAAAATTTCGGACCCAACACATAACGGTTTTTCAAAATTCTATTTTTGGAGATGGCGGGACACTGCCTCTAAGACATTTTTTAAGAAATAGGACATGAGCCCCTAAGGCCTGACTATCAAATCCAAAGGAAAGTGAGGGGGAAAGGACATTATTGCCATTCAATTTGTGAATCACATAAGTGTTGACACTCGTTCTCAAGGGCTCTGGGCTGTAAACTAGTGAAGGTGGTAGTAGAAATTAGAGATCGAGCTGGACCTGGAGCAAGGCCTGGGTTTTTTCTTACCCAGAGTTCAGGCCTAGACATTTTTTGACCTTCCTGGTTTTTTCGTGGGTCTAGGTTTTTCCTAAACTAGAGGCCCAGGATCCGGCCCAGTCAATAAATCAAATCCAGGCCCAGGCTTTTCAAAAATCTCAATCCTAGTAGAAATCCATAACTATTCCCTAATTCATAAAAAGGACCTCTATTTAACCTAACTTCAATAAAAATCAAAATAAAAAACCTAATTTTCCTCCCATCCTATTTTCTCCACTATATCGAAAACATTGTGTTATAGTAAATCCAGAATGTGGATAAAACATCAACAGAAACCGCAATATCTTAAAATTAAAAAAATTTAAAAAAAATTAAAAAAAAAATTTACGTGTCCCTCAAAATTTTCTTTTTCAAAATCTGTTTTTGAATTTAAAAATTCTTTAACAATATTTAATGAAGAAATTGAATTTAAAGTTGTATCAAAATCTGTATTATGTACAAATTCACAAAGTAAATTAATTAGGTTACGCCTTTCATATTCTGGTAGAGGTTTGTGTCTTAAAGAGGAAAAAATTTTTATTGAAAATTGGGGCAGAATAAAAATTAAAATTTGGAAAATAAAAGTGTTGGAAGGATAAAGGAACTAAAGACACCAGAAACTAAGACTGGACACCGAATCCGTCTAATTCGATTTCTAGGAAAATCCCAGGGTGGCCCTTTTACTAATTTACATGGCATTTGCCCTATTTTTGACCTTTTGCCTTATTTTTCCCCCATTTCTTTATTTGCCCTATTTTTAACATTTTGTAAAATTTTTACAACTTTTTTTTTATTTCGAAAATAAAATGACTTGTTTCGGCAAAAAACCCAACGCCGAACCCCAACACATATAACCACAAAAAACCAGTAGCTCGATTTTCGGGCTCTAAGAGTTGGGAACCTATCCTGCGTCGAAGAATTGCAAGCGCATCGAAACCCCAAAAATATTTTTCAATTTTATGCTTCTCGGGTAGATCCAATTTAAAGACATTAAAAAAAGATTCCAAAAAACCTTATATCCATTTTATGAGTCACAAATCCCATAACAGAATCCACAAACAAAGCAGTACACATATCTTGAAATAAAAAGAGAAAATAATTTAAAAATAAAGAAAAAACCGTCATTTTCACAAAGTTCTTTTATCGACATTTGATGACATCTTGTAGGTTTTAACAACATTTATTAATTATAAAATTTAAAAAGAATTTCGAAAATGTATCTAAAATTTACAAAAATGTTAAAAAATTTTTTAAATTCCCCAGCCACTGAATTATTGGCAATGAAACAGTTTGGGGATCACTAGAGTCCCGCCAATAGAGCGCCGACCAGCCATCTTTTATTCGACTATAACTTTATTAGTCCTTAACCAATTTCAATAAATCTAGTATCATTCAAAAGCTCTCAATAGGCGCTATCTTTTTTCCAACTACATGGATCAAGTCCGATCACTCCATAAAAAGTTACAGCACAATAAGTGCAATTATTTGTCATTTTTATAGTTATAAGCTTATAACTTTTTAATGCCTGATCAGACTTGATTCATCCAGTTGGAGGAAAGATAGCGCCAATCAAGGGCTTTCAAAAGATATCAGGTTTATTCCGATCGAATCAATATTAAAAAAGTTATAGCCGATCAAATCCTGCTAGCTCATACTTTTGACACTGAAGTTTCAGCACTGAAACGTCCTTTTTAATTGAAAAAAGGGACGTTTCAGTGCTAAAAGTTCAGTGCCTGGGTAATTTTAAAAAAATTAAAAATTTTAGGCAAAAAATGGCTTCAATTAATTTATCAGAAAATTTACTTGTAATTTGTTCCAGTCAACATATTAATTTATTTAAACAACAAAATTCTTTGTTAAATTATTCTTTTTTGTCATCATTCGATATTACAACAATAGAAGTTAATTTAAAAGGGAATAGAAAGAAGAAAACTGAACAAGATAAGGTTTATTTTATAATTTATGGGGTTTTTGATTATTCGGATAAAAGTCCAGCTAATTGTTCGCAATTACCTGGCAATGCATAGAAAAAAAGTCCGCAAAAAATTGTCCGCAAAAAATGTCCGCAAAATTTGTCCGCAAAAAATGTCCGCAAAATTTGTCCGCAAAAAATGTCCGCAAAAATAGTCCGCAAATAAAATTTGCAAAAATAGTACGAAAAAAAAGTCCGCAAAAATAGTCTGCAAAAACTATCCGAAAAATGTTTTTAATTATTCTAATAATTTTTTTAAGATTCTCTGTTCTTCCCTTTCCAACAATTCACAATATTTAGCTGTTGGCACAACCTCCAAATTACTTTTAATTTTTAATTTAAATGAAAATAAAGAATTATCTCAACCATTTTATTGTGAATTAATCAAAGCGCCAACAAAGGTTTTTTTAATTAATTATTTTTAATTTAAATTTTTTTCTAGATTTGTTTTCTAAATAATGAGACTGTGTTGGTATCCAATAGATTTGGATCTCTGTTCAAATTTGAAATTTTTGGTAATTTTTTTTGCATAATTTTTGTTTAATTTTCATTAAAATTTGTGTTTGTCCGCAAATATTGTCCGCAAATATTGTCCGCAATTTTTTGTTGAATTTTTTTTTTTCGAATTTTTGAAACATGGACGGTTTTAAGAACAATTTTCAGAAATTTATAATTTATTTTTGAAAGTCTTCTCTTCGTTTCAAAAATTAATTTTCGATCCCATGATTCATTTAACCCTTTATATATTTTTTATTTTTTTTGAAAAATTTTTTTTAATTTTGACAGAATCCAAAATATCTGAAGGCGTTGAATTGCTTGGACATTTTTCTATGGTTTTTTAAATATAATTTACAATTTTTTATTTTTTCAGTTGTTGGATTTTTGTATTTCTCCAAATGGAAAATTTGTTTTGACGGCAGATAGGGACGAAAAAAGTTTTTTTTTTAATTTTTAAAATTAATTAAAATATTTTTTTTATTTTCTAGTTCGTATTTCTCGCTTTCCTCAAGCTTATGTTATTGAAGGATTTTGTGGGTATTTATTTTTATTATTTATTTTTTTATTATTTTTTGTCCGCAAATGTTGTCCGCAATTTTTATTTTTTTAATTTTGACATTTTTTTCGATTTCTGACCATTTTGAGCATTTTACATTTTGAAAAAAATTTCCATTTTGAAATTTTTTCGATTTTTACCATTTTGAAATATTGACATTTTTTAATTAAAAATTTTTTCAAGGTTTTGGACACTCTTCATTTGTTAAATCAATTGCTTTTTATGGCGACAATAAATTAATTAGTGGAGGTTTTTTTAATTTTAATTAAATTTAAATTAATTTTTTATTAGGAGGTGATTCAATAATTTATGTGTGGGATTTAAATTTATTTAAATGTATTTCTACAAGCTGTAAAGTTTCTGAGACGGCAATTAGAAAAGTTGGAGTTGTTAAAATTGTTGAGGTTTCTTTTGAAAAAAATTTTTTTAAATGTCAAAGTGGTAAATTTATCGAAATGTAAAAATTTTTTCGATTTTTGACCATTTTGAGCATTTTACGTGAAAAATTTTTTAATTAAAATTTATTAAAAAATTTCTTTTAATTTTCAGGAAGAAATATCAAAAGAAGGAATTATTTGTTTACCAGACCAAAGCAATTCAATTTTATTATTTTCTTTAAATCAACAACAGCAAATGGCAAAAATGAATTCTTTTAATTGTTCAAATGAAAATGAATATATTTTTGATTTTGTTGTGGATATGGATAGAAAAACAGTTTTTTGTGTTGGAAGGTTTGTTTTTTAAAAATTTTTTGAAGAACTTTTGAAAAAATTTTTTCGGAATTTTTAACAAAATTATTAGCCACTAGGGACAAAATGGTCAGAGCTCAAAATATTATTTTCCTGGTGTTCTAGACAAGTATGAGTGGTCGTAAAAAATAGTTTCTTCATTATAAAGAGACTTTTATCTATTAATATCAGAAAATATATAAATTTGACCATTTTGGTCTTTTATCAATTTTCAAACTTTTTTTGGAATTTTCTAAAAAAATTTTTTTAATTTAAAAATATTTTCTTCCATTTTTCCTTTAGAAGAATTCACAAAAAATATTTAAAAATATTATTCTTTTTTATTTAAAGACAAGGAATTTATTATTTCCAACCAACAACTATTAATTTGCCTTCTACAGCAATATCAGAACTAAAATTTCTACAATTTTCTCCACCTTTAAACAATTTTATTTTAAATGAATTAAATTTATGTGAAGACCAATTACCTTTAAATTCATTATATAAAATACCTTTAAATGGAAAAAATTTGGAAGATTATAAAAATAGAAAAGAAGAAAAATTGGGGGAGAAAAAGAAGAAAATGTTGGGGGAGGAAGAGGAAAATTGAAGGAAAAAAATTATTTTTTGTTGTGTTTTTGGTAAAAAAAATTTTTTTTATTTATTCAAAATAAAATTTTAAAAACGTCTAAAATTTTCCCAAATATTTTTAAAATCATTTTTAACAATTTAAATCAAAAACAAAAATGACGGGCTCAGCCGGTGATCGAAACCGGGACCTCTCGCACCCAAAGCGAGAATCATACCACTAGACCACTGAGCCTACATTATAAGTTTTTAATAAAATTCCTTTTAAATCCCATGTAAATAATAAAAAGCTGTTGAGAGTTGTTTGGGAGAGATTAAGTCTACCCAGTTTTAGTGCATTTTCGATTCCAATTTCTATTAAAATATTAGAACAAAAAATTTCGAGGATCAGACAAAAAAATTCCTTTTATTTAAGTCACAAATCCAACTAAAAATAAGACAAGTTTACCCACAAACAAACACCATACAAATAAACAAAATTGAGAAGGGAAGGGTTGAGAAGGTAATATTTACACTCGAAAAGGGTAAAAGTATAGGAGACTTATAATATTTAGGGATAAGGGTGAATATTAAAATTAGAGTATCACACAAAATTTATTCTTCTATACACTTCACTTCTTCCTCGTCGACGTCCCCTCTTCCTTCTTTTCCGTCCGTTCAAGTCCCGTCTCGTTTAAACGTATTATCGTAGTCCTCTGAAGCTTTGTCGAAATATCCTGTCTTGTTTTGGGTGTCACCAATAGTCGGCCTCTCTTCAGTAACCTCAGTCGTTGTCTTTGCAGTCCCCCCAGTGCCAGTAATTCCCGGAGTTCCAAAATAATCTTCCAATGGTTGTTCTTCCTCTTCTTCCTTCTTACGGCACACTAAGAGCCAGACAAAACAGCCAATGATGATGAGAACGCTGAAAATTGAGAAAAAAATTTTTTTGAAAATTTGTTTTCTGAAAAACTCACATCATAAAGACGATGACGGTGATAATGACAATAACGACCACACGTGAGCTTTTTGAAGCTGGGGAAGGCTCTGTTTCTTCTTCTGTCCCTTCTGATGGTGTTTCTGTTGTTTTTCTCCTTTTAGGGGGTTTGCTGTCAACTTGTGAAGTCCTTGTCGGTGGCGGCTTTGATGTTGGTATCGGCGGTGTTGTCGGTTCGATTGGTTTTGGTGTTGTCGTCGGCTTTTTTTCAGGAACAAGCACTTTGAACTTTTCGGTACTCTTAAAAGGATTGAAAAAGGATCAAGTCAATGTCTAGCTCAACAATTCAATCTCACCAATTTAATGAACAAATAATCACAGTTTGGCCCATCCAGCATCTCGTCCTCAAGTCTTCTACTGTATATATTACAGCGCTTGTTATTACTCGTCTTGATATCCCCACCACTCCGTGCCGCTTTCTGTGGCAGCAAGTAGAAGGTGAAGAGATATTTGAATTGCTTGTCTGTGTGACTCTCATCGGTGATCTCCCAATGTTTGATGGTTCTGAGGTGCTTTTTGTTGAAGCAGAATGGGTCTCCTTGATTATCGTCCAAACAATAATCCCCAATCTTTGTTGACCATTCCTTATTGTCGTTGTCGATGTTGAGAGTAAAACCAAAATTGTCTGCAAACCCCATATTAATTTTGAAGGTTTCCTTGTAACTTCGCTTGTCGTAAACTTTTTTGCCGTCCAAAGTGCTAAACAATATATTAGGCTCGTCAACTGAAATTTGGGGGGAAAATAAATTTTTGGCATGAGGGGAAATGAGAGTTCTCACCTAGCGTCAACATAGGCATTATATATTCTCTGTCCCTGCCAAATCCCACCATAAAGTCAGCGACCTTCAAGCAGTAGCCGTTATTATCCAAACACTGCCTTTCATGCCCGCAGTCACCGCTTTCCCCTCTTCGAGCTTGATTCTTGCCATCCTTGAGCTTCTCAAATTGACCTCCTCCAAGGCTGTACGTGAACGGCAACCTGAACAAAAATAAAAGCGTGCTGCTTAGCGTTAACTGAATTTCACTCACATATTGTGATAGCCTTTCAAGCACTTATTATTAGAGAATTTGACGCCAATATAAACTTTAAGCTCTGGCTTCTCCTCGGCGACGAGATCCAAGACGCATCCTTCTTTAGCCGCTCCGTCCTTCTTGTACAAGATCTTTCTGTAATAAAAAATCAAAATTTGGTTAAGCTTCAAGTAAGCGTTTAAGACTCACATCCATTCTTTGCCATCCCACTCCACATCATGACACGCCTCTGGCAGATTCCTCAGTGCCGACAAGTCCGCTCCCTCTTTGACCACCACCATGTTACTGCCCAGCTTTGAGATCTTCCCATTCCCGTCCAATTCATGCTTGCCGGCACCGACCTTTGCGCATTGAACCAAGCCTCCAAATAAAAGAAGAGCAGCAACGAACAGAAGAGAACACGAGAACAGCGGGGAGCAGCGACGTAGTTTTGCCATACTGAACATGTTTTGGAACTTTTGAAGTGAAGAGAAGAAAAAATGTTGTTTTAGTTGGAGTTGAAGAAAGAGGATGATTGGTTGTAAATCAAAGTACTTTTATAGTAAAGGTGACCGGTACCGGGATCGATCAGGTTTATCTCTCGGGACTTTTCTGAATCCTGACTTTCGCTAAGAGACAGATACTAAGACGTACATAGTACCTCTATTAATTTTCTCCAATACCATAATTAGCTCTCAAATCCTCATGGCCTTCTCAAGTTCCAAAACTTTTTTTCATGTTATCCTTCATAAGTTTTCAAATTCAAAAGATTTTAAACAATACCCTCAAAAATATTATAATCTATTCAAAAATATAAAAATTAACAACAACAACAAATTATTTTATAAAAATGAGCCAAATTTCAAATTTGTGTTTTACACAAAAAAGATAAAAAAAGTCTTTTTTTTTCAAATGATAAAATGAGAACAATTTGGCAGCGGGTTTTCTTTGATATTTTATCAAAGAAAAAAAAAGTTTGGTTAATCGAAAAAATTTTTTTTGTTCTCTTCGACTAGAAGTCTTGAAAACAACATTAACATTAGGGTTGCCGTTTTCGTTCGGGCTGACGCTCAAGTCATTTTTTGGGTCTCATTTTTATCGGACCGACCGAGTCATTTTCGTGCTAAAATTCGATGTCCAACTCGATCTTCCGGACTGGGCCAGCAACCCTAATTAAAGTGATTAACCAAATTTACAAATAAAAACAATGAGGAATACAAAAGATAATATTATCTGCGAGAATGTCTGAATAAAAATGTGCTCATTGAAAAAATATAAAGAAATTTTTTTAAAAATTTTTGTCAGTCACAAAAAATTTTTCTTAAATTTTTAAATTAAAAAACTTTTTTCATGACCAACAAATAAACAATAAAAAAAAGAACAACAAAAACCGGGTTAAAAAACAAAAATATATAAATAGACCAAAAACAAAAATTGAAGAAGAGGAGGAGGCATGTAGAAAAGGAATTAATAAAAATTAATAACAACAACAAAACAAACTCTTTTCTATTTTAAAACAACAAAAAATTCTGTTTTTTTTGTCCTCGAATATATCTAAATTCCTAATTGGAGCCTTCAAGATGTCGAATGGCCAATACAAGAGACTTAAAAATTAAAAAAATTATTTTTAATATTTTTCAAGTATCGTCAGTTGACTGACCCCGGCACTAGAAGGGTCGGTCAGTTTTTTTTTCAATTAAAAATTGAATCGAGCGGAGCTCTAGATGTCGATATCAACTTACTAGAAAAAATTGACCAAAAATTAAAGGTTGTTAACAGAATCCGACCGAAATCGGGATTGATGTCGAAAAAACCAAAGTAAAAATCGAAAAAAATTGTTTAGCCGAGTTCTATTTGCCTATCTCAAACTAGACCGAAAAATATTCAGATTTCTTACTTCTCAAAAAAAATTTTTTTTGGTAGAGACCGACACCCCTTTTAAATTATTTTCTTCCCCTAAATCTCCCAAAAAAAAATAAAAATAAAACCTGAAGATTTCTTTGAGAAATAGAAAGTGATGCATTCAATCCTCCACCACCACTACTATTAGGACTTGTCACATCCAACAAATTATTTGTTATTCCTGTTTGATGATCATTTTTGATATTTGGAGAAATTAATAATTGTGAAGAATTGTTTGGAATTTGCTGACATTTTTGCTGCTCCAAAATTAATTGAGAAGTTGAATGATTATTGTAAGTATTCTCATTAATTCCTTTTCCAGCAGCAACAACAGCTTTAATTAATTGTTGTGCAGCAACAGCAGCATTAGAAACCCCGGCTGTTGAGGCAATAGAAAAAAGTGAAGAAGAGAGAATGTTGGTCATCCTATTGAGAAAATTTTAAAAATTTTTATAAATTAATTAAAAAATTTTTTAAGAGGAAGAAAACATTTTTCTAAATTTTATGCATAAACTTAAGATGAAGAAAAAATATAAAACCCTCACACGATTTCGAACCTTTAACCCTCCCCTTCAAAACTCATCCGTAATCCAATACACCACATTCAACCTCATCAAAAGCTATAAATTTATCTCTAAGTATTTAATTAAAATTTCATTAAATAAATTACTCAACAAATTCCCACAAACCAAAAATTAAATTTAAAAAAAATTTCAACAAACCTAACAGCATCATTTTGAGGAGAAGCATTTCCCATACCAACACAATTATTATTATTAGCATTATTAATCACCGATTGTTGACAAAATAAATTACTAGTAGAAATTGTTCCTTTAGAAGAAGGGGAAGTTCTTTCATTTAAATTATTTTCTGATGTTTTTCCTTTAGATTCAAACAATTCTTTTTCGTATTTCTTTAATTAAAAATTTTTATTTTTAATTTAAAAATTAAAAAAACCATTCTTAAATAAGTCTCATTTTGTAATAAAATACGCAATTCTTCTATTGTTTTGATACATTCATCTAATGTTGGTGCTCCATTTTGTTCTAGAAAAAAATTTTTTATAAATATTTTTTACGGAAAAGTCTTCCTAAACAAATTCCAAATCTCGTCTAGGATTCCCAAGAATGTACACACTTCCTAAAAATGGTCGCGAAAATTATTTTTAGGACGCATACCCTTAAGAGACAAACACAGGCATACTTTCTAAATTAAAAAATAAAAGAAAAAAATTTCATGAAAATTTTTCCGTAGCAAATTGCGGCAAATGTCTTGGATTCCCAATTAACAGTAAATATATGCGTCTCAAAACTGGACGCAAAACTTATTTTTAGGACGCAAACTTTTGAATCAATTCCCCAGGGACTCGCCTACTACTAACATAAACAGCGAGTAACCTTTAATTTTCCAAATAAAAAAATTTAAAAAAAACCTCCAAAATTCATTTTTCGTCTCTTTGCAGCACTCTCAGCATTTTCTTCCAACAATTTATCTCGTTCAAGTAACAAATTTTGAATGAAATCTGCTGTGGCCGCCAAAATGGAAGCTTTGGACATTTTGTCCCCATCTTTGGAAGGTAAAAGTTGACGTAATGATTGAAACCCAGCATTTATTGACTAAAAATACAAAATTAAATTTTTATCATTTTATCTTTTAAAAAACCTGCATTCTCCTTCTCTCATTACAATTAGCAATTTGGCGTCGAATACGTCGATCATCATGACTTCCACTGTCAAGAGAGGCCGTTTTTTGTTGATTCTCGTCAGATTCATATTCAGGTAATCCAGTGGATTTGCTTAAAATTTTAGAAAAAATTTAATGAAGTGAATCCACTTTCTTTAAAAATTTCCTCTACAGGGTTGGAGAAATTTCTTAAAGTTCTTTTCAGCGAAGAAATCCAAGTTTAATAATCCCAACAAGGAAGACACCCATTATCAGGGGTTCACATAAAAGTCATTTTACGCCGTTTAGACCAAAACTAGCATTAAAAAACAAGCAGTTAGCGTTAAACTCGGTCGTAAGACGCTCCTCACGAGAAAGGTTAATGATCCCAAAATATTGTGAGATTATGTACTGAAATTCATAATTCTAATTTTAATCATTTTATTTAGCGAAGGAACAATTTTTGTTTAAAAAATTAAAAAAAAACCTTCTCGGAGAAGTTAACCAATCATGATTATGCACATTTTCATTTTTCCTAATTTCCTCATTTAACAAGTGTTCTTCAAATTTTTGTGTTTGTGTTGTCAATCCATTATCCATATAATCATCTGTTTTGACCATTTTTGAAATTGAGCAGATTTTAATTTTTTGAAAAAAAAATTTTTTTTTCTCTCTCTTGAAAAAAAAAGAATTAAAAAAGTAAAAATTAACAAAAAAAATTGAAAAAAAGAACAAAGGTTAAGGAGAAGAAAAGGAAGAAGAAATTATAAAAAGTTACTAAAGAGAAAGATTAAAAAATTGATAAAAGTTAAGATTAAGTAACATGGATAATCCAAACCGCTGTCTAAAAAATTCCGATTAAGACAGCTTATTAGCCAACAAAAAAAAATTCATTAGGCTGTCAACATTATGGATACATGTAAAAGAAAAAGAAAGGAGAACGAAACCCAAGAGGATTTGATCAGTTTATTTAGGTAGCGTGTAGAACAGGGCTGGGCGAAATCTAAAAATAAAAAGCGAAATGCGAAACTTTTCGCTCCAAAAAATGCGAGAATGCGAAAGATGCGAAACGCGAAAGTGCGAAATAAGCCCAGCCCTGGTGTAGAATGCAAAATAGAAATTGAAGGGAAAGCTGCTGAAGGTGGGTAAAAATTTTTTGAAAGCTCAGAAAGCTCGGAAAGCTTAAGACCGGAAACTAGCCGTAGATAACAAAAGACGACTAAATTAATTATAAAAGAAGTTGCAAAACCCCTAACAATTGTTAAAATGCAAAGTGAAAAAATTTAAAAAGAAAATGTGTAAATTGGAAAAAGAAATACCCACCCAACAATAATCTAACCAAAAATAAATAGGGGAAAATTACAAAGAATCGCTGTGCTGTAAATTAACTAGTCGGCTGTTTTTTTCTTTGCTTTTTGGCCGGATGATAGTCCAAGAGACATTTTAAAGAAAAGAGGGGAAAGTTAGTCAGCACACACATAAAACACATCATACGACGTCCAAACTGCAAAAGAAAAATTGAAGGGAAAGCTGCCATAAAATTGAGAAAAGCGGCTGGCAACAACTAAATAATAGCTTAACTGACGGGTTGTCTGACTTGTTGTAGTACAAAGAATGTTTGGTGCAGACAGAGAAAAGAAAGAAAAAAGTGTGGTTAGTAAAGGTCAGACAGACAAATGTTAAAATGTTTTTAAGGAAGAAGAAATGTCTAAATGTCGAATATAAAAATATCTAAAAGAGGGAAAAATAACAGAATGCCAAAAATAAAAAATGTCCTAGAGGATAAATTTGTACAAAAGGTCGAGAGAAAATGGAAAAATAGGAAAGGCGACTTTTTATTTTGTGGGAGAAAAAGGACAAAAGGTCTAAAACAAAAATGTCCACACGGGTAAAATTGGACAAAATGAAGAAGAGAAAATGAATAAAAAAAAAATAATTTTTTAGAAAGACGTCTTTAACAGACACTTAACATTTATCAACAAATATCATCCTTTAAAGAAAGGACGAACACATTAGCTGTCTTTTAACCCTTTTTAGGGAGAGACATTTAAACGACCAAAAACACTTTCTCTCTTTTGTAATAAAAAATATACATATGTGAGAATACACGGGGTTTGCAATTGATGTGGGTAATAAAAAAGAAAAATGTTCAAGTAAAAAGAAAGAAAACTGTCCGTCACATTGCGCTACGGCTGTAAAAATTTTTATTCTTTTCGATATTGCATTTTTGCTCTCTCAAGTGTGTTCTGTTTCTTTTTATTTATTTTCTTGCCCAGAACACAACAAGAAAAGTAACTAAACTAAAAAAGGTGTAGTATTACAATAAAACCCACAAGAAATCTTTGTTGATAAAACTAATAAAATACCCAAATAAGAAAATCATTTTCAGGTGTTTAATAAATACAACACATACACATTCCCCTCTCCTTTTTACCTTTTTTGGTTAAAATTTTTTGGCTGACAAACCCCACAAAAAAGATTTTTTTAATTTTTTTGGCTGTAAAATAGTAATCATCTGAAAAATGTATTATGATCAAAACTGGGTAAAACCCTAAAGATCACCTCTCAGAAAATAAACACAACGCCAAGGAAAGGAAAAAAGTCTGGGACCTAAATAGAAAGGAGAAAAGACAGGGTGACCAAAAGAAAGGTGATCTTCTGGGGTTGCTTTAGAGATGAGAACACAGCTGAGAAACGCGTTGTAACAAGCAAGTAAAAAAGAAAATTATAAAAATATTTTATGTAAAATATTTTTTTTTGTAAACGAAAATGTGTTGAAATTTTTTTGGAAGGAAGATTAAAAATCAAAAAAGGTGCTAAAATTAATTTTTTTCTTCTGCAAAAATTTTATTTTTTTTATTTAGTCGCCTTTGAAGACCGAAGGGAAAAAATATTTTTTTAAAAATACTAGGGTGGCCTTTTCTATCAGCTGTGTTATTTTTTTAAGTAAAGGACAGGTGGTAAAAAAAATAAAAAAAAAGTAAAAAATCTGTTGAGTCTTTGATCAAAAAAAAATTTTTATTCTTTCAGCAGCTGTTAAATAGGCTCTGTTAGTTTTATTTTACTTTTTTTAAAGATGCTTCCGAATCAGGAGTGAGCGCAAAAAAACATCTAATCCAAGGACAACAATTGAAGAAATCTGGCTCCTTGGCCTTCCTAAATTCTTAAAAAAATTTTTCGTACGGCACGTTGCTTGTGCTCGTACCAGGTACGAGTATGAATTCTGGGACGAATGTCAAAACACTTCTTATTTCTGAAAATTCTCTAATTTTCCTAAATTTTTTTATTTACCTATAATATTTACAACAAACAACAAAAATAAATGGGTGAGGGCCAACTCCCCAACTTCCAAAACACCGTTCAGACACCCCGACCGACAAGCCACCGTCTTACCAAAACACCGTCCATACCAAAACACCGTCCAAAGAAAAAATTTTGCATTTCCAGCGGGTTGGGGTTATCTTGGCGCGAGGCATGTTGTTTGTATGTTACATCGGGTGATGTTGTCCAGACACTGAGGGAAGTTTGTTCTTTACCAAAACACCATCCATGGAAAAAGTAGAGGATAAACTTCTGCATTGCACAACGGGGGATATCTTAAATCTTCGGTTCCTGGAAATAGAGGAAGGTTTTTCCAACAACGCACAAGTTTAGCCTCAATTTTTTCTATAGACGGTGTTTTGGTAAAGGACAAACTCCCCTCAGTGTCTGGACAACATCACTCGATGTAACAAACAAACAACATGCCTCGCGCCAAGATAACTCTAACCCACTGAAAATGCGAAATTTTTCCTTTGGACGGTGCTATGGTAAAGACAGTATTTTGGCTGGACGGTGACTTGTCGGACGGCGACTTTTCGGTCTGTCTGGTCGGTGAGTTAGCCCGACACGAAATATTCACAGATTAACAAAACAAATTATTTCATATTATCATCAAGAAAATACATCTTTCCTAACTTCTAATTTTTTTGCTTCTTTTGTTGTTTAGTCTATAGTAGTAGTAGTAGATGATTAGAACTTTTCTTTAAAAAAAATAAAATTTATTTTAATCAAAAAAAAATTTTGTTTTACAAAAACTAACCATTAGAACTTGACTTTTGGAAAAACGGCCAAAGGATTTTGTTGAAGTTGCCTGACCTTTTCCTCGTTCTTGTTCTGTTTGTACATGTAGAGAAGAACACTGTTTGCAATATGGACCGACAACAGAAAAGCAGAGGAAACCAGAACAAACCAAAAAAGGAAACCAGAACCTGTAGTAGGTTCACTTCGATTGTAAGGAGCCATGTTGTTGAGAAAAGATTAGAAAATTGTGGACAAATTTGTCGAGATTAAATTTTAAAGTTCTTTTATACTACGGTGCTCCTCCCTAACCTCACCCTAAATCTTTCATTTTTCCCTCAATTTTCTCTCCCTCATTTTATAGTAGAATTTATTAGGTATTTTTCGCAGAATTTTTGGAACAATTATGGTATAGAAAAATGAATTGAAATCTTGGTTTTGTAAAAGTTGGTAATAGAGTTGAGCGGGATCGACCACCTGTGTTGTGTTTTTCCGAGATTGTCTCTTGCGCTCACCCCTGTTCCAAATTTTTATTATTTTCTCTCTTTTTTGTTTTTGGTAACCAAGTAACTTTAAATTTTTTAGTAAGAAAGATAAAAAGGAAATTGCTTTAATTAGGGAATAGCCGGAAACGTCGGTCGGGTATTTTTCGACATCGAAAAAAAACGTAAAAATAGAGTCAAAAACTCTAGTTGAATCATCGTCACTTTATATTTAAAATTAGAGCTCGGACGGTAACGTACTACGAAGGTATTATTCAGTATTTTTCGATATTCATATTAGGACAGTAATAAACCTAAAAATATCAAACCGAAAAATTCCTAAAATTTTTAAATTTTTATCCAAAATAAATATAATTATCAAAAGATAGCTTAGGATAAAAAAAAGACCAACGGGAATGAAAAAAGATATACTACTATATTATATAAATGTAGTTTTGGTATGCTTTTTTCACTAATTGTTACCAATATCAAGGAAAAATAACAATTAAAACATTTTAGTGTAATAATTAAAGTTTTGATAAAAAAATTTTAGGGGTTTGGTCAGTTTGAAGTTGTGATATCTTCGGATAGGTTCTCGGGTTAGTTTAGGATATATAATTCTTGATTTTAGTTTGTTGTGTTGAATATTATCCACAATTTTGGTTTCGCTTTTTTAATTTTAAGGGTCTTGCTTTTACATTAATGCTCCTTGCATTGTTCAACAAAGCCCTCCCTGCCTTTGCCAATTTTCACAATTGCCATATCCTAAACTGCCGACTGCAGTCAAATCTAGGATTACTTAATTTAAAAATTCAAAAATTTAACCACAAGAATTGAAACATAACATGCAATTGCAACATGCCAATCGCCATAACTACTAGCCTTTCCAACCAAAAGACTATAGAAAATAAAATCACCCAAACCAAGCTTAAATCCATCTAAATTTTTTAAATTTTATGTAATTTTTATATATTTATTACGTTCTTCAACGTCATCATCAGTCACGCCTCCAATTATAAAAAGAATACCAGCTAAAAATTAAAAGGGAACCTAAGAAAATTATTTTAAAAAGCTTAAGGTATTATCTTAGTGTCTTAATAGGCCCGCTAGTCATAAATTTTAGTCCCGCCTAAAGTGGAGTCTTGTAAATAAAATATTATACAAGAATATATTAAAGCTGGGAAAATGGGTTCATCCCGCTCCTGTGCAGTTTCCACCAAAATCCTCAAAGGCCCTTTTGGACACAAAACAGAAACCAAATCCCAAATCGAAAGTACAGCCAAAAAAGTCCATACGGACCACTCTGGCAAAATTTTGATAAGCATTAATGCCAATAAAACAGACACAGCAACCAAATAAAACTTTAAAAAAAAGAATTTTTATTCAAAAATTCTTAAAAACCTGCTGCAGAAGTAAAGGTCCAATCCAATGGATACAGACCAAACCAAGAACACACCCTTTTAATTATTAAATTATTTATACTTTTAACCCTCGTTCTTGAATACCCTCAAAAATTAAATTAAACATTGTTGGAGAACGGAAGAACGGCCTCCAACAATGTTTAATTTAATTTTTGAGGGTATTCAAGAACGAGGGTTAAAAGTATAAATAATTTAATAATTAAAAGGGTGTGTTCTTGGTTTGGTCTGTATCCATTGGATTGGACCTTTACTTCTGCAGCAGGTTTTTAAGAATTTTTGAATAAAAATTCTTTTTTTTAAAGTTTTATTTGGTTGCTGTGTCTGTTTTATTGGCATTAATGCTTATCAAAATTTTGCCAGAGTGGTCCGTATGGACTTTTTTGGCTGTACTTTCGATTTGGGATTTGGTTTCTGTTTTGTGTCCAAAAGGGCCTTTGAGGATTTTGGTGGAAACTGCACAGGAGCGGGATGAACCCATTTTCCCAGCTTTAATATATTCTTGTATAATATTTTATTTACAAGACTCCACTTTAGGCGGGACTAAAATTTATGACTAGCGGGCCTATTAAGACACTAAGATAATACCTTAAGCTTTTTAAAATAATTTTCTTAGGTTCCCTTTTAATTTTTAGCTGGTATTCTTTTTATAATTGGAGGCGTGACTGATGATGACGTTGAAGAACGTAATAAATATATAAAAATTACATAAAATTTAAAAAATTTAGATGGATTTAAGCTTGGTTTGGGTGATTTTATTTTCTATAGTCTTTTGGTTGGAAAGGCTAGTAGTTATGGCGATTGGCATGTTACAATTGCATGTTATGTTTCAATTCTTGTGGTTAAATTTTTGAATTTTAAAATTAAGTAATCCTAGATTTGACTGCAGTCGGCAGTTTAGGATATGGCAATTGTGAAAATTGGCAAAGGCAGGGAGGGCTTTGTTGAACAATGCAAGGAGCATTAATGTAAAAGCAAGACCCTTAAAATTAAAAAAGCGAAACCAAAATTGTGGATAATATTCAACACAACAAACTAAAATCAAGAATTATATATCCTAAACTAACCCGAGAACCTATCCGAAGATATCACAACTTCAAACTGACCAAACCCCTAAAATTTTTTTAATCAAAACTTTAATTAGAAATTTAGGCAGAATTTCTATTTTAGTAAAACTTGTAAAAATTTTTCATAATTAGACCTGATTATTTTAGGTTCCCCCACCCACCCACCCTCTTTTAGATTGCAGAAATAAAAATAATTAAAAAAGCATACCCAACATAAATTCCAAAATTTTTAAAACAATTTTAAATCACAAAATTTTTTACAATTGTTGTGTTGAATTTCCATTCCACATAGCTTCAGAATCGGAATGATCATCTGCATCTTCTTTAAATCGTCTTATATTTCCATCCTAAAATCATTAATATTACAAATTTATTTATTTAGAATGATATAATTTTGGACAACAAATAAATAGAAAAAATTTTTTGGAGAGGGCCTTAAACAAAGGCACAACAAATTTGTCTAACAAAAAAATAAGGGTCTAACCTTAATCCTAATTTTTATTAAAAATAAGTGAAAATCCTTTAAAAAAAGTTAAAAATTAAATCGGGACAGAAGACAGGAATCTAAAGTTCTACTCGAAAACATAAAACCCCAGTTCCTTCAAAAAAATTCTATTCAACAACTAAAAAATCGCTCGAAACCAAAAAAGTTTAAAAGGCTATTTTGATAAAAATTTCCAAAAAAATTAAAAACCTTTACAGTCGATTCTCCTTTATCATTTTTCTTTTTGGAAGAATTCTTGTTGGCATCATTTTTGTCATTATTTTCTCTCAAAGTATTTATTGTTCCTCTTTGATTTGTTCTTCCTCCATTATTCCAAAAAGAATTTAAAAAACGCCATATTGCCGAAAATGGAAGAAAAAAGAATCCAATAAGCATTTCAAAATATCCATATGTTGGGAGTATTGATCCACCTCCACGATTGTTTTCATCTCCATCTTTTGACTAAAAGAAAAATTTTTTAAAAATAATTTTGGTCTATACAAAAGGGTTTTTTAACTTTTTAAATAAATTTCCAGGAAATGTTTAGGGCAAAGAATACAACCATTAATAATCGAAAAGAGAAAAATATTTCTAAACCCACCCCCTCCCCAATATTTTAAATTTTTTACTTAAATAAATATTTATGTACATATATTGAGCAAGCTTTTCACTTGGAACAATTTTTAACAGAAAAAAAAGTTTAAAAAAATACTCATTGTCAGAAAATTATCATATTATCCAAAAACAAATAAAATAATCGCAATAATTTTTTGAGTGTATAAGGTGTGTGTTTATTTGTATTTTAACAAGAGTCAAAAAAATCTGAAAAAAATGTAAAATCAAAATAAACACACACCTTCCAAAAAATGAATAAATGGAACTCCGAAACTTGTGGACCGAAACATCAATCTAGTTGAATTAGAAAAAAAAAGTCTAATTTAATTAAAAAGAAGACACCCCTTTTATTCATAATATAAGTCCACAAGTTTCATTTAAAAAATTTCGTATTCATAAAATAAAAAAAATCATTCACATTTCCTCTAAATAATGATGCATCATTTTTATATAATTTAATATGAGCACGTGTATATCAAAGCATGGATGAGAGACTTATTTAAATAAAATCCTAGGAGAGGAAGGAAATTAAAGAAAAAATTAAAAATTGTTCAAAGTGAATGTTTGCTATTTGGTAAAAATAAAATTTGGTCATCAACTTTATAATGTCCCAAATCTCCTTTTTATGTACACAGTTATTTAACAAAAATTTGAAAATATTTAAAAAAAACTAACCGAAACGACAAGTAAAACAGCAGAAGGAGTAAGACCCAACTCCTTAAAAAATTTTTTTAATTAAATAAAAAAAAGTACAAAGAAAAAAATACCAATAACGATTTATTCATATCAGTCAACTTCTTACGAGGATAAGTTTGCATCAGAAAAAAACTTGGAGGTTTGCGAGCATCCTAAAAAAAGATTTATTAGATTTAATTTATTTATCAAGAGATGCTGGTTCTTATTTTATAGGAAAATCTTCAGCAAGCTAAAGAACCCAAAAAATCACTCATTCAATCAAAAAATTGTGAACAGAAAATGCTATTAATTCACAAGGCAAGGCAAAGGGTTCGGTTACCTGATGCCAGACTTTTTCAAAAAAAACCACAGACTCATTAAAAAAAATGCAAACCTCATTAACAGCATCAAAAACAACTTGAAGAAGTTCCTTAGACGGGAAGACTTTAATTAAAGTTTGACCATCCGGAAAACGGCACTGAATACGGCATTCATCACTAGAAAATATTTTTTAAGAATTATAATAAAAAATTAAAAAATAACCTATTAACAGGCTTATTCATCTCCACAGTCTCCACTTTCTTTTCTGCCTTTTTAGCATTTTCTTCTCCAGCAGTTCCATTTTTAGAAGCAGCCGCAGCAGCACGTTCTTCTTTATCCAATTTAATTTGGTCTCTTAATCGTTGCAATGCTTGAGCATCTTCCGCTTTTTGACGACGACGCTCTTCTGCTGCTTCTTTCAATTCTCTTTCTCTTTGTTTTTCACGAAGTTCAGCCATTGCTTTACCTTTAAATTTTTGAAATTTTCTAAGGAAAAAAAAGAAAAGCAAACCATCCATTCGACGTTCCATTTCTTTTTTATGTTTTTCCTCCTCTTCTTTTTTAGCATCAGATTTTTTCTTCTCTTCAAGCAATTTGCGATAACTGAAAAAGTTTTTTGGTAAAATCAGGAAAACTCAATTAACTCTCTTGGTCAGTAATTCTCACCAAACTTTTGGTAAAAAACGACAGATCCCCAAGGGAAAAAATACCTATATTTAAAAGAGGCAAAAATTTGATGCTATCCTGTCTTTGAAGCGAAATATGGTTTTAGTCGGAACCCATAGGGAAGAATTAAACGGTTGCCAAAAACCCTAGAAACGACGCCTATTCCTCTACACCGCTAAATCTTCTACAAACCCATTGATAAAACATATTTAAAAATTTACTATTCCAATTTCTCCTGACTAGTTGTCGCATCAGCAGAAGCTCCTGCATCTCCTGGAGCAGCCTCTTCTTTCTGCTCAACAACAGTTTCTTCCTTTTTATCCTCAATTCGATCCGCTACTTTGTCTTTAGGAATGTCATCTTTCTTCATTTCACCAATTTGTTCTTTAAATAACTAAAATAAAAATGTTGGAACAACTCCAGGAAGTTACAAAATATACCAAAACAGCCTTCTTAAATTCACCCAACAATTTGTCTGAAGTGACGCCCGACAATCCTGTAATTACCTAAAAAGAAAACTTTCAAAAGGGAATTTTCGTGTCAAGTTTTGGCCGTTCCGTGTTTTTAAATCCCTCATTTTGCCTCCCACCAGGAATTTGAATCTAGTGCTTCGCTTTCAATTTTCTCTGCAATTCACCCCGAAATCAATCTTTTTTGAGTTCATAGGTGTTAAACACAGGCCTGCAGCCAGGGGGTAGGGGGAATTTTTTCCAAGGTAAATAATTGCCCCCCTCCCCGAAAAAATCCCTTCTCAGGAAAACAAATTAAAAAAAACCTCCAAAGGTTGAGCATTCATCCCCAAAATATAACAAACTGGAACAGTAAGCGTAGGAAAGAATTGGGCAAATTGTTTAGCATTTTCAGATTCTTTAACCATACGAATAGCAACATAAGGAATACTTTCAAAAACAGAAATGTCCAACGAGTTTAAAAGGTCATCGAGTTTTGAGGAGTTGTCATCTGAATTTTTAAAAAGAAATTAAAAATTAAAGGAACTCTTGAGCTACTATCTCCCCCGATCCTGTTTCTTCTCGTTTCTTCAAAAAGGTAATTACACAACATGTGTCAAAGTTAATTTACGTTGTGAGTTACCATTTTTTTGAGATTAGACCCAATACCAACGTTGGGGTGTTTACCAGTACTTATATTTACCGAGGGCTTATCCAGGGGGTCGGCTTCGAGGAGGGCTAGCATGGAAATAGAGCTCTACTCACCCAGAGTTAAACATTAGGGATGTCATAAGTTAGGAAAAACGTCAGGTCTTCAAAATTCTCTTCGAATAGGGCTTCGGTCGAAGAAAGTCGGTTTCCAGGCAACACGACCAGTTCCTAGTACAATACCGGACCGTGGTTCTAAAAGGCAAGGCTGCGTACTTAACGCAATAAGTCTTATGTTAGTTAGATCCATGTGCGCTTTTTGTGGAGAAATTAAAATGTTAATGACCGGGAGATACCCCCAAAATCATCAAATTAAGAAAAAAAACCATTTTCTGCATAAACATAAACAATCAAAATTCCTCTCTTTTGTTGATATTCAGTCAAAGCATCGTCAACTGTTCCATTAAACCACTCCATTCTTGTGAATAAATAGATTAAATATATTTAGAAAGCTAAAAATCAAAATTAAAGTTAAGAAATTTCGGGTAAACCAAAGTTTTAAGGTTCCCATTTTTCTTTCTCAAGTACCTTTTCCCTCAACTCATTTAACGAAGCTGGTGTTTCGAATAAAGAAAATAAGTTAATGTCTCACATTGTATATGGGAAATAGAGTGAAATTGAGGAAGGAAGTCTGACCATTTCCTGCACAAAATAAATAAAAAATATGAGGGACCCAAAACCTGATTTACCCAGAAATTTTAAAGAGAAGAACAATCAAAACTTTAATTTAAGCAAAAAAACATCTTTTAATAAACACGGAATAAGCTAATTAGATCTTAAACGCTAAATCAACGTTTTTCAAAGGATCATCATTTTTTAAAAAAATTTTGGGTAGGGTCGTTAGAGTCTCAATAGTTAACATAAGCCGAATAAGAACGATTGAGTATCGCCGATTCAGTATCGAGGTCATTGGGTCATAACTCAAGTAATTCTCATACCATTCGAAAGGTCACGAGCTGCGGCATCTTTTTTAGTGCTTTCGATTGATATAATAACTATTCAAATCGATTGAGGATCAAAAAGCTATAAACCAAAATATGTCCCAGATACTGAATCGCCCCCCCCAACCTCGGACAGTTGAGTACCAGACTGTCTCGCACTGAACTTTAAAAAATCGTCTTGTCCCAGGCTTTAAATTGTTGTTTCTACCCAAACTATAAAAACATAAGCGGATTAGAGATGGGCGGGTTAAGAAAAAAATGTCGGGCCGGGCTCCAGATAGGATTTTCCAAATTTTTCTTCGGGTCGAAGTTTCAGGTCGACCCCCCCCCCCGGGACTTTCCCATCCATTCCTGACAGATAAAAAAAACAAAAATAAAACCAAAATAAAAAAATAAACGAGCAGAAAACTCTTCAAAATTTTCAAAACCAATTTTTTAAACTTTATATGTATTTGGGGGTAGATTATTAAAAGAAAAAATATAATATTCGTATTATATTAAAAAAACAAAACAACAAAAATAATAAAACTATACTCTTTTTATTATTAATTTTTATTTTACTTCTCCTAATCATCCCTAGCCAAGGTAGGCACATTTCCCCCCTCCACATTAATTCCTAATTTAATTTCCAATGCTTTTGTCAAATCAACCAATAAATTTGAAGTTTTCTTTATCTTGGAAGCTTCAGATTGTTCAACTTTAAAAAAGGAAAAAAAATTTTTTTTTTAATTAAAAAATACAAACATTTCTCCTTATATTTAGCAAACAATTCATTCAATAATTGTTTATTTGTTGGATCCAAATTGAAAATTTTGTACAGACATTTGAGCATAATTAACAGCTTAAAAATGGTTTTTATTTAATAAATTTCTCCTTTTTCAAAATTTTTCTTTGAGGCATGAAACAGTCCAGCATTGACTTGCCATGGCTTGTCCCAATGTCATTTTACAAGAAAACTGATAGTAAATAATACCCTTATCAAAATGATTTTGGGCCAAGTTATGGCAAGTCAAAGCTGGACTGTTAATTCGCGGTGACAGTAAACGACGGTCCCCCGTGAGAATGAGAATTTACGGCTCCCATACTAAGGTTGTCGGATCCGAATCCGAAAAGGCCGGAAAAAAATACCGGATCCGGATATCCGAAGATTTCCAACTATCCGACAACCTTATCCCATACTAGTCTCCTTTCGTTCCACTTCTTTCCCTTGTTTTTTTTAAAATAATTTTTACTGTTATGTCATCTTATTCATTTTCAAAAATCAATTTTACACAAATTTTCCCTTTAAAAAGAATAAAAAACCTTATCCTTGTAGATATATACCCGAAAAGCAATAACCCAAAAATCAACATCTTCACAAGGCATTTGAAGTATTGGCTTAATAAATTTGCAAGCTTCTTCAATAGGATTTTCAGGTTTCAACAACTTTTGTGTATCAAAAGGTTCTGGATCGAAAACATCAAATTCCCCATCCATTCTTTGCTTGGACTGAAAAATAAATTTAAAAAGTTTTTGAAAAAAAATTTTTTTTAATTCCGAAAATTAAAAAAAAATTCTCAAAAAATTTCCCAAAAAAATTTTTTTCAAAAAAAAAAACCGTAGATTGTTTTGCAGCTTGTTCAGCATTTTGTTTATCCTTTTCAGCTTTAGCTTTATTTGCCTTTCGTTTAAGTTTTCTAAGTTCAGCAGGAGTTAAAGCAGAATTATCTTGCGTCTGTTTTTCAACAAATTTTTGAGGATTTTCAACCATATCAATATATATCTATTAAAAATTTCAAATAAAAAAATATTAAAAAAAAAATACCGAAACAGCCAATTTTGTTGCTTTAACATAAAATTGTTGAGAATTTAAAACATCTTCAAAACGAAGAAATTTTATATATGTTGAAAGCGTCATTTTACGAAGACAATCTAAAATTAAAAATATTTTATAAAATTAATTTTTAATTAAAAAAATATTTTTCTTACATCCATGAAAGTCATATTGATCCTCATAAAAGTTAACAAAATGCTAGAAAAATATATATTTTAGAAAAATAAAGTTTTCAAAGAGAGATAAAGAACCTGTTCAATTTGATGACATTTTTGGAGAGATTCACCATATTTAGCTAAACGAAAATATGCCAAAGCAGCTTCATATTCATACCAAAGACATCTGAAAAGAAAATAAAAATTAAAACCCTCTCTCAGAATTCTCTTCTTTTATGCTCCGAATTAAGAAGGGTGTCGGTTCTTGGAAAAGTCCCAAGGGGGGCAACCCTTATAAATAGGGGGACTCACAAAATATGCACGGAAAATCGCAATTTTTGGACTTCACTAATCAAAGTATATCTGCATACCAAACATGCATTTGCATGTTTGATGAGTCCCTACTTACATAAAAAAAAGCCTCCACTTCCCCAAGTTTCTCCTCTTTTAAAAATTTTTGGATATCCGGAACCGAGCCGAAAAAATCAACGGCTCTTCGTTTCGTTTCCGAACCGACAACTCTACAAGTTTTACAAACTTTTGGGAACATAAAAACAATTTAAATGCTTACTGCATTTCTATCATACTATCATTTGCACTCATTCCCTCACGAGTAAATTTTGAACACATTTCTTCAGCTTCTTTTATACGGCAATCTCTCAACAAATATTTGGCACATTTACTATTTAAATAACGATCTGCAGTATCCAATTCTTGTGCAGATAACATTAAATCGGCTGCTGCCGCATAGTCACCGGAATGCTTAAAAATAAAAAAAAATATCCAACCCCCCTCCAAAAATTTAAAAAACCTTAAAAATTTTAGCTTTAGCCATATATAATTCAATTAATGTTGGAGTATGTTTTAAAGCTTCATCAATATATTTAAGCGCTTTTTGGTAATTTTTTAATCTATCAAAATGTTGAGCCAAATAGTAATAAGTCCACAAAACGGTTGTTGGACATTCGGGAAGATTTGAGCCTTTTAAATTAAATATAAAAAAATATGATTTTTCGAAGTTTTTTAAACATTATAAAGGCTGAGGTTAGGTTTGCCAAGTTTTTTCAGTTTCCAGGGAAAATGCGCTCAATCAAAAAATTAATATTAACTGACAATTTTGAAACTTTTTTCGGTAAAAATGAATTCTAAAAAATATCCTGATTGACTATTTTGGGCATTTTTGCTTCTAGCAAACACGGTTTCATAAAAAAATAATTGCCCATTTCTACTAAAGATAATGTAAGAAACTGATAAACCCAAATCGATAAGACCATTATAATCAATAAAATTTAAATTTAAAAAATCTTTCTTAAAAAATTACCATCCAAAGAGAATCGATTATACCCGTTTTCCTCAAATTTGTAAACAAAATCCAAAAGAATTCTTTCGATTGTTTTGACCTAAAATAATTTAAAAAAGTTAAACATTAAAAAATTAAAAATAACCTTTTGTTGATTATCATAAAGCGTCAAAAGATTTTTAAAAAGCGAAGGAATTCCTTTACGAAAACAAGTAATTAAATAAGTACGAACTTTCTCCTCAAAAATTGGACCTATAAAAGAAAAAAATTTTTAAAATAAAAATTTAAGCAAACCATCAACATATAACAAATAAATTAATTTTGGAAGAGAAGCTTTAGGTCGCTGAAGAATTATTGTATCATATAAAGTAATGAGGTCTTGGTTATTTTGTTGGGTATTATCTGTAAATATTAAAGGTAAAAGAAATTTTTTTGAAATATTTTTAAAAAGAAACAAAGGAATCTTAAGAAAAAATTGTCAGTCTACCACAGAAACGTAAAAATGTCATCTAAAGTCAATTTTGGTAACACTCACCATAGCTAGATGAGTATGGTGAATTATTCCAAAACTGTCTATATCCACCATGAATAAAATCATCAGTTCATTCTATACGCCTTGCGGCAGACTGTGACAGATCAATGTGTTCGAGGGGTCTATCGACTCAAGTCCCAAAATAAGGAATTTATTTCTATACCGGACAATCGAAAAAAAAAATTGACGGGAACACATAGAAACAAAAGTAAACCCCAAAAAACTAAAAATTACCCAATTTCCGACATTTCTCAATTTGTTTATAATAAAAAATATTATCAGGATTCCTATCAATTAATGTCCAATAAACTCTTTCAGCATCCTCAAAACGTTCCAAATTTATTAGTAAAGACGCTAAAATTAAAAAAAACTTTTTTAAATTTAATTTCCTTAAAAAACCTCTAATTTCAAAATAAGCAAGGCGATCCAATATAGAAGTAGAATTTTCTTCTAAACGCGCCAATGCTTCGCCAAAACGTCCAGCTTCTGTAAGTATCATAATTTCATAGAGAATAATCTCGCTGCTTTCAATATCGATTTTTGCAGGAGCCTGAAATTCAAGAAAATTTGAAACCTTGTAAATCATGTCCAAAGAAGAGATCGAGATTTTTGAAAAAGTTCGATCGCGGGAAAAAGTTCGAAAGTTATTTCGAATCCACTGACATATCCTTATCAGGAAAAAGTACAGGAGACCCAAAACGTCGAAGTTTAAAAGATGCCTGATTCAGAAACCCCATGAAGCTCAAGAATTGACTATGTCTGAATAAGCATATGACCGGACGTATTCAAAATAACAAAATTTCCTTTAAATTACCCTATTATTCTTCTTGAATTCGCCAAGAATATATAAAGCAACATCATATTCCTTCAATAAATGATAAGCAGAAGCGTAACCAATCCAACTCATTTTTGATGGTTTTAGAACGAGTAATTGATAACGAGAATCCTTTAAAAAATTAAAAAAAAATTCTAAACAAAAAAAACAAACCCGATAACCTTCCAAATCACGCAATTGAATTTGTAAAAGTGACAAATCTCTAAGAATTTGCACATTTTCCTTTTCAATTCGAAGAGCCATTTTATAAGCTTTGATAGCCTCATCGTAGCGTTTATCGGAACGTTGAACTGAAAAGTATAGCTGGTATAAAAAATCAAGTAAATTCAAGTTAAGCTGACAAGGGAGACTATTGAATTGTAAATATTAATTTTATAATTTTTTGGTATCATTTGACAGAGCAGCTGATAACTTAACGTCAATTTTTGGCTTTTTTGGTTACGAAGCCAAAAATCGACTAGATGCGAGGTCTTAAAGTTGGTTGGATTCTAATCGCTCTGAGCGAACTTAAAAAACTCCAAATAGCACAAGAAATGACTAAATATCCCTGGCTACCCAAAACTAATTTTAAGCCATCTCCAGGAATTTTTTCTACATTGAAAAATAACAAACCTAGACCAAAAACATGCCAACAAACATGCGATTTCAAATCAGCAGCCAAACCTTTCTTAACAATTTCCAAAGCTTCCTCGTGCTTCCCCATACAATTTAAAATTAAGCCTTTCATAGCAAGCGTTTCTATAAATTTAATTTAGAACTGATTCCGTTCAAAAATTATAAAAGCCAAACCTCCATGCTCACAAAAATTTGGATTAGAAAGTATTTGTTTTGCACATCTCAACCCAACTTTGTATTGCTTTTGTTCATAACATTTCTAAAAAAAGAGAACATTAAAAAATATAAAAATAAAAAAACCAAAATCTTCCGAAAGAGTGCCAATTCCTTTGAAGGCAAAACTTGACTTCCACTGCTGATGAACGCGTTTGTCATTTTCTACGTTAGATTATGTTAAAAATAAAAGGATTTTAAGGTAAGGACTGCCAAAAAAATAAGGTAAGAGATAGACAAGATTAACAGCTAAAAAATGAAAATTAATAAAAACTCATCCGCGTCTTCATCGCCTAAATAAAGACTCGCTTACATAAGAATTGGACGGATTTTGCGACAGAAAAATGATAGGAAAGGGAGAAAAGCTGAAACGATCTTATTGCCTTTGGTGAAAAAAGTAAAGTCAAAAAAATGGAAAGGGATAGAAAATTGGATAATAATATGTAACTTGAAAATTCGAAAATCCGAACGAACAAAAAATTTATAAAAAACAGAACTTCACCAGATATCTAATGATAATTTAATACAATCAATAAAAACAGGGCTCCGATCGACAAAATGCCACTCAAAAGTATCAAAATCTTGATTTGAAAGTAGATAGGGACTAAATTTCCAAATAAAAAGTATACTCAAAATTAAATTAGAAAATATTTATTCGTCCTCAAATCTTTCATATTTGCCTCCTAAATGAATATTTTCTAATAATTTCTTGTTTCTACTGAGCATTTTGTGCATTTCAATGCGCTTTTTTGTGGCGCCTATGGCGACACAAAATCTTCTATTTTTGCGCCGCAGGCAAAAATTTTAAAAATTTTGGAGGTCCTTAAGCCAGATTTCTTCCATTTCTTGCGCCGCAGGCGAAAATTTTTTGAAATTTGGACCCAAGAAGCTAGATTTATTCCTTTTTCAGCGCCGCAGGCAAAAATTTCGAGAATTTCAAAGGCCGTAGGCCAAAAAATTCACTTTTTTGCCCAATCCCTTGCCCAATTTCATTTTCAATCCAAAATGTTGATTTAAAAATAGACGGTTAGGGACGATTCCGCGCCGACGATTCCGCGCCGACGTTTCCGCGCCAGGTCAGTTCCGCGCCTGGTCAGTTCCGCGCCAGGTCAGTTTCCGCGCCAGCTATAGAGGTTCCGCGCCAGTTATAAAATAAGTAAATAATAACCTGAACACGAGCCGGTCCACTTTCTATACATGTATGATTACCTACTTAAAAAGATAATGGCTTTTTAGAATCAAAAAAATTTAAAAATCAAAGTATCACATATTTTGTATGGCTGGCGCGGAAACGTGCTGGCGCGGAACTGACCTGGCGCGGAACTGACCTGGCGCGGAAACGTCGGCGCGGAATCGTCGGCGCGGAAAGATACCCCACCGAAAAATAGATACTTTCAAAAAAGTATAAATTCAATTTCGTAAGTATGGAGGTCGATTTAAAAGTAGAATACTTTTAAAAAAGTATGAATCGGAGCCCTGAATAAAAATCAAACATTAAAGAAAAAATTTTTTTTTGAAAATTTTACAAATAAAACAGAATGCCAATTAAAATTTTCCGAAGCGAAAATATTTCAATTTGTCAATTGACAAAATGTACAAAAGAAACTTTTAAAAAATCTTAAACATTGATCAGTCTACCCAATTTATTGATTGACTTTGTATACTTTGTGACTATTTGTGACAATAAATTTAAACACTATCGTGTGTCAATTTTTTTCTTTTACAGAGAGAATGAAATGATTTTAAGCATTAATAGTAATGAAAATATGGCAGTTGAACAAAATTTGGAAAATTTGCAAGGTAAAAAATTGTTTTTTTGTTTATTTTTATTTTAGGTAAATCGTTTTAAGTCGAATTTACGGTATAAAATTTGATATGAGCTCACAGAGACCAATGAAGATCACGTGAATTTCACGTGATCTTCAAAAAATATGATTCTTGATCTCAGTTGTCTGAACCGAACTCAGACCTGTTTTTTAGGTTTTTGGTACATATTAAGAAATTAATTAAGGATAGTCGACTATATTCCTGGCGTTGAGTCAAAAAATGAATTTTAAAGGTTCCCTCGACTTTCTATAGGAAATCATAGTCTAAATTATAAGGGCTCGTTTCTGGACCTAATTGCCATCAAATGTTTGATTTCTTTAAATGTCATTCACTTTCTCTAAAAATTTAATCTAAATTTAAAATTTTTTTTATTTTTTTAGGAGAGAAGACGCCATTCGATTTATTGTATAGCACCGAATCTGGCTTTTATAAAGCTTACGAACTACAAGAGGTTTCCTTTTTGTACTTAAAATGGTTTTGAAACTTAAAATCTCAGTATCAAAAAATTCTAGGAATGCCCAACAGAGCCGTTTCGAAAAATCGACCTTCGGGGTTTTGATTTTGATTGAAAAATATTTTCGATTTTACAAGACTTTTTGTTTCGAAGCGTCATTGATGTTCAATTTTTCAAAAAGCGTTCAAATCACTTTTTAATTTTTTCAGATAATCGGTCAAGGCATAGCTTCCGTTGTACGCAAATGTTTGGAGAATGGTAATTTTATTTATAATTTAAATTAAAAATTTTTTATATTTAAAAGAGACTAAACATCCTTATGCTGTCAAAATTGTTGATGTAACTACAGAACGACAATCTGAGAAGGAAGCAAAGTTGGCACTGGAAGAAGCACTTTCTGAAGTTAAACTGTTGAAAAAACTTTCTGGACATCCTTCGATAGGTTTGGGAATTTTTTAAAAAAAATCTTTCCTTCTCAAAATTTTCCCCATTTTTGTCGTGTTTCAATTAATTAAAAGATTAATTTGTATTTGAGTCCCTTAACATTTCTAGGGTCCAGGGACATATACCGATGAAGTTACAGTAAATTAGCTTTTCTTTAATGTCTAGCAAGAATGTGTGTTTTAGGGTTTTTTTGGAGGAGAAAAAAGTGGGAATTTCTATGTAGATGAAAATTTCGTCTAATTCATTTTATGAAATCTCTTATCAATTCTTCCACAGTTTTTCTCTCTCCTTCAATTGAAGTTCAGTTATTTTTAAAATTTCCAATTTTTCAGTAAAACTTCACGACTTTTACCCAACACCAACTTTTTTATTTATAATTTTTGAATTTGCAAGTGAAGAATTATTTGATAAATTAAATCGTGCAGTTAAATTTGGTGAAAAGAAAACTCGTCATATAATGCAACAATTGTAGAGGATTTTTCAGAAAAAAATTTTTCAAAAAAAATTTTTTCAGGTTCGAAGGTATTTGCTTTATTCACGAAAAAATGATTGTTCATCGTGACTTAAAATTAGAAAATATTTTGGTTATTAACGGTGATCGTGTGGTTATTAGTGATTTTGGATTTGCAAAGCAATTAAAAGAAGGGCAATTATTGAAAGGTTTTCTTTAATAAAAAAATTTTTTAAGTAAAAAATATTTTTAACGTTGTTTTTTAAAAAGGGGCCTATCTACAAAAATTTTTTAGGGATCTAATGAAATAATTGATCTCATATTTTTTCCAATCATTTTTCTCATTTAAAGGGAGGAGCGAGTATATGGAACAGGGAAGAATAAAGTTGAAAAAATGCCGCCTTGGAGTTTTTAAAATTTTCTTCTGATCGGGTTTCGAGTCGAAAAAGGGCTGAATTAGGTAACCGGTCCATTCCTGTTAAGGAGTACTACACAAAGATTTTTTTCTAATTTTATTATTTTATTCACAAAAAAAAGATTTTATCAACTAAATTAATTTTTTTTTCAAAATTTTAGATCTTGTTGGCACGCCAGGCTATTTGGCACCAGAAACTTTACGTTGTCAAATGAATGAGGATGCTAAAGGTTTTTTTTCTTGAATTAAAAAACTTTTTCTATTTTTCAAAGGTTATTCATTAGAAGTGGATAATTGGGCATTAGGTGTAATAATGTATACAATGTTATCTGGACATGCCCCTTTCTATCATAGACAACAACTTAGAATGATGAGAATGATACAAGAAGGAAAATACGAATTTAAAAAGGAATTATGGGAACATATTTCTGATGGAGCTAAGGATCTCGTATGAAATTTTTTCTAATTAGAAAAAAATATTTTTCTAACGTTTCCACGTTTAAAAGTTTGAAAATTTGAGGTCGTGGGTTCGATACCGAGTGGGGAAATTATTTTTTTATATTCGTTATAATGGTAGACTAAATAATTTTGGGCATTTTTAGATATTGGGGAGTTTTTGAATTTTTTAGAGACAAAAAACCTTATTTTGAAACTATTCCTAAGCAAAAAAGTACACGAAAATTAGGGGTCGTGGGTTCGATGCCGCTCGGTGAACCATAATTTTGGAAACAAATTTTAAATTTTCCACAAAAATTTTTTTCCTTTTTTTTCAAGATTCAACGCCTTTTAACTGTCCCAGTTTCAAAAAGAATACTCAGCTCTGAAAGTTTAAAACATCCATGGATGTTATCTACAGCAGATGGTGAAAATCCTTCAATTAGTAAATGGGACCCAAGAAGAATATTTAGAATTGCTCAACATTCTATTAGGTTTTTTAAATAAAAAATAATTCAATTTCAAAATTTTTTTCTTTAAAGATTTTTGGTCAGAATGACGAATTCTAAATCAACAACAAAATTGGGTGAAGGAGGTTTAAATAAAAAATTTTTTTGATTTTAAAATTTTTTTTCAGAGGAGACTCGTCCACGTCCATATAGAAGCAGAAGTGAGTTTGTCGGAAATTTTTTTAATTTTTATATTAAAATTATCGAGCCCAACAAAAATTAAAATTGAATATTTTTTACAACTAAAAAATATTCGGACCCGAAAAGGTTCGAACCCTCCACCCTCTAAAACTTAAAAAATCACCACTTAACCAAGAAATCAGAATCTAGAAAACTTAACCATAGCCGACAATTTAACTTAAGATAAGAATTTTTTATCAAAAACAATAGGCGGTTTAACTCTAAAAGGGTTCGAGGGTGAGGACCCCTATTAATCAGAAAATAACCCACTTAACCACAAAGCAATTTTTCGGAAAAAGAATATTTTTAAGCCTTTTTTCAATTTTAAACAAGTCTCAGGTTTAAACATAGGCTTTTTCCATACGAGAGAGATGCTTTTTGCAAATAAACAAAAATCTAAAATGCACCGCCGTCCTGGTTCTTTGGAGAAAAATTCAGCAAAAAGGAAGAAATCCTGTCTAGAAGGAATGATTGTAGATGAATATACTACGCAACAACAAAGTCAGTCAAATGAAGATCATTAAGAAGCTTAATTTACGTAATGCATTTTCTTTTTTTTCAATTATTTATAGAAGATAACGGTCCCAAAAAAATTTTGGAGCCGAAAGGATTCGAACCTTCACCCCTAAAAATATCAAAAATCTCCACTTAACCAAATGGACAAAAATCTTTCTTATGGTCTTGAAATTACTCAGAATAACTAAAATTTTATTTTTCTTAAAAAAACCAATTTTTGGGACCGTTTTCTGATTTTGTAGGGTTGAAAAAGACTGGTTTATATTATAGTTAGTATACCAATTAATATGTAAAATTAGCCTATTTTTTAGAAAAATTAATTTAAAGAAACCCCCAAAAAAATTTTCTTTTTATTTTTTAGACACCCGAAACAATTTTTTTAAAATACAAAAATTAATTGGTAAACTTGCAACAACTTAATTTTAAATATTATTTTTAAGAAAATAATCCTCTCCTGTTTTTTATTGTATAGATCTTGGATCTTATTGGTTATTATTATATTGATGTCAAACACTCGAAAATACATTTTAGCTTTTTTATTTTGAATAAAAATTTAAAAGAAAATAAAAAATTTTAGACTAGAGATATGTTTAAAAAAATAAAATTTGATATTAAAAATAAAAATAGCTGTGAGATTTTTTTAAAATAATGTGGAATGTTTGGGGGATTTTTAGAGACTTGAACAAATTTTTTTGTCTTTTTTGAGGGGAAGTGTCGAAAAAATTTTCCATGATCCTGAAATTTTTTTCATCCAAAAAAGAGGGATCCCAGGAATTTACGAAAAATTAAATTCTAAAGTTCAAGCTCTAATAAGCTTCTAAAAATGATTTAAAAATAAATTTCGAAGGGAAAATAAAAAAATTGGAAATTTTAGAGAAAAAATCTAGACAATCTACAATAAAATAAAAATCTAAATAAGCATCTAATTAAAAAAATAACCAGCAAAAGCACCTTTTGCTCTTTTAACTAAACTTTCAAAAATTAAAAAAGATATGTTTCCATTTTTCTCCAAAAAAACCTGCATTTTAAGTAGTTTCATTAGATTTGTTGAGATCTCTTATAATTTCTTGGAATGATCTTAATTTTTCACGGGATATGATTAAAAGTTCTTGGACATTGTGTTTCTCTGCCATCTCATTGAAAAATCTTTAAAAATAAATTTTTGTGTAAAAAAATAAGAACAAATTCCACTTGGAAAAGTAGTAAAAATAAATAAAAACCACCAAAGGGACTCGATCCCAAGCCCCTCCCATAAACCCAAACATTACACCACGAACGAAACTAAAAAATTAAACTCAACAGAATCCCAAAAATAAATAAAAAAACCACTCGAGGTACTCGAACCCACAACACCATTCTCCCCCTAAATCCAACACCAACCCACTACACCACGAATGACACAGTGAAAACTAAAATACATCAAACTAGTAAAAATTAAATAAACACCCACTGGATTCGAACCCATATCGAATAATTTTTAATTAAAAATTAGCCCCTCCCTCTTATGTATAACTAACATCAATCCACTAAACCACAATAACTCAATTAATAACTAAAATTCAACAAACTTTATGACATCAGTAAAATCCATATCATTTTCAATCAAAATTTCCCTGTATTGTGTTAACAAGGCCAAACCAAAAAATAAACCAAAATGGCGAGAACAAAGAACTTCAGCAGACCAAATAACTTCCCAAAGTTGAAAAACATCAGAATATTGTAATTCTAAAAAAAGAATTTCTTTCCTTTTCTCTTAAAAATTAAAAAAAACCTCTCTTAAAATCAAGTAAAAGCCAACGATAAAAAACAACAAAAGAATAATCGACATTTCGCATTAATTGAGAATACAATTCTGGATCCATAACTTCTACTAAATAACGCTGAAAAAAATAAATTTTATTTTTTTTCAAATAATTTTTGATTCCCAAAATCGACATCTCAATTTATTTTCATCCCCTCTCGGTATTTGGAAAATTTTTTTGAAAGATGACATTTGACATATTTTTTAAAAATATTAAAATATGAACTAAAATACCTTTAAAATATTTTTTGCCTTGAAAAATTTTTTTTGGCCTCACTGGGATTCGAACTCACGACCCCCTTCCTTCCTCTGACCAAACCACTACACCAAGGAAAAATTTTTTCGGGAACATTGGAATTGAACCCGCAGACATTCCACTCTATGACCTACAACCACTATACCAATAGAAACCTTTTGGCCCCGCCGGGATTCGAACCCATGACCCCTTCCCTTCCCAACTATTAACCCACTACACCAAAGAAAAAAATTTTTTAATATACAAAATGATTCAAATTTTCATCCATTTCATTATTATGTTTGCATTGAGGAAAGTTTTTAGCCATTCTTCTCAACATTAAGCGTTCAAAACAAGCAAGAGTTAGCGATTCATCAGCAAATAAAGCTAATAAAGGGGCCAGAACATCGCACATTCCTTGAACATACCCATCGTTTATATCAATTTTTAAACGTCGATAAATGTAAGTAACCATTATTTTACGTAAAATAATTAAATTTTCCATTTTTGAATAAAAACGAGTAATTCTATCACAACGATCAACGTCCTAAAAATTAGAAAAAAAAAATTTTTTTTAACAGCGTGAGTCTTCATAAATTATTTTTTTGAAGTGGAATAAGGGACAAAAGGTGAGATTGTCCCAGTGATAATTGGAATCTCAGTGATTGGCATCCCGTCCTAAAATTTAAAGTTTCAAGCGATTACTAGGATTACTAGGACGGGGTTAATAATCGTAAGTTCCGTCACTCTTGATCTTTTGAAAATTATTGTTAGTCCTGTTACATGATTCCGATTTTTTGTAAATTCAAAAAAATTTTAAAAATAAATTTTGAATTTAATTAGCCCTTAGAAATGAAAAAAGTTGGCAAAAAACCCCATTAGTAAAAATCGATTTAAAAGGAGAAAAATTCAAATTGAAAAAAAGTTTCAGAAATAAGAACAAACCTTTTGAACACGAATTAAATTTGCCATTAATTCTTTAGCCAATAACTGGAAAAAAATTTTAAATTAAAAAATTAAAACAAAAAACAAACATTTTCTGAATTAGTCAATTCATTTTCATCAAAATCAACAACATCCAAATCTTCAAAAACATCAGAATTTGTTGATTCTGAACGTGTTGAAGAAGGAAAATAATCTTTTTGAATTGAAAATTCTGTTGTTGTTGTTGTTATAATTTCTGAATTTTGACGAGAATATTCTGAAAAAAATAAATTTTAAAAAATTTATTTGTCCTTCTAATACCCTTAAAAATAAAAAAAATTTATTAGGCATAAATCTAATATATTTTATCAAAAAAAATTTTTTTCGAATTTTTAGAATTGCCTTTTTTGAAAATAATACAGGAAATTGTAGGAATAATTTCAATTTTTCTAAAAAAATTCTTTTTTAGGTCTTTCCCTCTATGTTCCCAAAAAGTTTGTTAGTTTTAGCAGCAAGTCACTCGTTAAAAAAATTCTTCATAAAAAATAAAAAAATTTGAAAAAAAAATTTCAAAAATTGCGGACAATACTTGCGGACATTTGTGGGCATAAAAAATTAATTAAAAATTCCCAACCATTTTTTTGTAAAGAATTTGAAAGAAAATTTTTTTCGATTTCCATCCATTCATTCGAATCTTTTTCATATTCTTTCTTTAAAAAATCAGTTTTATTTTTATCCAAATCTTCATGCCATTCAACAATTCTTAATAAATAAGGCCAAGATTGAGCACGAAGAAAATCATTTTCTATTCCACAAAAATAGACACGAGTCAAAAATTGTTTGTAAAGAGGAATCTGTGTGGAAAATTAAAAAAATAATAAAACATGTTATTCGAATATCTTAGGAAAAGTATGCTAAGTAGAAAGTCAATCAATAAATACATATACAAAGAATGTTCCCCTTAAAAGTCGAATAAAACAAATATTTAGCATAACCAAAAATTATAAAAATTCCCCCATTTATCAGAGCTGGACGCATCAAAAGAAAAAATTTTTTTTAAAGTAATTTTCAATTTTATTTAAAAGATCAGCAAATTAAAAAGCAACTTGTAAGTAATGCTAAAAGCTATCAACACTGCGATAGCGCATAACAAGGAAAAACAATATCGTGCACGATTTTCTTATTTACCCCTATATAGAATTTGTATCAACACAAATTCCAAAAAAATTCCTATGAACAATAAATACAATTCTTATTCTATTAATAATTTAAAAAATTTAAATAAATATATACCGATTTTTCCATTCTACATAATTTCCAAAATGTTTCAGTTACAGGCATTAATTCTCCATCAATTCCATTTTCTTCTTCATTTCCACAATTTTCAATTTCATATACAATATTTGCCAAACGAGTTGAAATTATTCTCATATGTCGACAATAGGATAACCAACCATTAAATGCTCGGCTTAAAATTTGTGTTTTCATTGCTTTTGTTGCGTTAACCAAAGATGATCTTTATATAAAAAAATTTTTTAAATTAAAAAAAGGTTGGACTAATTATTAAAAATTAACATCAGTTATGATACGCGTTCAATAAAATTTAAGGCTAGTAGGTAGGAGGAACTGTCCAATGATATGCTTATCAAGGGTGTAGCCAGGGGGCTTCTTGGGCTAAAGCCCCTAACGCCAAAATTTTCGCCAAAATTTTGGCGCAAACCTCATTTTAGCCCCCTGGCTACGCCTTATGTTAGATGCTTATATAAAAAACGCTTTGTGGCCTCCGACAAACAAAATAAATTCAATGGAAAGAGAAACTGGGTAAGGTCTGACTAAAATTAAAAAAAATTACCTAACAGCCTGTCCATCATCATCTTTTGAATTTTCTCTACTCGTGGATCGCTCACTAATTTAAAATTAAATTTAAACAAAAATAAAAACCCCAACAAAAAACCTCGTCATTTTAAAAGGTGCTTTAGTTAAATTAAACGACGGAACAACAATTGCTGGACCTATTGTAGAAGCAAAAGAAACGATACTGAAAATTAGGCCAACACTAGTTTCTTTACAATTGGATTTATCTTCAGTTGCATTTTTGATATTTGTTGAAGACTCGTCTAGAAAATTAGTTTAAAAATTTTATAAAAATAAAAGAAAACGTTTATTAAAAATTTTTTTGAGGCAGAAAAAATTTTTCAAATAAATAAATTAATAAAAAGAATGTTCAAACACAACGAAACAGACTTGGTAATGGACATGGATTTTGGTATCCGTATCCAGATATTTACGGAGGATACAGACGGATACCCGCAGGCATTTTGAACTTATCTGTATCCATATCCATTACCAAGCCTGCAACGAAAAACCACAAGATGGACCGAATCCACAACTATAAAATCGAGTAGTCTAGAAAACTATAAACTCAACCAGAGGGTAAGTTTCAGCCTTATAAAATTCCCTATATTAAAATTTTAAAAAAACCTTCAATTCCTTTAATAGTCTCCAATGGAGGCTGAATACGAAAAAGCGGCGCCAACCCATTTTCTACCGCAAACAAAAAAGTTAGGCATTGCCGTTTGTGTCCAAAACGGAACGATATTTGTTCAACCCCATCAGAATCAACCAAAACAACAACATAGAAGGAAATTGATTCTTTTTCTGAAAATTTTGAAGGGAAAATAAGCTTTAAAAGAAAATAAAGTAAAATTGCCGTTTTTTTCATCCCCAAATTTTCTTCAAATAAATGTACAAAATGGTCAGACTTTTCCATTTTCTTCTAAAAAAAGGATTAGGTAATTAATTTATATTTTGCTTTGGAGGGAAGATAAGAAGAAAAATCTGAATATTTTGTAAATTGATAGGGGAAAGTTTTGGGATGGAAAAAGAGGGTTTTTGTGCAAAAATTTTTTCTTAAAGTCAGAAAATAACACTTTAAAAAGAAAATACTTTGATGCAAATGAATGTGCGTAATCGTTTCCATTCTTATTGAAAAAGGAGTTTGATGACTATAAGAATTGAGTTCAAAACAAGTTTTCGATGTAAAAGAGTTGTGTTGGCTTGAAAAGAATTTTTTTAATTTTAAAAAATAGAAAATGAAACTTTGTGTCAGAATGAAGTAAAGCATTCGGTGCCCATTTAAGCGTTAGAATTCCATTAATGTCTTGTTGAAGTGTGAGATAACCTGAGAAAAGTGATTGGGGTTGTTTAGAAACAAAAGAAGCTTTTTGGGGAATAATACGAGAATTTTGAAAAAGTCCGCAAGATTTGTCCGCAAATCTGAAAAGTCCGCAGACTTTTAATAATCAATTTTATGTTCCCATTTCCATTATTTTCCCCTGAAAATCATAAAATCAATGAAAATGTGTCAAAAATTCCCCAATTTTAATTCAAAAAACCTTGTTGTTCTCTTCCTCCAAAATAAACGGAAATATTATTTTTTGCAAAAAGAATACTAGTCCTTGGATTTTGATGAAACGAGAAAGCATTTTCCCTACTAGAAGATGCTGAATTGAGTTCCGGAGAGGGAGCTATACTTGTTCCTCTTTTAAGCAACTGAAAAATAATTTTAGAAATTTTAAGAAAAAATCCGCAAGTTTGGAAAAATCCGCAAATTTTTGCTAAAATCCGCAAGTTTTGTCCGCAACTTTAAAAAACATTTTGCGGAGAAAACTTGCAGAAATTTTACAAAAATCAATAAAATAAAAAAATATACCGCCAAAGGTGGTCTTCTTTTAGGTGTTGTAGAGGTCAACGAATTTGGTGAAAAATTACAATTATTTAGTGTGCTCATAATTCACATTTTCTTTAATTTACTTAAAAAATTAGAAAGAAAATATGTTAAAAAATAAACATAATAAAAGCAGCTTTTACACTGAAATAAAGAAATGAAAAAGGAAGGCTCTTAAGCCTGCCTCACGCATAACTAAATTAGTGAGAGTACAACTTTAAAAAAAAGTTGGACAGAGGCTTATTTATTCCCACACGCGAATGGCAGAAAAGTATTTTTTTTTATTTTTAAGGTAAATAAGGGGGATAATCAATGAGAAAAGAAAATGTTCGAAAAAAGGTGTAAATTTTAATAATTAATTGTGTTGAGGTTGGGGAAAATTGGAAAAAGAAGGTAAATTAAGAAATAAATTTCAGACTCGAAAACCAGCCTCAAATTAGAACCTGACCCCGGGGGGAGGGATAGAGGGACATCCAAAATTTTAACTGAAGTCCGCAAATTTAATAAAATCCGCAAGAGGATGGCGAAAATAAAAAAAGTCTTAGTGTTAGTCTCGGATTTTCGGGCGGGTATAGAGAATAACTCTCTAAAGCTTGGCTTTCGCTAAAGCTCCGGTCCGGAACAAATTGTAGAAGAAGTAGATTCCAATTCTCTTCGCTGTTTTACATACTCTAACGTCCCCATACTCTAATAAAAAATTGGGAAAAAGAGCGAAGGAACGGGAGAAATAGTACAACAATTTAAATAACCGCTTTATGGCACAATTTAAATAAACATTATGCCAAAAAATATTTTTTTCTAAGAGTAAACAGCTGATTGGATTTTTCAAGCTTATTTTTGTTTTCTTTTTATTTTTTTGTTTTTAATTTTTTTTAATTTTATTTTTAATTAACAGTTATGGTTGAAGAGATTGATCGTGTAGAAGAGGAGGATTCCAATTTTCTTCCATGTCAGAGTTGGCAAATTACTCCCGATCCAATTGTTATTAGAGGAATAGGAAACCTAACGTTGTAAGAAAAATTTATTTTTTGGTTTAGTGGGAAAGTGGTTGGTTCGGAGGTTTTATAGGTCGTGGGTTCGAACCCCGCCGGGGGAAAATTATTTTTTTAGTGACAGGGGAATATTTCTAAATTCATAAAAGATTGTTGGTCTCCCAAAAATGTCAAAAAATATTTTTTTATTAAAGGTTCGGACTCAATTCACGTTTCTCTTCAGAATTTCCTTGTTCACTAAAAGGAAAATTGGCACCAGAAGAATTTCAGGTTTATTTTTTTAAATTTTAATTTTTTATTTAAATTCTTTTATAGGACACAATGGATCGAATTAATTTTGTTTTGCAAAGGAACATTCATTCACATTTGCGTTGGCTAATTTGTGGTTTAATTTTTTGTTGTTGTAGTATGGGTATTTCTTTGTGGCCGGTGATTTATTTAAATAAAGGAGTAAGTCTTGATTTTTATTTGTGGGTTGGAATTCCGATTGCCGACGTTTTTTCCTTCCGCTTTTCAAAAAAATTTTTGATTTCCGAATTCCGACTTTTGAGCCAGTTCCTAGTTCCGGCTCCCGATTTCCGACACCTCGGACTGTTCCTACCCACCTCTGGTATATAGCAGGAATTTCTGTTGGGGGATCTTTGGCAAAGCTAAAAATTAAATTGGGGCAAGAAACTTTTATCTGTTTTGAAGTCACGTAGAGATTTTCCGATTTTTGGTGGATCCTCGTCTCAATCTGTAAGGGCTAAAATTCAGGTTGTGATAGAAAACCCAAGGTAACACAGCGTCTGAGTCTATATTTTATAGTTCTCTGCGTGGATTTCTTGTCAAGACAGAAATCTTTAAAAATCGAAAGACTTGTTATTGAAGACTTGTCCCTTTTAATTTTTCTTTTTTTACAGACAATTTCAGCAGTCAAAGAAACACTTGAACAAGAAAATCAATTACTTTACAATAAATTAGGTTTAATTTTTAAATTAATTTTTCCAAAACTTTCTTCCTTTTTAAAGGTTTTAATTGGAAATTATCTCGTAGGCCTGTTGAAAACACCGAAAATTTAACTGAATATGTGCTGCTGATTGAAACGTTGGCTAAAATTCCGTTGTCAGTGCCAGACTGATTTTTAAAGCGCAGATTTTTTGCTCAAAAATTGTATTTTTTTTACTTTAAAATTTTTATTTTTAATTTCAAATTTTGTAAAAATTTGCTTTTATCTCTTACAATTTATTTTTTAGACAAAGTTAAATCTGACCGGGTAAATTGAATTTATTTGTTCAAAAAACACCTGTACAACATCTTTAGGAAGAGAAATATTTCTCTTTAATATAAAAAACTGCCTATAACTTTTTAGAATAACTTGGGGGACGGGGCAAAAAAAAAGCCAAAAATTGGCAATGGATTATCGTCCATTCTCTGCACGTGGTGTGTGTTATACCACAAAATTTTTGGTGGTAGTTTTGGTTACTAGAAGAGATAAAAGTAAATTTTCATCTAAAAATACTCTCATTAAAATGGTAATTTTCAAGTCATAAATAATTTTTTCTTTAAAAACATTTCTATTCATTCTGTATATTTTTTTGTTTCTCTTTCCCCTTTCAATATTTTTTAATAAAAAAAATCGAAAAAAAATTTTCCGATATTTTTTGTGTTTCTTTTAGTTCCTCTTTAGAACACAAAAATAAATTTATAAAGATAAAAAAATTTTTTTTCTTGAGAAATATGATTTCCTGGGTATACCCCAAGGTACCTCAAGGCCAAGGTACCGCCGTCTAAAACTTCGTTTAAAATTCTCAAATCCGGGACGCCCTGGTATGGTTCGATTCAGCTCGTCGAGATGCCTCGAACCATACCATGGTGTCCTGGATTCGATAATTTTGAAGAAAGTTATAGTTCGGCGGTACCTTGGCCTACTCCCGTATTTCTTTGTATAATTTTTTACATTATTTTTATTTTCTCGATTACACCAAATAGTAAATGCAAAAATAAAATTAAAAAGAAAAAAATCAATTATTTAAATACAAGATGGCATTTTTTTTAAAATTAATATTTTCTTTTTTCATTTGAAGCTGTCGGTTCATTTAATTTTCGTTTTAAAATTGATTTTACGGAAGGCTAAAAATTTTTTTTCAAAAAAAATAATTTTTTCAGTTTTTCAAAAAAAATTTTTTTTAAATTCTCAAAAATTCCCTTACTTGTGATTCTTCATCTGCCCGACTAAAAGAATGAAGTTCAACAATATCAACACTCGAAACAGCAAATAATACATCATACGGACGAGGTCCAAACCCTGTATGATGAGCAGATCGACATTTAAAAATATTTCTGTCGTCGGTTAATAAACTTTAAAAAATAATTTTTAATTCAAAAAAATATAAAAAAAACCTCGATTCCATTCCTGTGTGTGGGGCAACACGAACAACTTCCAAAAATTCACAATAAACAATATAAAGATGTGGAGCTGTGTAAACTAAAAGATAAAGAAAATTAAAAAAATTTCTTCCAAAATTTCTATAAAAAAATAACCAAATTCAAGTGGCACTTTTTCCCATTCAATATTTCTGCTTCGAGTCCTCTTGCCTTTAGAATTGACAAAAAGTCCAAAATCTAGAAAAATTTAGTTTAAAATTTTTTCTAAAAAAAGAACGAAATTTTCAAATACAGTCAAAATCCCTCTACAAAAATATAAGCTACGTTCTTTTATAAAATTTAGGTTGCTACTGAAGGGACAGCTGTCTAAAGTTATCCTTTATTTAAGGTTTTAACACATCCCACATTTTAGTCCCGCCTGAAATACAGTTCAAACTGGTGTAACATACATATGTAGTGAGGTTCGAGAAATTCAACCTCAGGATATAAATCTAATCGCCTTTTATGAGGCAGTACTTTTTCAGTTCAAAGGATGTATCTTATAGCGAGGTTTGATTTGAAATTTTTTTAGAAATATTTTCAAAAAAAAACAAACAAACTATGAAAAGCCAAAAGAAATTCATTGTCAGAAATTTCAACAACAGCCACAGGAAAGTCATAAGGACAATTATCTACTGCCAATTGCATATCATCTCCACCAAAATTATTTTCATTTGAAAGAAAACGGAAATTATCTGCACCAAAAATAAATCCATTTTGTGTTGAACATATAGCTATTGGCGGTTCTTCTGTTAATATTTGTCTAATTGTTGAAAATACTCCAAGTTTAACAACATATTGAAGAATATAAATTGAGTCGATTGTTGCTACATAAACAAAACTGGAAAGAAAAGAGAATTTTTATTTAAAATTTCTCAAGAAGTTTCCCTGTATGTTCAGAAAATACCGATAATTATTTTATAAAAAAAGTAGAAAAAACTTCTATGAAAGCTTCCCAGATTTGAATTTTTCCCCCCGATTTGAATGAAAAAAAGACCAGGCACAGGATAATTCATGGGATTTTGCGAATCCCAAATATATGCAGTCAACATGCCTAATTTTTAATTTGCGGGGTTTATGCCGAGGGATCCACCTTCTCAATGAATTTTAAATGGGGATTATAAGCAGTGTTTGGAATTTTGAAAATTGCTCGTACTCGTACGAATTTTGGTACGAGCTTCCATTATAAGAGCCCATTGGCTTATAATCTCCCAAAACTCCCAAACCTAATTTTACAAAAAATATTTCCCCCCACAAACAAACCGTTTGCCACGATTATGCTCCACTTTACTAACAACAGCAATATGACATTGCTCAATATTTGGAGCAGCAGTAGTAACATAAACACTTGGTTGTTGATCTGCACGAAGAGCACGATTTAATTGTTGAGAATGTATAGCTCCAAGGCGACGACTTGAATCACAAATGGTAAGCAGCATATCAAATTCGGGAAGAAATTCCATCCAGAAAACCTTTAAAAATTAAAAAATATATTAGTCAGACCTCGCTATAACCTAGTCCCAAGTAGACATGTAAATTTAAAATACGTGATTTTTAAATTTTAGCTGACCACCGGGTAAAGTTGGCAGATCCTGGGAAATCCCCGATATCCTAATCTTATATCCGAGTCGAAGTTTTCCGGATATCCGGACTTTTTTCTGATCGGATTCGCCAACCATATCAAGTTGTAGGGGAGCTGTTTTGACACCCTTCAAAATTTAAGACACTCATAATTATAAAGTCCAGATATTATAAAGTCTCACTGAGATAAAAGGGTCTCAAAAATGTTCCCGGCCTCAAATCAAAGGAGTTATCTTATAACGAGACCCACTGCAGTATCTTTAATAAAAAAATAAATACATACTTTAAATATTCCAGCAATTTGAAACGGTGTACGATTTTGTGTTATTGCTGCTGCAAATAAACCTTCTTGTGCTCCAATAAGTAAATATTCATTTCCATTATTATAAGGTAACCATTGAGTACAATTTATACATAAATTACGAGGTTTTTCCAATGAAAGTAAAAGTTGATTTGTTACAATTGTTGAAGATGGTCGCCTTTGAATAAAAATACGACGATTTGTAGCTTGTTGTAATGCTTGAACCCAACGTTGTTTTGCTTGTGATGTTGGGGTTAACATTAATAATGTACGACTAAAAAAATTTATTAAGGAGAGAGGTTCCAATTTAAGAAAAGTCCAACGAGAGTGGACTTCTCAAATAAAAAAATTTACCCCAAATTTTATAAAATTCTTCTCATTCATGATAAAACTAAAACAATATGTAAGACAATACCCAAGAAAATACCCCAATCCTTAACAATCTCTCTCCAAAAAGGGAATTTTAGAAATTAGAAAAAGGTTAGGATGAATTTAGTGAAGTATCGATTCACATCAGTCAGTGAAATATTTAATAAACTGATTTTGGTATAGAAAAAACTCAAGAACTCGTGTAAAATAACAGGCTTTTCTGAGGACCTTTTCCTAATAAAAAAGGTACTTTTACATTTTAGTTCCTAAAAATTAAAAAAAAAATTTGCAAAAAATTCCATAAAAAGTGTCCTCAGAAAAAGCATGTCAGTTTACACAGAAAATTTTCTAATAATTTTTAAAAAAAATAAAATTAAAAAAATTTCATACTTTGGCATTCTCAATTCAATAAGCATCGACATATCATTCTCTTTTACACCACCCAACGGTTTTTCAGTTGTTTGATTATAAATTCTCCATTGTTCATGATCCAAATTAATACAAATAAATGGAGGACCATTCCTTTGTAATGCTAATTGATCACTTTCATAAAAATTTAGCGAATGTTTTTCTATCATAGCCCAAGCATTTTGCCATTTTTCAGTTATTGCAAAAGTAACTGGCGACGAAGAAGAAAAACGTGTAGCACCGCTAGGCATTGAAGCAGGTAAAACTAACAATTTTATCCATCCAGTCATTTGTTCTCCATTCATTCCTCCACTATAAGCATCCAAATAAAAATCAGCACATTCATAGGGTAATCCACAAGTATTCACAACAGAAACTTTACAATGTTTGTGAACAACCATATTACAATCACGACAACGATATACATAAGTAAAATAGGGAAAGCCTTCAAAACAGAATTGACAACGATTCTAGGAAAAAAAGGAAAATTTTTTTATTGATTCAATACAGCCAGAACTCGTTTAAGATTTCGGGCCCCCTTGAGGCTGGAAAGATGGTAACTTATAAGTGTATGTATCAGGGATCGCGCCGACCCGATTCCCGAAAATCGTGAATTCCCGACGATTTTTGGCTCGTGAATTCAAGATTCCCGAAAATCGGGAATTTGATTTTCTGTCGGCGCGTTCCTGGTATGTACGTTAAATAGAGGTGGGCATTTCTATGGCATTTTGGAATTTCGATACATAGTTTGGACATTTCATGGCTTTTGGAGGTTTGGCATTTTAATGACTTGACATCTCGATTCTCCTAAATGCTCCCTCTCCTTATCTTAAATAGAGTTGTATCACATTTCGGGCATATCTTAACTGAAGCCCGACATACTAGATTAATTTCCCTTTTAAAATTCCTTACCGAAGCCATTGTAACAAATTGTCTCTTCCAACGATGTGGAATATCATGACGCATTTTTCCAGGTGTAAAATTAGAATTTGTCCCAGTCACAAATGTTCTCAAAGTTAAAGATTCGGAAGTTGTTTGACTTGAAAATTTTTTATTAGAAAAATTTAAATTAAAAAAAACCTCAAAGTTTCACAGCTTTGTTGGTCTCTAATTGAACGCCGAACATTAATTAATGGAACAATTTCGTCTTCCTCAATTATTTGATTATTTTGTGTCTCAGCCAAAACTTTAATAAATTTTATTTTTTAAAAATTAAAAAGAAACCTCTTCTTTTCATTTCCAAATCATTTTTTAATTCATCACGTTGTTGTTCTAATTGTTGACATTGTTTGTATTCTGATTCAATTTCCTTTAAATTTTTTTTTTATTTTAAAATTATTTTTTATTGTTAGTCCCGAAGATATTCTATTTCTTTTGAAGGCAGGAGACTTTATATAATTATTAGAGCAGTGTAAATTAACAACAGAATTTACACTGCTCTAATATGGTTCGATCTAGAAATTGAGCTGGCTCTGGACAAAGGCCTAGGTTTTTCCTGTACAAAGAGTCCAAGCCTAGGTATTTTTTGACATGCCTGGGTTTTTCCTGGGCCTGGGTTTTCTGGCTACAGACCCAGGATCCGGCACATGTCAATAAATCAAACTCAGAACACAGGAACAGGCTTTTCAAAAATCTAGATCTCTAGTTCGATCTCAAGTCAAAAATCGAACCATAACAGGACGTCCAAAATTTATTTAAACACTACGGGCTGGGTCTCGGTATATTTAATAAAATACAAATAGTAATTCAAAAGTTTTGGTAATTTCTGATTTTTGAAACCTAATGATTCACTCATAGGAAATTTAAAATAAACAAACCGAAATATAATCAGATTCAGAAGACAACAATGAAGGCCGTGGACGAGGCAATTTTTGCATTTGTTTTGGTTGCATAACACTTTGTAAATAAGCAACTAATTTAGATTTTTGTTCCAAATCGGCTAATGCTTCTTGAAGTTTGTCTTCCAAAGAAACCTGAACAAAATTAAAATGATATTAAGGGTTAAAAGGAAGACACAACAAGGTTTAAAGCCTATTCATAAAAGAAAAAGTTAATCGCCCAATAAAGTAGGCAAAGCTCATACAAAATAAAATAATTGTAATTGAGCCAAGAGGTCAAAGAAGATAGTTTGACTCGGTGTTTTTGCTATCTAATTCTCCCTTTTTTATGACTTTAGGAAAGCGAATCAATCGAACAAGATTAATTATTTTTTCAAAAGAGCAAAGTTCAAAACATCGTTTGCAAGGCTTCTGAAACCAAGGTAAACGCAAAAATTTAAGGCGCACACCCAATGTTAGACCCCACCCCCACCCCCCCCCCGAAATCAACCCCCTGGCTACGCCCTTGATCTTTCGTAGGTTAGAATCCCTGTCTGGGTAACTTTGTTACACTTTATAGGAATCTAGATTTGCCCAATTCTTAAATCTATACCCTCCTACTCAATTAAACAAATCCCCTTTTCCAAACCTTCTTTTCCTCCGCAATTTTCATTTCTAATTTTAATTTGTCATTTTCTTCATTTGAAGCTTTAAATTGATCTCTAAAATTCTCTGCCTTTTGTAAACATTCAGCAAAATTTTGTCTTAACAAAGTATTCTCATTTATTAAAGCCAATTCACGCTTTCGAATTTCTTCAAGTTCCAATTGTGTGGATGTTTGTAATTCTTTCATTTGATTTATTTGTTGTTCTAAAGAGCGAATATCAACAGCAGATTGGGCTCCTTTTTGCTAAAAAAGAATAAATTAAAAAAATTTTTTTTTTAATAATTGCTATTATTATTAAGTACTAGGGTTGTCAGTTTAATTATATTCTTCAGCTAACTAAAAATGATCCGAAAATTTTCGGTACGGGCTAGACCGCAACCCTAATTTTAATACACTATAGATGTTCATTCCTACAAGAAAACCTCAAAAAAATTTTTTTTGGAAAATCTGCAAATATTTACCGATCCTGATTTTTCTTGGGAACTTAAGATAAATTAGAAAATTCTTTACAGAAAATCCTTTAAAAATCCTTAAAAAAAATAAAAAAATAACCAATATTATACCAATTTTTCCCGTATTTCAGCTACTTTTCCCTTCTTAATTGCATCAAATTGTGAAGTGAAAGGTTCGTTTAATTTTTCACAAGTCAAAATTTCAGGTTCTTTAAGAACGGTAGAACGAGATTTTTTAAGTTGAAGCTAATACAAATTAATTTAAAAAATTTTTTAAAATTAAAAAAACCTCCAACTCAACAATTTTTCTTTCCAAACATTTTTCATTACTTTTTAACGACAAATTCTCACTTTGTAATTTACGAAATTCTGAATTTTCTGAACGTAATTTTCCACTTTCTGCTTTCATTCGTTCATAATCGTCTTTATAAGAATTACGTTCAAATTCACATTTTTGAAGTTTTTGCTATAAAAAATTATTTTTTTTTTAAATTTTAATACCAGAGGCACTCTCAAACATGGAGTAAAATTTTTGAAAAATTCTTTATTTATTTTATCATGTTAAAAATTGATGGAAACCATGTTTTTTCATGATCGGTTAATCCGATTAATTTTTGTCTGTGGTGGGCCCAAATGGTGAATTCCAGGGGCATTTGAGGTGCCACAGGCGAAATTTAAACTGTCGCAAACAACCCTATTGAAAATCTAATTTTGGGAGACTCAAAGAAATTTTAAAAAATAAAAAAAAGTCAGTCTTTAGGAAGTTTTGAACCTTTATACGACTTCTAATCCCAGTTTCAAAGCCAAACCATTCCCCAAACAGAATAAAAAAATTCACTCTCTCTAGTCTGTGAGTGTTCCCAACTTGAAATACTCCCAATCTAAAATTTAACAAAATAAAATTTATACCATTAATCTTTCACATTGTGCATCCAACTCTACAAGCGTTGTTTTTGCTTCTTCATATTTTTTATTATTTGAATCCAATTCAAATTGTAAACGATCTAATTGTAGTTTGTCACACGACTCACTTCTACGTTGAACCTGCTTGATTTGTTCGACCTGAACGAAAAAAATTTTTCTGGTAAATTTTTTTCATTTTTCTCTTCATTCCTCTTATTTTTTAATTATTAACCTTCTCTTCACAATTTTTATTGACATTGTCAAGTTGGTCTCTTAATCTGCCATTTTCTTTATTTAAAATATCTCGCTGACATTCTGTTGCCGCCAATTTCTTTCTTAAATCTTCCAAGATAAATTTATTATTTTCGAGCTGTTTTTGCTTGATTTCCTCAACCTAAATAAAAATTCTTACTTTAAAATCACATCTAAATTTGCCAAAATTTTTAATTTTATACCTTCTTTTCGCCATTTTCTGCCTTTTGTTTACATTCAGCTAAATTTTGTCTTAACAAAGTATTCTCATTTATTAAAGCCACTTCACGTTTTCGAATTTCTTCAAGTTCTAATTGTGTAGATGTTTGTAATTCTTTTATTTGATTTAATTGTTGTTCTAAAGAGCGAATAGCATCAGCAGATTGGGCTCCATTTTGCTAAAAAGTTAAAAAATAAAATGGAAAAAAATTATTTTCGAAAAGGGATTATAAATTTAAGAGTCTCCAGTAGAAGCTATTAGTGGTTTTCGGTCTAATTAAATTCTTTGGTTAACCAAGAACGATTCCAAACTCTTCGGTTTGAAATCTACAACACAAAAAACAACCCTACAAAAATTTCAGAAAACATGCAAAAATTTGCCGACACGGAATTTTCCCCCAAAAAAGCAATTCAGAAGTTCACTACAAAAATTAGAAATAAAATCGAATAATCCCCTTTTTAAAATTAAAAAATAAATATCATACCAATTTTTCCCGTATTTCAGCTACTTTCCCTTTTTGAATTTCATCAGAATTTTCTGAGGTGGAAGGTGCAGCTAATTTTTCACATGATAAAATTTCAGGCTCTTTTTGAACAGAACTTGATTTTTCCTGGTCCAAGAAGGCTCTTTTTTCCTCTCTAGCAGCTAGAAGATCACGGCGAAGTCTGTCAATTTCATCCTTGTATTCTTTAAGAAGACCCTTTCGTGTAATTCGTAAATTAACTTCTGGGTTGTTTTTGATGTTTTTGGCTCTCTGAGCATAGTCCAAAGTGTTAACAGATTCCTAAAAATTATTGAAACTCTTCACAATTTTTAACCCAAAAAACCTCAAAATTTGAAGAAGCTGGCGATATCGTTGCAATAATTGTTGTGATTGTTTTACCTCCCAAGGAGTCTTGCAATATTCTAGTCAGCTTACTTTCACGATAAGGAATGTGTGAAGAACCCATAGTCAATGCATTGATTACACGTCCAAGTGCTAATAAACTTGTGTTGATATTTCCTAATTTTAAAAATTCTCTTAGGATCGGGTTTCGGGAAAAAGTTCGGGGTTCGAGTAGCCCGACCCATCCCTTAATTGTACGTAATGAGTTGTCCTTACAAATGAAATCACTAAAAATATACCCGCTTCTCTAGCCCTAATATCTGTCGCTCCAGAACGTGCAATATTTTCAGAGCCAGCGAGATCCACCAAATTAAGTTTGCCTTGACGAAGCAATTCTTCCCCGTCTACAAGTCCAGGTTCTCGAATCTAAATTTTATTTTTTTTCAAATTTTTAGAAAACCTCACCATAACAGAAATAGTGAAAACAGAGTGAGAACGGCTATAAATTAACCAAATATAAATAAAAATATTTATAGAAACCTAGAAGTAATGTTCATAAGAGTTGTGGCTGTACGGCGCTTCTCAGCCCCACGTCTAAGCAAATCATAAACCTCCTTCAGAGAGAGGACTATAACTTCTTCAGCACCAATAATTGACACTCCCTTAAAATTAAACTCAAGTCTCTCCAATTAAGTCAAAAATAAACCTTTTCTTTATCATCAAAAATTTTCAACGATTCCAACTGCGAGTTTTCGCTTCGACTGAGCAAATCAAAAATTTGTTCATTGTAGAGCTCCACAAAACTGACACGGACAGTGTAATCTATATCCACTCCAAGTTCAGAAAATATTTGTTGAAGGGCTCTAGGGATGATTCCGGCTGTTGGATCAGTGTTCCACGTGTAGTCGTTAGAGTCGTCATGACGTCCTTCCATTGTAAACGTTTTTCCACTTCCGGTCTGGCCATAAGCAAAAACTGTGCAATTATACCCATTAAGAACTTCTTTCATAAGCGGGGCTAGAACACCCTCATAAACTTCAATTTGGGTAGATTCTGGGCCAAAAACCTTGAAAAAATATTTGAAATCACTCAAAAACCACAACAAACCTTATCGTAAGATCCAAAACATTTTTGTCCTTGAATAAAACGTAAAGAATCTGAAGCGTTGACATTTTTAAGTGAAACAGTCTTTCCTCCAAAGTCACACGAAACGATGTTTTTGTTACCAGAAGAACGTTCAGATTCGCTTAATGGTCTTAAAAAAGAGAAAATTACCGTAAAGGCTTTAATAGAAGCCCAGTTCTAATAGAAGCCCATGCCCTATTGTAGGCCCACCGATGGGGGGTATTGAAAAATATAAGCCCAGGGCTTCTATTAGAGCTTTTACGGTATTTATTTATTGAAGGACTAATCTCTCAAAAAATTCCCAAAAAGAGGGAGGAATTAAAGAAAAACAAAGGGTAAGAAACCTGACTCTAACAACAACTTGAACATTTTTCCTTTTAACAGAATTATCTCGTGATCTGGTAGCTGACATTAATTAGAGAGAATTCTTAACTGAAAATTATTTGAGTATTTATGAAAAAATAAAATTAATAAGCAGAAAACCAGCATGAAAATTATTAACCTAATTTCTAAAAAATCGAAAGAAAAGAGAAGCCAACCTAAAAGGTATTAAAATTTGAAAGGAAAAAATACGCGAAGCATAAATGACAAAATATCCCTTTTAAGCGAAAAAATGGTAATTTAAATTTTGGAGTTTTCTGGATTTTGTTTCGGTTAAAAAAGAGATCTCCAAGCAATTTCCCATACGACAAAATTATTTTTAACAATTTAAATCAAAAACAAAAATGACGGGCTCAGCCGGTGATCGAAACCGGGACCTCTCGCACCCAAAGCGAGAATCATACCACTAGACCACTGAGCCTACATTAAATGGACTGATAAAATTCCTTTTAAATTCTATTTAAAAATAAAGAGCGTTCTTAACAATGTGTGAAATAAGCAGTAAAATTAGTAAATTTTTTATTAGTCTTACAATTAGTGTCAGATTTATCATAAAATACACAAAACAAATAAATCAACAATACGAAAACAAAAATCCAAACAAAATTTTATTCAAAAGTACTTTCCCCCTTGGATCTTTCTTCAACTTTGGTTGACATCCTTTTATCATCCATTGTATCGTTAACAGTTTGTTTGCCTACAACAGTCGTCCCCTCACCGATATTTGTGCTCGAAACATATTTCTTTACTTGAAGGTCTGTAGCATATGTAACTTGTGTTTGTATATCCTCATAAGTCGGAGAAGCCTCAATTTTTGGTTTGCCTCGATCGGCAATCATATACGAGTCTGTACTTCGAGCGGTAGCCATTTTAACTGTTTGAACTTTTTCGCTCTTCTTGCAACATAGAGATAGACAGAGGAGAAGGACAATAAAGGTAGCAATGCTGAAAATTCAAGAGAGAGAAATATTTCTGTTTATAAGGCAAAACTCACAATATCACAACGATGACAACAACAATGACAATAATAAATGTTTTGCTATCAGAAGGCGGAGAAGTTGTAGAAGAATATCCTTCTCTTGTTGTTGTTTCCATCTGATTTTTTGTTGTTGTCATAGTCGCAGTCGTTGTTTTAGTCGTTATTTCTGTTGTTGAAGTAGTTGAAGGAATTTCATGTCCATGCATTAAAAGCTTGTATTTTGTCCCGTTCTGTAAAAATAATATAGAATTATGTTTTAGCCAGTCGGACTGGAGCTACGAGGGAGTCTGACAGACTAGAGCTACGAGGGAGTCTTACTAAGCGACATGTCAATAGGATATGTCGCTTAGACAGCCCTAAAGTTTGCGGATTCTGGAAAATCCCCTGATATTACGATCATGGTAGCATGAGTTACTCGAAACCCGGACATTTTTCGACCCAAAACCAGACCCGGCAGATCCAAAAGTTTTTCTATATTCACTCACAAATTTAACAAAAATATTGCATATTGGCCCTTCAATTGTATCATTTTTAGAAATCCACCATCCATTTGCGTGAAATACTGACGCGTTTTGAGGTAGAAGATAAAAAACAAACAAATATCTGTATTTTTCATTTAAAAATGTTTTGTCTTCAATTTTCCAAGCTTTTGGTCTGATTACTCCTTCGTCTGAAAGGCATGGCTGTTCAGCACCGATGAAGTTGTCCACATCAACTTTTGGCCAAATTTGATCAATTGTTATTTTCAACTGAGAATTATTTTTGTTTATATTATCAGTTTTATGTTGACCTTCAACTACTGTAGTATCGCCAACTATAAAATAAAAAATTAGTTAAGTGGGTAAAAACAAAAAAATGCCAAGGCAAACGTAACAACCTTAACTACAAATTCACTTAAAAAGACCCATTTTTACTAGGGTAGCGAGACGTGGGAGAGGTCTCGTTTTAATTTTTTGAGAAGCAGAAGCACGGAGGAGGAGGGTATTATTTGTAGATAACTGACTTGGTATCAAGCTAGCCAATACTTGTTTGGTTTTAGTTTTATTTTTCCCCCATCCAATTTCGAATCCAGTTCGTTTCAAACATGTTGCGTAGTTATCTACGCATAAATTTTTATTAGCACAATTGATATTATCGTTGTAGGGTGGTCCCTTTGAAAGATTTGCAAACAAGTCAACATCAATGCTATAAGCAAATGGAAACCTAAGAAATCGAAGAAATTTTCAAAAAAAGCTCAAATTTCCTTACATATTTGAATTCGTTCCATTAGGCGTGAGCTTAAGGCATTCCTTCAATTCCTTGTCGCCATTATCCACGGTAGCGTTAAACTCGAATTGACCATCCCACGAATCTGTCAGTAGATCAACAACGCATCCCGTTTCTTTGACTTTGTTGTAGTTCAAAGTGCTTTAACGAAAAATTAGCTTAAAGTGGAAGCATAAGGATAGCTTGAGGGAAAATGAGAGACCCCTCCCCACCCCGCCTTGGCCTCCCCTTATTGCCCATTTCTTTCTGACGACTTCCTCCTAACCAGATAGTAAGACTTTTTCACTTACATGTCTCCATTCTTCTCGTCGAAAGCAACATTGCAAGAATTCGGGCCTTTGTACTCCTTGAGATCTTCGTTGCTTTTCACAATCCGTTTTGCTGTACCCATTATCTGGATTATATCCCCATTTAAAATGTGATGACCGTAGCCCACATAACTTATGTTGGAGATGACAAAAGTTGGCCAAACAGCCAACAGAACGAAGAGAATAGCAGTGCCTCCCAGCATTTTGTGTAGATCACGTGAAGGATGTAGAGAAGGATGTTTTGATGTTGGGATAAGAAATAAACTTGTTTTTGTGTTTTTATAGCCAACAAAACATATAAAAGCCGACAACATTCAAAACATTTATCCAACCTATCTTCAAACAAAATCCACAGTTTTTTTTGTTTCTAATTTTCTTTGTTCTGTTGACTTCAACTTTTGCCTTACAAACAATTGTTCTTCTAAAAATGCTTCGTGAAGCTTTTCTTCTGTTGGTTGTTTGGACATCACTCAAGTGTTCTATGGCTGATGGGCCTACTATTGTTGGTTATGGTCGACATACCTTGGTTGGGAACAAAATAACTGAGTTTGGCAATGATAGCAGGATCGCAGAAGACAACGATGATCTCAAAGATTACATTGGGACTGAGAATGCCTGTGATGTGAAGTTTGATGAAAATGGGGATATGTAAGTTTTTGAAAGGGGGCTCACTTTTAAGTTTTGTCATCAAGAATCTTAAAATTTTCAATTTTAAGTGTTCTCAACTACAACAGCGTTCGAGAGACGGGATGTGTTGTGGATCTAATGCATAGATATCTTAGTTTTGCGTTTGATTTCACAGCCACTCTGAGCAACAACGACAAAGAAATAAAAGAATGTCTTGAAGAAATGCCTGATGGAATTAATGCCAACCTGTAAGAAAAAGATTTTTGATTCAAAACCTTGTATACATTTTCAGGCTTCCCTTCGCCCACAGCATTGATTTGGAACGTTTTGAAAAGCTCAAAAAAGGACCATACAATGAGCACGTTTCTTGTGATAACCAGGCTGCTTGCCGAAGTGGAGGTGGGGAGTGCTTGAAGCCTGCAGGGTTGGAGATTGGTTGGGGCTATAAAGGAGATAGAGTCCATGTGGGCATGCAACAGAGTGAGATTTTTGGAAGGAAGCTTTCTAATCAAACAAATTTTTTTCTAGTTGGAGAGCCTACTGTATGTGAATGTCCTCATAAAAACGACCGAATTAACATTAAAGAGTCTTCAGTTTTAGTGAAACTAGATGACAGTATTAAATGGTTTAAGTTGGAACCACTAGTGAAACATTGTTATGTTTATTTCGGCTTATGTAAATTGCCTTTCGTGTGTAATAGTATTGCCCAGGACGAAATTGAAGGATTGAGTCCAATGACTTGGGAGATCGACTACAGAGTGAACAAATTTAGGTCCTACACCCGTCTGCTTTCTTTATATCTGCTGCCACAAAAAGCAGCTTTCAAACATCATGAAGGGAAAAGTATTACAAGGAAAGCGCCAACTGGGCCTAAATGCAATATTCAACTTAGAATTGTAAGTTTAGGAAATCAACATTCAGACCTCTTTTGTAGAGATACCCAATACTAGAACACCTCTATTTAAAAGACGTTTTCTAAATTTGGCAGGCCTCTTTTGGCGGGAGTTTCCTAAGCGATAACCTCTATCTAATGTACCCCTTGTTCAAAACCCTCAATAGATGCACCCAATACTGGATACACCTCTATTTAAGAGACGTTTCCTAAATTTAAGTGGGCCATTGACAGGGCGAACTTTAAGCAATACCCTCTATCTAAGATGCCTCATTATAAGATAAAGTTAATACTCCAAGGATGTAATTATAATTGTGGCCCGGCTTAAAATTAAAAAAACCTATTTTTAAATTTCAGAATGGTAACGAATACAAGCTTCTAATAAACGATAAACGCGATCTTAAATGGATTATCCTTATTGCTATAATTCTAATAATGTAAGGAGATAATTTTTTGAAATTCGGAAAAAATTTTTTCTTAATTTTAGCTTAATTTGCCTTGCTGGTATCGGTTTCGTTATCTATATGAATGCAAAAACGAAAGAGGACATGGATAGGATGAGACGAAATATGAATTGAAATGATGAGAAATATACATAATATTGAGTGATAAATAAAAAAAATTTTTCCTTTGTATAGGTTGTTAAGGTGGGAATAAAAGTGAGATGATATATCGAATGTAGATGTTCACTTTTTGGGGTATCGCTTAGATATCTCCCCTAGTTTACAACAAGATTTAAAAATTTATTTAATATTGAGTGTATCCACAAGTTAGATCCGAACATGTTATGCATTTTAATATTTAAAAGTTCGCTTTGCCAAGAAAAAATTTTTAAACTACTATTGACCTCGCAAAAGCCCAAAAAGTAAATCCTTCGATTGCTGACAGTCTTTATAAAAAATCTGAATTTTAGACCTCTTCAAACTAAAAATTTTTCAGAGCGGTAAAGACTCATCATCATCTTCTTTTGGGCGAAGAATTTTTAATGATGGGCGAAGAAGAAGATGATAATGTTGTTGTTGATACTAAGATTGAAAAAGAAGAATCCGAATCAGATGGCTCACTCATAATTATTTTTGTGGTTGTTGGGATTATAATAGCTGTGTGGGTATTTTAGAGATTTAAAAAAATTAAATTTTGAGCCATGCCGAAGAATGGAAGCGTCGTTTCTGCGGAGATTATTTGCGGATTTTTTCCGCAGAAATTTTTTAGCGGATTTATACAACAATGCCAGAAAGCGTCACTTAGTTAAAAAATAAAGTCAGATACGCTCTATTAAGGCAATTAATCACTCATTTATGAATAATAAGACAACATAACGGTAGATATGCCGTGAACGTTGAGATGTTCACAAAGCACTGTCCGAGTCTGATAATTTTTTATATACCCAATTTTATTCAAAACAATTAAGGGAGTCCGGCAGAACTCCCCGGCCCAAAAATTTTAACAGTTATGCACCGGAAATTGCTTTTGTTAAAAAAAATAATGTTGAAATTAAATAAAAAATATAATTTTATATATTAAGCATTTCCCCTTATAAAAATATTTTTGAAGAGATTTTTTCCGGACTTTCCTTCTAGAAAGTGTGTTAAATTTTTTTGGGGACAACTTTCGAGGACGGGGTCTCTTTACCTCTTGTTTTAATTATTTTTAAAAATTTTAGAAATTATTGAAATGATATACCGTTTTTTGTCCTGGCTGTCAGCTTCAGACTTCTGACGGTTTCCGAATCATTTTTAGACAGATGTGGGATTACCCTCACTCGTATAATTACCCTCCCTCGATTTATTACACCATACAGCGAAAGGTGAAAACTTTAAAAAATCTTAAACTTTTTAAAAATTTTATATCCGCGATCCTCGCATCCGCACGTGCGTATTCACAATTGTCGTACCGCCATCATAACTATAGATGCTGTAAATATTTTGTAAATAAGGCCTATATTTTTTTCTCTATTTCCACCAGTCACTATGTCGAGCTTTATAATTTAAAAAATATCTTTCAGCTTTTTTCCATACAAAATAATTAAGGGAGTCCTACAGAACTCCCCAGCCCAAAAATTAAATCCACTAAACGGCTTTACTTACGGCAAAAAAATAATATTTAAATTGAATAAAAAATATAATTTTATATATTAAGCATTTCTCCTTATAAAAAATTTTTTTTGCAGAAAAAATTTTTTTCTGCAAGTTTTATCCGCAAATAAAATTTAAATAAAACATTCTTTATTTACTTTAATAGACGGTCATTGTTTTTATTTTTATTTTTAAATCTTTTTGGTCAATTTTTGTTTTTTTTCTTCTATTCTCGACTTCACAGCAAGCAAGAATAATTATAATTATATTTTTTGAGCACTCCTTTCAAAACAAAAAAAGAAAGAGAATTGTTTTGAAGGTCCGTCGTCCAGTTTATATTTTTTTACGATTCGCTTGCTTGCCCTACATTTTTTCTTTTAAAATTAATTTTGGCATTTTTCTTGAGCTTCGTTTAAGTGAATATATTTTTCCTATTCTCTTGTCGACATTCAAGATTTTTTTGTTAGTAAAATTATTCAGTTAATCTTTGTTAAAATTTCAGAGCTAAATTTCCTTATGTGCCTAAATTCTGCAAGTTTTATCCGCAAAAAAGAGAAAAATGAAAACAAAAACCCCGAAATCCTTCAAAAAAATTTGGGATCGAAAATTAGTTTAAAAGATATTCCCGAAACAAAATACGTCGGGAAGTCTTGATTTTCGAGAATCGGAAGGCACGTTCCCTCATACTTGATATCTTCTTAAATGTATAGATCTTTTGCGGATTTTGGATTATTAATTGTATTTTCTACCAAAACTTGCCTAGACTTTAATTTTACTTAGTGTTTCACCGGAACCGAAATTTTGACCAGAATTGGAACCAAAAAACGCCGGAACTTTCTGGAACCGGAACTTACGGTGAAACTCTATTACCCACACAATCATATCCTCTTATAGAATGAAAATTATAACGGAAGTTGACTGTATTTAAATAATAAAAATACAGAAATGAGTCGACGACGCTCTACAAGAAACACTAAAAAACCAACAAAAACAAAAATTACTCCCTCCAAAAAATTAAAAATAAATAGAAAAACTTCAAAAATTGTTTCACCAAAAGAAAAATTAAAACCGAGACAATCTTCTCGAATGAGTTTTGGGGAGGAACATATGGGTCAGTTGGAAGAAGCTTTTGAAGTTTGTCATTATCCTGATGTTTATAAAAGAGAAGGTGAGAGAGAGATAGAGAATTTGTTTTGAAAAAGGGGTACTTATTAATTACTAAAAACATACGAAATGTATTTAGTATAGTCAAACCTCTCTATAAGGTACACAAAATACTAGGACACCTCTGTTTAGGATATGTTTTTTAAAATTTGGTGGCCACTGGTCGGGGAAGATCCCCAAGAAAGATTCCTTTTTTAAGATCACCTAAATAAAATACCTCTTTATAAGATAACCCCAAAATTAGATAGACCTCTATTTAATGAACACCTCATTATTAGTTACAATTATCTCACCCCCAAGGGTGTGACTCAACCATATTTTGAATTCCAATCGTTACCCAACCTTTGAGAGGCTGTCTAGGCCGCTACCCTCTATTTAAAATACACCCCATTATAAGATACAAATTTAATAAAATTTTAAAAACATTTTTCAAGAAATAGCCCAGCGT